ATTTGAAGAGAATTGGATGCTTATTTCGGTTTTTATGATTTTTTTGGTTATTCAAAACTTTGACACTTTGTAGGAGAGGTACCAGTAGGAATTGTCCGATATATCCAATCTTTGCAGCAGATCTTGTATTGATAGAAATATTGAGATGTACCAAGTTTGAATGAAATCGGATGTTAATTTCGTGTTTTATGAGCTTCATGAATATTAAAAATTTTGAGCTTTTGTGGGGGAGGTACCAGAAGGTGTGGACCGATATATTCTATCATCACACCAGACCTTGGGTTAATAAAAATTGACCACCTACCGCACATGACCTAGCACTGATGCAAATATTAGGATTTGCAAAGTTGGAGCAAAATCGGATTACCCTTTCTCTTTCTGTGCAGTAAATTATTTTTGACATTGTGTGGGGTAGGTACCAGAAGGAGTGGACCGATATTGCCCATTTCCGATCTCCATCTAAGTTTGATAGTAATATTACGATGTACCAAGTTTGGATCAAATCGGATACTCCCTTCGATGGACGGACATCGCTAGATAGACTCCAACTATCCTGAAACGGATTGGGTGGAAAGAGACCTAGGGTTTAAAACCTTTATTTCGATAAGGCACATTTTGCCCTTATCAAATGATATATACCTAGCCATAGGGCTAAGGGTATAAAAATAGTGGCCATATTTTTTATTATTATATTCCTCTTGATTTACGTCTTTGAAGGTAAGACGAAAAAGACATTCGCCAAATTATTCTTTTTGGAAAAATAGATATTTTTGGATTCTGCTTAAGGTGGGCTATCAAAATCTAACAGCAATTAAAATTCGTGAAGATATGAAGTTCATAATTTATTAATTAATTGCATCTTGGAACTTAGTTGCAATCATGGAATATTCACTTTATTCCCCACACTGCCTTTGTAGGATAACAAAAGGTCGTCGCACCTTTTATGACCTTTTTGCAATTTAATAAACATTTGGGCGTTTTGTTTTTGCAAATAGCAACAACGACGACAACCACGACAAATTTATCGTTTTGATCTATAATGTGTTAATTTTAATTGCTGTCCGATACCATTAATTAACAACTAAATAGGTTCTAGAAAAATTCTATATCTAATTGCAAATTGTTGTCACAATGGGAATGAAAACGAAAACCGACACTTAAATTATTAAATAATGCTTGGACAACAAATGAATATTCATATGTTTGAAGAAATAACGTAATCGAATGCAATCGAATGCAGCAATGTGGCCACACAATTAAATTCTATACAAAATTGCAACTCTTGGTTCAGGGGGTTGGTTTAGCCTTTGGTATCCTGTTTATCTTGTAGTCAATCAAATTCTAGAATTTACTTTAGCAGATGAAGCGAAGAAACAAACGAGGCAGCAATAGAACGATGATAATTGAGTTAAAACCCATTCATTCATTAAACCAACAATTTTTTCGTTTTCGTTTTAGTCACTTGAGTTGAGCGGGCTGAGTAAATCAACACCGTAACTATACAATTTGCATTCGAACTGTCTAATTATTGGCCGTTTGGAAAAAAAAATATCTGAAAAAAAAATAGACAAAATCAATGTTCAAGTGTTTGTTATTTCATAATTATACCAATCAAAACCACGCGCCCCTTCTTATCGCCTAATCATTGGGAAGAGGATATATTATGAAATTTTAGCGGGGAGAGGCGGCGGATGTGTATTGAAATTGATATTACATTGCACATTCTCACTTTCTAGGCCTTGTAAAATGACTAACAAATGTGCTTGATATTCTGCTGGGGTTCGAATTGACAAATAAACATTTCTGTTGTCTGTCATGCAAGCACACACAGATACACTCATTCCTTCTCATTGTTACAAAGGAAAAAAAAAAACGAAAAAAAAACTACCCATGGAAAATTTCCATTGTATTTTGCACAGGGTATTTTCCAAAGGGTCCACTCACACAATCATCCGATCAGATACCAAGTCAGTCAAGTCATTTTGTCCAAATCACAAACTGGTTCTATGCTGGACTATGACCATTAAAATCTTGCCTTGCATTTTTTTGCCTTGCATTCTTAACCGCAGGCCTGTCTGTTCAATATTTGTCCAAGAACATTAAGGGCCAAGATCAATTCGCCTTTTTGCATTTTGTTCTTGCCTTTGTATTGATAAAACGTGTCTAGAATGAAACTAGTTTCTGCCTCTGTCGTTAAGGCTTTTAGACACTGATTGCAAAAAAAAAAAAAATAAATAAATAAATATAAAAAATTTAGCTCCGCAACAGACATAGTTACACCAGGTAACATAATTTTTCCACATTTACAAGGACTTTCGTCTGCAGGCTAATGTGGGCATTGGCGAAGATAAAGACGTCTTTGATTTATAATTTGGATGGTTTGAGCGAATTAAAAAAATGGCTTTAATTATATTTTATACAACACGGGATGGAATAGTTCACAGGTTCTGTGTGACCAATGACTGTCAACAGAAATCTTAAATACAAGGTTCGTGTCTTAAGTCTTCTGTTCATTTAGTTAAGAGTACAAAAAAAAAATGCTTGTGTCTTAAGTCTTTTGAATCACTTTCTGGATAACCCCGTATTTCTTTGGTAATTTGTTTTCGGTTATTTATAAAAAATTAAATATTTTCAGATTCCCCCCCATTTTAAGCTCCAATATATATGTTAATGCACTCCGTTTTTATACTCTCAACCATACATAGTATCTTAAGGTAGCATATTAAGTTCGTCATTTCGTTTGTAACTCATCGAAATAATAATTTTAGGCATAACAAAGAATATATATACTGGATCTGCGTAAAATTCTAAGAAGATTTAGCCCTGTCTGTCCGTACGTTGTAATGACGCTAGAGTAGAAACGAATAAAGATAGGAAGCTAACATTTTACACGGATCAGTCTTTTGCCTGCAGGAAAGTCAAGTTCGAAGATGGGCTATATTGTTCCACGATATCGTATAGCCCCCATATAACGGCATTCTCCCCGATATTCGGTATTTTTATGATTGTAGCCAAATGTTTCAATTAAATTGTCTGAAAATCCACAAACGGAGTTTTTTCTGAGTACTTTACCCCCTGGAAGAGTATTGTCTATATAGGTTCACAATATCCCAAATCCCCCATATACCTCCCTATTGACGATTTAAGCTATATTTTTCAATGGAATTGTCTAAAAATCCATACTAGAAGTTCTTTCAAAGCACTTCACCCCTTGGAGGAAAAATGTCTATATAGGTCCACGATATCGTATATCCCCCATATAACGGTATCCCCTCCTATATTCGGTATTTTGATGATTTTAGCGATCTAATTCATTGGAGATGTTTTAAATTTCGCATTTAGAGTTCGTAATGGATACTACAGCCTTCGACAGAAAATTGTCTATAAAGGTCCAGGTCTTCGTATAGGCCCCATGTATCACTACCTCCCTATATTCGGTATTTTGATGATTTTATCGACATTATTCCCCAGACATATTTCAAATTTCGTATTTAGAATTCGTAATGGGAACTACAGCCTGTGACAGAAAATTGCCTATGCAGGTCCAGTTCATCGTATAGGCCCCATACATCAATACCTCCCTATATTCAGTATTTTGATGATTTTAGGTACACTATTCACCGAAATTGTTTGAAATTTCATATTTGAAGTTATATGAATAGGTACTGCAGGCTGTGACAGAAACTTGTCTACGCATGTCCAGTTCTTCGTATAGGTCCCATATATCAGTACCTCCCTATAATCGGTATTTTGATGATTTTTGGTACAATAATCACCGAAATTGTTTGAAATTAAATATTTGAAGTTCCAAATAGGTCTACAGCTTGTGAAAGGAAATTGCCTATGCAGGTCCAGGTCTTCGCATAGCCCCGATATAACGGTACCTCCCAATATTCGGAATTTGGATGATTTTACCTACATTATTTACCGATTTTTTTTAAAGTTTCGTATTTGAATGTTTGGGTTATGACAAAAGTTGCCTCTGCAGGTCCAGGTCTTCGCATGGACCCCAATATAACGGGTATATTCGGTATTTTTAAAATTTTTACAGGATTTTTTAACGGATTTTATTTCATTTTTTTTTTTTTTGAAAATTTCCAAATTTGTTTCAAATGGTAGAGGGCATTTCGGCCGGGCCGAACATTCTATTTTTTTACATTTTATACATTAAATACCTATTTTTATAGGTGACACTTGAAACTTTATTGTATTACGATTTTTTTAATTTATCCTCCCAAAGAAAGTTATTAAAGTATATTTTCTAAGTTGCACTGTGTATTCTAAAGATTGAAAGCGGGGGATATTGTGTGCCACTGCTGTTTTGCCAAGACCTTGACTTGGAAAGGCACAAAATCCTTTCTCTTTGCCAGACGTGAAGGCAAAAATCTTCCATCACAAAGGAATGAAACAAGTTTGAGGTCGTGTCTCGTAAAACAGGAGGCAATAAGAGGCACTTAAATTCTGTGTGTTTTAATGAGAAAGAAAGAGTTCTGATCATTAAATTTTGAAAAAAAAGCTTTTAAAAAATAATATTTTTTTTTAATTAAAGACTTTTAGAAACTTTTTTTTTTTTGTAAATTACCGCAGAGCATTTTATGTTTTACTACAAAAAAAAAAAAAATAAATAATTAAATAATTGCCATCCATTGATTGTCTGTAAAACAGACATACAATTGATGTGATGTCTGCAAATTCATGAATACTTTTGTCTGGTACTTCCCATTCAATGATGGTGTATGTTTCTTAAGTCTTTTGTTTGCCTTGGTAATTAGTGAAGCAGAGTACGGTTCTTAAGTCTTTTGTGTGATGGCATATTTAAGGTGTTAATTTGCTGGTAGTTTTTTATGAAAGAAATTATTTAGAACTTCTACCCTGAGCCTGAAAATAATCATATTCTTTTCTATTGGAAAAAAAATTGCCATGAAGCATTAAAAAAAAAAAAACAAAGCAAACTCTTTAACCAAAATAAATTCCTAACATTTTTTTCTTGTAATTTTCAGGTGCTTTCCTTATGCTCTCCCTAGGCATTCTGGCAATTTGTGGAGCAGTTTTAATTAAAATATTTCATCCATATGACTTGATATTCAAATGGGTAAGTCAGGCAAAAAAATTATTTTTTCATAAAAAAAATCCATCCCTCCATAAAAAATAATAAAATGAAAACATCCAATTTCCAGAAACTCACAATGTCTGATGGCGGCGAAATCTTTAATTTGTGGGCTAAACCTCCAGTGGATTTATATTTGAAAGTCTATCTATTTAATATAACAAATGCAGCCGCCTTTATGGAGGGACGAGAAAAAATGCATGTCGAACAAGTTGGACCCTATGTTTACAAGTAAGTTTTCAGAAAATTTATATAAATATACAAGCACACATTTGCTATGCTTCAGAACCTGTAAGAATCTACTAGTTTTTTTAATATTTTTTTCCATATCATAAGGGAAAAATCGCTTATCATAATAAAAACTTGTACATACTTGCAGTTCTGGAACGCAACACTTTATGTCAATGGAGTTTTTAAAGTGAAGAAGATTATACTTACTCAGCAAATTTAGAATTTGCCATACTTCATTCTGAAAAAGAAAAGAAAAAAAAACAAAATTAAATTAAATTAAATTTAAAAAATAATTTACACTTTACACTTCATAGCGTACATATACAGGGTGAGATAAAAAAAACTGCAACAAAGTCAAACGCCATAATTTTTACATTTTTTTAAATTTTATTGAATGAAAACAAAAAATGTCGGAAATAGCATCAAATTTTAGAGTAAGTTTAGATTTGTTCGAATTGGTTACCTTTGGCAGAATTGTGGCCTTCAAACGGCCAATGAAACCTTCACACGCTGCCCAAATGTTGCTCTGCGGTATTTTGGTCCATTCCTGGCGAAGCGCTTGCTTGTGGTGATCGACACTTTGGTATTTTTTGTACCAACTTTGCTTTCCAAAATACTCCAGACACAATAGTTCAACGGATTGGTATAAATCTCCGGATACCAATTCGTTGGACTATTGTGTCTTCTGTGTGGACTATCACGCTTCAATTCCTTCATCATGAATAACTTTATTTCTGGAAAATTCTCCTCAAAATACTTTTGTACGCTTGTAAACCATATAATGAGCTGTCATTCTAACCTCCATTTTAACTTTACCATCTTCTTTTCCACCTTTTTCTTTTCAGAGAAATAATGACACACGAAAATATCACCTTCAACGAAAACAATACCATGTCAACCAATCCCAGTCACCCATTGGTGTGGCAGGAACATCTCTCCGAAGGACGTTCCGAAGATGATGAAGTTGTGATGTTGAATATTGCAATGTTGGTAAGTTCGAATTTAGAAAACCCTCAACTAAACATCTGTTATAAAAAAACGAACAGTCAATGACGTTGATGGGTGGAAAAAAATAAGTCGCGTGCTTTTCACATGTCATTTGCCATTGTTATCGCAACTTTGCCAACATCAATTCAAAGTTGAACACAAATGTATGTAAATATATATTTATAGGAGTCACAACGGAACAAAAAATCTCTCAACTAATACTTAGCATACGAACATTCGTCGATTTGTATTTTAAATAAATACAAGTTCCATGCTGATAAATGTTAAACTTGGGTCAATAAACGATACGTTAGGTTTTTTTATATTTTTTCTAACTGTGACTAACGAATATTCATGCCCACAATTATTGTTTACGGGGTGTGAATGTGTGTGTTTGTTTGTCACCGTTGCTAAATAACAGTGGCGTACAAAAATTAAGTGATGAAAAAATAAAAGAATACTGGAATGGCGTTAAATATATTGAACATTTCTTTTTAGGGTTTCAAATGATTTGGTTATTTTCCCTAGGAGTTGGACACCAAGGAATTAGATGTTGACATGTTTGAGATTTTCTAATTATACCCTACAACACTATGTGTTGGGGGTATTATAAGTTTGATTGGCCCAAAAATTATGTAACACCTCGAAATATTGGTTTCCCACATAGGAAAGTATATATAGATCTTCCTAGCTCGCCGAGCTGAGTCGATCTAGCTATGTATGTCCGTCCGTCCGTCTGTCCGTCTGTCCATGTTAATTTGTAATCACTCTACAGGTCGCAATTATGGACCGATCTTCACGAAATTTAGAATGGAGGTGGGTCTGGGGTCAGAATAGAACCCTATTTCTTTTTGGAGATGATCGCCAAATGTTTAGGGGTTGAAATGGACCAAATACTGAAAAAATGTCGGATTTTGCAGTAGCTATACAGGTCGCAATTATAGACCAATCGACGCGGAATTTCGCATGTAGCTAGAGTTTAGGGCGGGGAAGAAGCCTTCCAATTTGGGTGGTCTTCGGATAATATTAAGTAAAATAAATAGACCATATCTTTTGTGTTGAAAAAAATCAAAATTTTTCATTAAACCGCGAATATTTTAAATCCCGGCGAAATCACAAAGCCATGACAAGGTTACTTCTGATCTTTACATTGATGTTAACATCCAACAAAACGGATATATAGCAAAATATGTGCGATATATATGTTTATCAAAGAAGATATGCTTGAAAAATCTCTTTTATGTCGAGAACGGCTGAACTGATTTCGACAGTTCTCATTAATTCAGAATGGCCTCTTGGCAGGAAACATAAAACGTCTAAAAAATCGCATAAAAAAAAAGTATTGATTTTGTAACATTTTCTCATATTTTTTCAATTTTGTCATATTTTTGGCATATTTTCATTTTGAATGAAACATTTGGTAATATTTCTACAGCTAACAAAACTAAGTAGTTAGGATATCAGGATATTATATACAGATCGCATTTATGGCCCGATCCTTACGAAATTTTGCATGGAGATAAGATGAGGGTCAGAATAGAAGCCTACTCTTTTTGGAGATGATCGCCATATATTTAGGGGTTGAAATGGACCAAAAAACTGCAAAATTGTCTGCAGGTCGTATTTATCGCCCGATCCTCACGCACATTTGAATGGGGTTACCGGACATTACAAAAGCCAAGCAGTTTTGGATTGCCATCAAAAACTATTCAATGTGTGAAATAGTTTGCCAACTTTTGTAGACAAAATACAAAAATGTCCATTCCAGTGACTTTTTGGAGAATTCACAAATACAGGAAAGACGCACTTTTGACTATTTCGTTAACGCCGATTTCGTTGAAGAATATAGTCAAATGTCTGTATCTCATATAGATGCGTTTCAGTCAAAAACCAATAATAAATGTTAATCTTTTGCCACTTCTGAGAGACTATAGGTCTTTGGGAAATATTGGTTCCAGATCTAGGAAGACCATTTACGTGCAACATCTACCTATAAATTGGAAATGAGCAAATTATTTTATGTTGCTCTTATTCGAAAATTAGAGAACGAAACCTGATGGTTTTCTTTTATTATTTGTCACAATATCTTGTGGAACTCTTTCGAGTATCTCGCCTATATAAACTGTATCGTTTATTATAGTGTTGTAGGGTATTCAACGGTCGGCCCCGCTCGACTGTAGCCTTTGCTTACTTGTTTTTATTTGGCTTAATTGGCCTGAGAACCAGTTCTACTCACAATCCCTTTGAAACTTTGAAACAATGTTTTTACAAATCATTATTTTTGCCCACCACTGTAAACATCAAAAATAAGTGAAGACAAATCTGAGAGCAAGCCCCCGTCACGAATTGTTATTGTAGTTATTTTTCACAATGTCCGACATTCAATTTACATACACCAGATACATGCTATGTATGATAGACATATGAAAATATTTACGTCGACATGGCTATCATTTTCAAGTACCGGCCTCCAATCGCTTAACGCCACATACGACATGAATGCAATTGAAAGGGTGGAAAATTCTTAGTGAGAAAAAAAAATTCAATAAAGATATGAGGAAGAAAAAAAAGTTGTGTGTTTTGACGGGATGCAATGAGCTGGAACGGCGGGTGGAATGCAGGAACTTGTTGTGACATTAAACTTGAAAATTCCAGCATCACCTGTTATCAGATGTATCCAATTGCAGCCACACTGGAAAATTCGGCTTCAATCTTAGAACAAAACTAGTAAGGAAAAAAAGTCGGGCGGGCCGACTATATGATACCCTACACCATATTTAGTAGAGCTCCCATAACAAAAGATTTTTTTGAAGTAGGTCATACCACCTATCAATTTTTGGCTTTAGAGCAGTTAAAAATTGGTTTCAGAGGCAACTAATATGTGGGAGCCATATCCACTTTTGAATCGATTTTCATTAAATTTAATGAAGATATTTTTGTCTTTTATACCAAATAACATTGCTATAGAGTGCTTAATATCACTTCGAAAAGGCTTAAATATAAAAAAAATTATATAGGAGCCGAGTTGCGCAAAATGGAAACGTACGTCCCGAAATTCACTACATTTGGGCTGATATAAGTCATTATTTGCACAATAAACCTGAAATCGGATGAATGATATATATATAGGAACTATATCCAAATCTTAGCCGATCTCGATAAAATTTGGCAAAGGTATTTCCGAGCTCTATAAGATATCTGGTACCAAATATCATGTTGTGGAGTGCATATTACGAATGTGAGGGACTTAAAATCCCAAATCGGATGAAACATATATATGGTAGATATAACTATATATAAACCGATTTTCACCAAATTTGATGTGCTTGCTTCTAGATTGAATTTGGTCGGATCTGCCAAAAATTAGGACATTTGGACTGATATTGGCCATTTGGTGCACAATAAGCCCGAAATGGGTTGAAGATATATATGGGAGCTATATCCAAATCTGAACCGATCTTGATAACATTTAGGAGAGGTATTTCTGAGCTGTATCTTGTAGCAAATATCATTGTTGTCAAAGGCATATTACGAATGTCAGGACTTGAAGACCAAATCGGATGAAACATACATATAAATGGGAGCTATAGCTATATCTGAACCGATTTTCACCAAATTCGATGTGCTTGCTTCTAGATCGAATTTGACCATTTGGATCGATATTGACCATTTGGTGCACAATAAACCCGAAATCGGTTGAAGATATACAGGGTTGCCCATATTCGACGGACCCATCAGGCAACGCCATAACTTTTGACAGAGATTTCACATCGCTTAATGATGTCATTAACCGCGTTTGAAGCGTCAGTCCAAGCAGATTTTTACCATGAACCAATACACGCGAGCGCTCTGAAACAGTTGAAATTTACATCCAAAAGAAGAAGCCAATTGTGAAAACTCAACGTGCTTTTAAAACATTAAAAAATGTGAGAAGTGCGCCTTCTAAGAACACTATTAAGCGTTTATACGAAAAATTTTCGACTGATAAGGCTCTTTCTAATCCGAAAAGACCATATAAAAGTCGACCAAGGCGATCGGCCCAGAATATCGCTGCCGTACGAGCCAGTGTTGAGAGGTCCCCAAGAACATCCCAAAAACGCCGTTCTCAGCAGTTGGGCATGGTTCGGTCTACTTTACAACGGATTATTCGCAATGATTTGCATTTGTTCCCGTACAAAATTCAATTAACGCAAAGAATGTTGCCTGCGGACAAGCCTCGTCGATTGGAATGGGCCCAAAAAAACATGGGTCCGTCGATTATGGGCAACCTTGTATACTGCAGCTATATTTATATTTGAATCGATTCTCAACAATTTCAATAGGGTTCGTCCTTGGGCCAAACAAATATTATTTGTTTTGTATTTGTTTGATAATAAATGCGACCTGTATTTTTTCACAAGAATGCATGGACAGACGGACTGACATGCATAAATCGACTCAGAAAGTGTTTCTATGAAGATCCTCAAAAATAACTATGGGTCTATCTCGCTTCCTTCTCTATGTTACAAACAAATGCACAAAGACATAATACCCTTACCACTATGTGGTGTGTGGCATAAAAATCGGACGAAATTGCAAGTTCGCGTAGGGGAAATTTTATTTCCATATTCCAATTCAGAATACAAAATTAGAAGAAATTGTTTTGAAAATTGTGTCTGAAAGCTTCAAAATGCCGGGAATCTTGAGGTAAAGGGGGACTATACCAAATGGTGGATCTTGGGAGTTTTCTTAAGGATTGAGGTTAATATCCTATGATTGGCCTTAAAATGTCAAAATACAGTAAATTTTGGCCGTCAAGCTGGTCGGGAGGTTTTAACAAAATATTGGACTATCAGTGTATTTTGTTAAAACCTGGGAGAAGATAACCCCAAATATTAATTTTAGATATCTGTGTACCATAAAATGAGCACTTTAACAATTTCTTGGGCTACAACACACTTTTGTTTTAAATCATTATTTTAATACCAGTCCCCTTCTTATAAATAAAATGCGTCTTCTGCAAATTCAAGTTTTTATATTTATTACTCATCCCAAACATTTAACTTACGTCGACATTTTAAAAATTGAAATTCCACTTGTGTTCCTAGCCACCGTGGTTTTTATGGCCTAATTGCATGTCACCCACATCGTACCAACTTCATTTGTTCTCTCTCACTAAAGAAGACAATGTGGATGAATGAAACCCAACTGAAGTGGAAAAAAACCAAACTAAATTGATAAATACGAAACATAAAAAGTGTGGTGATTTATAGGAATAATTGTTTTCTTTCCATTCTATTCGAATTCGGTTTCCAGTTTTATGAGTATTCCGGGCAATGTTAATAATAATAAAAAAAATAGTGGAAAGTTTTCTAATGAAAACAAATAACATGTTTCATTGACCGTTGCAAGTTTTAAACCACACTAACATAGACACCTACTCACACACACGTACATACATATATACTTTCATAAATATACATAAATCCAACTGTTTATTCCATACACCGAGAGGGTATAATGAAATAAATTGTTGTTAGGATAGGTCTGATGTTAATTCTCGCAACTAATTGCTTTGTTCGTGAATTGAATTGTTATTGTTGCAACAACAACAACAACATACCATGAAATATTGTATTTATCTATTAATTTGTCATATAAAACGCAACAACAACTCCTACATGTCTAGTTTATGTTTAGAATACCCGCAATGACGTTTGAGTTCGTCAAAATGCCACTCAATATTGGCTTGCCTTGCATTGATGACGTTTGTGTCTTAAGTCTTTTGTTTCGTTTAAAGAGTTAACTCCCCTGCAGCGATCATTACTCCCATTTGAAATCGTACGATTCTAGTTTTTATTATTCATTTAATTATTTTGCATAAATAATTGCGAGCCCATTTGCATTTGTTCGAAAGCCAATAAATTCTTTAACGATTTTATTGATTTATTTAAATGAATAAATAGTAAACCAAAGCAGAGCCCAACTCATAATTTCTATTTTCTCAGAGAAAAGAGTGTGTGTCTGTTTTTTTTTTTAGAAATCGAAGTGAGTCACTGAGAATGAGGGTTTTACCAGAGATCAGTATGCATATTGCATTGTAACTCTAAACAATTGTCGATATTGTTTTGAATTGCTTTTGTTATTACAGCAGCAACAACAGCGTAGACAAGTGAATATCAATATTTACAGCCATTAAAAGTTCACTTGTGCGTAAATGTGTACCGGGAAAGAGAAGTCTTTTTTCTTAAAGAGAAAAAAATGGAAAAAAACTTCAGAATGGCTTCACATTCACTGATCTTTAATGTTTCTTATAAAATATTTCAAAAACTCCCGAAAGTCCTTTAAAAACACAAAATCCATGTTGGTCCCTTATACATAATTTCTAAGAATTCTGAATAGTCCTTAAATTTTTTTCCTAAAAATTCAGGACAGCACTTGCAAAAGTATAGGCTATAGATGAAATAAATAAATATTATTTCATCTATAGCCTATTAAAAATTCGCGAAAACCCATTAAATTATATACACAAATAACGCTGAAGGACCACGAAAACGTATACTCGATTTGAAAAAAAACTTCAACTTTACATTTCGTAAAAGATCAAGATGACTGCTAATAGGGAACCCTAATTATACCCTCATCCATATGGCTACAGAGGCTATCTATCAATTGATACGACCAAAACGTGCCTCATAGAAAAAACGGGTTTAGACCCTAGGTCTCTTTGGACCAAATCCGTTTCAGGACATTTGGTCTTTCGCTTCGTTTGTCTGGCTGGTGCTCACGATAATTCTTGAAGCGAGTATCCGATTTGATCCAAACTTGGTACATCGTTATATTATTGTCGAACTTAGATCGATTTCGAAGATGGGCAATATCGGTACACTCCTTCTGGTACCTCCCACACAAAATGTCCATATTTTAAAGAAAATTATTTACTGCACAGAAAGAGAAAGAATAACCCGATTTTGCTCTAACTATGCGAATCTTAATATTTGTATCAGTGTTAAGTCAGGTGCGAAAATGGACAATATCGGTCCACTCCATCAAGTACCTCCCTTACCTTATTTACCCATGGTCCGGTGTGAAAATGGAATATATCGGTCTACTTCTTTTGGTACCTCCCCCACAAATGGTTAGAATTGTTAGTATCCTTGAAGCTCATAAAACACGAAATTTATATCCAATTGCATTCAGACTTGGCATTTATCAATGTTTCCATGAACACAAGATCTGTTATAAAATCGGTAGAGATCGGACGATTTCTTCTGGTACCTTCCCCACAAAGGGTTATAATTTTGAATATTCATGAAGCTCATAAAATACGAAATGAACATCCGATTCCATTCAGATTTGGCACATCTCAACATTTCCACCAACACAAGATCTGTTATAAAGACGGTAGTGATCGGACAATTCCTTCTGGTACCTCCCCTACAAAGGGTCAAAGTTTTGCATAACCAAAATGATCATAAAATACGAAATAAGCATCCGGTTTTCTTCAAATTACACACATCACAATAGTTTTATTAAACCAAGGTCTGGTGTGAAAATGGGTTACATCGGTCCACTTCTTCAAGAACCTCCCCCACAAAGGGTCAAAATTTTGAGTATCCTTTACGCTCATAAAACGGGAAATTAACATCCGATTCCATTCAAACTTCGTTCGAAATATTGCATCAACACAAGATCTGTTTCTGCTTCTTCTTCCTCCCCCACAAGAATCAAGATTTTGAAAAACCATACCCTCAAAGAAAGCGAAATAAGCACCCAACTCCCTTTAAATTAAACACACGCAAACATTTTTGCTAACAAAAGATCCGTTGTGAAGTTAAAAATATCAATATTAATTGCAGATTATTACAGCCTCTGGTCAATGTTAGCTCGTTAGCAAAAATGTTGACATGTCCGGAGAAAATTGATTACAGTTTAATTGAAATACCAATTATTAAAGTGTATTCTTTGGGAGTTGATTTGAATTTTACAACTGGATTTTGATCGCTTCCAACTTTTAAGGTTTAAAGTCGTTTAGGATATAGCAAAAAAAGCAGATTAAAGGAAGTTCAATTATTCCAAACAAATCTGGGACAAAATACCAGTTTGATTGAGACACCTTAATTGTTGAATATTAAACGATCGACTCCAACGTCAATTTCTTAATTACTTTGGCAATCATCGAATCAAAGCCCTTTCCAGCCAATTTCCAGAGAAATTCAATTATGGAAATTATTCGAAATCCAGCTATTGCATAATAGCGACTAGCGAAGTGTCAATAGTTTTTCCACAACAACACATGATCTATTTTCAATTGATTTCAAGTAATTAGCGCAGGGAACAACACAAAAAACAAAGACTATATATGAATATTAAATTGGAACTACGATTTAAACAATTAACGTAACCATTGATTATTAATTGTGTTATAAATTGTAATTACGTTTTAATTCATACTCTCTATTTTTTTGTTTTTTGCAGGCCATATCTCATTTGACGGCAGACAAACCGTTTTTCATACGCATGGCTTTGAATAGTCTGTTTATGTCGCAGGATTCCAAGCCCATTGTGAGAATGACAGCCAAGGAATTTATGTTTGGCTATGCCACCACACTGACATCGTTGGGCAACACATTTTTGCCCGGCTGGATATATTTCGACAAAGTTGGTCTGGTCGATAGGGTAAGAATGGGGAAATTTTAATTTTTCCAACAGAATGTATATCTAACGCAATTTCTCTTTCAGATGATGGATTTTAACAATGATTTTGAAACCTTCCACACTGGTGTACCGGATCCCAGGTTTTCGGGTCTTTATGCCACCTATCGTGGTTCACCAAATCTCCGTCAATGGGATGGGGAGCACTGCAGCAACATTGAAAATGCCTCGGATGGTGTCAAGTTCCCGAGCTTCATCAAGCCCAACGATACGATCAAATTCTTTAGGAAAAGTATGTGCCGACCTGTAACTCTGCATCGTGCCGATGACGAATTGATAAATAAAGGCAGTTTGTCGGGTTATCGTTATATCTTTGAAGATAATCTGCTGGACAATGGTCGTGTCAATGAGAATAATAAATGTTTCTGTCGTAAAGGTAAGTCATATGAAAATGTTGATGAAATTGAAATGAAATGAAAGGAAAAATCGGTTACGGGAGTAATATTTTTACACTCTAAGAATCTTCTAGCTTTGCTATTTTTCCTTAAAAAAAGGAAAAATCGGTTATCGGAGTAATATTTTTACACTCTTCCAGGTTCTGGAAGAGAACAACAATTTAAGCCTTTAATTCATTTCTGTAAAATCCTCAATTAAAACTCTTAAATATTCGTTTAAAAATATGAATATTCTTTTGACTTTGATGTTCCATATTATTAGCTATGATATAGGCTAGTGATAGTAAAAATTCTCCTAAAAATTTCCCTTAGGTGGCCTTTAAATAATGTTGTTGTTATTTCCCCCCTCGATTGATATGCAGACTCAGAATGAAATCAATTCAATTTTGTGGCCTTGATGTCAACGATATTTATTACAATATCGCATGATAGTATTTTTTCCAGTCCATTGCATTTCCGGTAACGCATTCACAATTTCTCTCATTCCCTCTCTCTCTCTCTCTCTCTCTCTCTCTGCCACTTTCTAATACAAAATAGAATTATTTAATAATCAAACTTAGTTGACACTTTTATTTGACATAAATACGCCTAAAAGAGGCAAGACGTGGAAAAACATTTAACGCCCATTTTTTCAAAAACAAAACGGTAGCAATTTGTTGGTTTTGTAGAATGCTTTCGTTTTTTATTTGTTTTTTTTTTTTTAAATTTTCGTTGCACTACAATGTCATTGTCATGATCATGATCAAAACAAAAATTACAAACAACAAACAATGTTCTGATTGCTTTCGTTTCACTCACTCTCTGTCTCTCCTACGTCTCTCGCACACTCTTAAACTGTAGTAATGATGTTACCGCATTTGACGTCAAATATCAACAGCATTATTGGAATTTTTGTAACAAATTAATCAAAACACTTCATTGCCAGTCAATTTGGGAATATTTTTGTATTTTTTTGTTTTATAAAAACAATAAAAAAAACAAAAAGCCCTAGCAATAACATTGCAAATGAAATCATCTTCTGGCTGGCTGGTTGGCTGGCTGGCCAATTATTGACAAGTCATTGTGGAATATAGCTATAATTTCCTTGATTTGTAATTAAAAACACAAACAACAACAATCCGCATTAACTAATTTCCAATTGCAAATGCAATTTCAGGCCAAACTCAATAATAAAATTGAACAAAAAAAATCAATAACCAACATTGCCTCCCAACATTTGCCTTCCAAATAATTAATCATAGTTTCAATTACCACCAGCAACACCACCGGTTCATTAAAAGAGCCGAAGATTAATATGACAATTAAAACAACAAAACGCTTATTAAAATTGCATTTAATAGGGCTGTTAAGATTCTAATATACAGCTAGTAGATATCAGTTTTTTTATGAAGAGCTTCCCTTTGCCCCCCTTACCCATATGTTAGAAAGCAGACTTGTTGCACCGTTCGTTGCCGACTCAAATAATCTGCATATCATCATTTGTAGTCATTAAAGTTACATTAAAGTTTAGTCATAATTTTTTTAAGAAATTTCTGTCCTGATATGATTGATCGTTCTTGGATTACACTAGAATACAGATTTCTTATCTCAAATAATGTCTCAAAATGAAGGATCATTTGGAGTATTTTTAGCGTTTTATAAAAATTCTAAGATATATAGAAGGACTTTAAGGACTTCTGGAAGGAATTCGGAAATATATACAAGGTCTTCTTTTTAGTTGATGTCTAACAAATGGACACTAACGTAATCAGAAATATAGAAAAACATGGTCGCGTCTGACCAAAATATGAACCTATCTTTCGAACGAATTGAGATAAAAGGCTAAAATTTTGCACACATGTGTATTTTCCCAGTAGGCAGGTTAAATTCGTAACGCTACTGAAACGGAGTATGAAATTTAGAAAAAGAATAGTTCGCGTAACCCGTGTTGCACCTACCCAGAGGAGAAAAAACTCAAGCCCCAGCCAAAGGCCGGCTACCTAAAACCGCATAAAATTAAAAAAAAACTGAACAGAATGTACTGACCAGCACTTTGGAAAGGTTGGATTTTAAGCTGTAATTTGGCATAAATTTAAATTGTACTCCCAAAATGGGGCCTTTTTGACTTTTGGGGATTTTTTAAGAAATTCAGGTCCGAAAATTCAATCATTTTGATACAACTCCTGTGACGTTTTAAATAACCTCATAACCTCTTGTTGGATAGGTATTTTTAGCTTTCACATGATACCTATATTGGCCATGGGGGCTTAGTAAGTCCGGGTCTTGAACACGGACTTTCGAATAAAATACCCGGCTACCCAAGAAAAAAATACTTTTCTCAGTATTAGGGTACAAATATCTACCTCTGGAAATTGTTTTCAAAAAACGAGAGTTTTTACTACACTAGAATTTTTCCCCATATCTCCATCTGAGATATCAAATTTGGGCATCCGATTTTATCCCTACACCCTATACTCCATTTAGTACTACTTAGTACTTTTCGTAAAATTTTAATACTCATTAGCGAACCCGTTCCCTATCTCAATCCAAGACACTAAAAATCCTAGACATCGCAATAAAAAATTGCATGACTTTATCCCCATCCCTTCACCCAACACAACATTTAGCACCATTAGATCTCATGATCAGATAAAAACAGAATTTCAGCTCTTTTCCTTTACCCAATACCCAATTTAGCATGTCGGTCCACTTTTAGCCATGTCGGTCCACGTTTTCGTATCGGGAGGTATCTCTATATGGGGGCTTATAGAGATACCTCCCGATATTCGCTATTTTAATGATTTTAACGACGTAATTCACCCGAATTGTTTCAAATTTCGTATTCGAATTTTGTGATGGGTGCTACAGCCTATTCCTAAAGATTTCGTATTCAGGTCCACGTCTTCGTATAGCCCCCATATAACGGTACCTCCCGATATTCGGTATTTTAATGATTTTAGCGACATCATTCATCCGAATTGTTACAAATGTCGTATTCGAAGTTTGTAATGGGTATACAGCCTATGACAAAACATTTCGTATGCATGTCCACGTCTTCGTATAGCCCCCATATAGAGATGCCTCCCGATATTCGATATTCTTATGATTTTAGCGACATTATTCACCGGAATAGTTTAAAATTTCGTATTCGAAGTTTATGATGGGTGCTACAGCCTATGCCTAAAAATTGCATATGCAGTTACCAGTCTTCGTAAAGCCCTCGTATAACGGTACCTCTCTTTATTCGGTATTTTGATAGTTTTAACGACATCCTTCACCCGAATTGTTTCAAATTTCGTATTCGATGTTTGGAATGGATACTGCAGCCTATGCCTAAAAATTTCGTATGCAGGTCCACGTCTATAGCCACGAAAAATCGGTACCTCCCTTTATTCAGTATGTTGACGATTTGTCCGACATTATTCGCCGGAATTGTTTCAAACTTCGTTTTTCAAGACCTTAATGGGTACTACAGCCTATTTCTTATGCAGGTCCTCGTCTTCGTATAGCCTTCGTATAAAGCTCATCATGTAGACGGTATTTTTTGGAATTTGTTGAAATTTTTCAAATTTTTTTCCAAATGGTGGAGGGTATTAAAGTTCGGCCCTGTCGAACTTGTCTGCTTTTTTCCTTTTTTTTTTATAGGGTAAGTGCGCCTAAGTTCGGCATGTCCCAGTAGTCGGCAGTTTTGAAATATAAACTTAAATAACTAAGAATAGAAGTGACCAAATAATGAAATAATTGCAAAAAACATCAACACTGATCTCTGCTCTCTTTCTGTAAAAAAAAAACAATGAGCATCGATCATTTATTACGAGAGAATAACGGTTTTTGTCAGTGAGTGTCTTCCAACACGTGCGATAGTGCTGTTTGTAAAGAAAAAATTAGTGGTGGCGTCAACTTAATAATCTATGTAAGTATATTAAAATTAATACTTTTGAAATCAGAAATATTTTATAATAGTAAATAACAGTCTAAAGATCATTTTATAACTTTAAAAAATACAAATTAATCATTTTTCTGTTATATTTTTTAATGCCGACATTAGGGACAGGAAAAAAAGAGATTTGCCAATAGTCGGCAGGGGTTGCCAATTACTAGAAAAATATCATTTTTGACAAATTTCACCAAAATTTGAGAGAAGTATTAAAAAATAATCCAAAAACTACTCAAATAAAAAAAATATTTTTGAGTGGATTTACACAGTATTCGACATAACTATGGTCCTTAAGTCGGCAGTCGCTTTTATTTGTGTTTTTTGACCAACTTTTCTAAGTTAAGTAGGTTTTTTAAAGAAGCTATTTGACGTTTCAGATAGCCAACATTTTTTTTCAAAGATGCCTCCAAAAGGAAAAAGATCATTTCACAAATATACGGAAAACGCCCTGAACGACGCACTAAATGCCATAAGAAGAGGCGATATATCAATTTTGGGTGCCAGTAAAAAGTATGGTGTTCCCAGGGCAACTTTGCAGGACAAACTGTCTGGTAGAGCTCCTGAAGGCCCAAGAAAGATGGGACCTCCTACAATATTAACAACTGCCGAAGAAGAGCATTTAAAAAAGTGGTGTCTAGATTTGGCCAAATGTGGATTTCCGATAAAAATTGACGAATTGTTAAACACCGTACAAAAAATTTTAAATGAGGATAAAAGAGTTACTCCTTTTAAAGACAGTCGACCTGGCAGAAAATGGTTTAACGCATTTTTAAGACGACATCCTGATTTAAGCATTCGGGAGTCCGAGGGAATTACAAAGGGGAGAGCCATAGTAACGGAGGAGACTATAAGAAAATGGTTTTCCGATTTAAAAACGTTTTTAGAAGAGCAGAATGCTACAGATATCTTGGAGGATCCATCCAGGATTTTTAATGGGGATGAAACCAGTTTTTCTATGTGCCCGAAAACTGGAAAAGTTTTAGCGCCAAAGGGTTACAGAAATGTGTATTCAATACAAAAAGGAAACGAAAAAGAAACAGTGACAGTACTATTAGTCTTTTCCGCTAATGGTAAAACTGTTAATCCAATGGTTGTTTTTCCATTTAAAAGAGTTCCCAAGGATGTAGTGAACAGTCTCCCGGAGACCTGGTTCCTCGGAAAATCGGAAACCGGATGGATGATCAGTGACGTGTTCTTTGAATACATTGCTAATTGTGTCCATAAATGGTTAGAAGAAAATCAAGTCCCTAGGCCAGTTTTGCTATTTGTCGACGGTCATAAGTCTCATATGACTATGGAACTTAGTGAATTCTGTGAGAATAATAAAATTATATTGTACGCACTTCCTCCCAATACAACACATATAATGCAACCAGCGGACGTCAGTGTTTTTAAGCCGTTGAAATCTGAGTGGAAAAATACATTGAGGGAATGGCAAAATAAAACGGAAAATATTAACAAAGTCCTTTCAAAATGCACTTTTTGTCCTCTGTTGCATTCCGTGCTGTCAGCAATAGATTTGGAAGACACCATTAAGAATGGGTTCCGGAAATGTGGACTTTATCCGTTTAACCCTGAGAACGTCGATTATACAAAGTGTGTAAGAAACAATTTGGAAAGAATGACAAATAGGAGCGATGCAAATAATGGTTTACATTTAATGGACTTCGACAAAGCAATTCAAGTAATAAACCTAATAAGTTCAAGGCTTAATTCTCGGGGAATTGACGCTAACATAGTTGTTGAAGAGATTGAGTCTCTGAAAAACTCTGAAGGCGAACAAGATATTGAATTATTAGCCAACGTAACCGTGCAGCCCAGTTCATGTATAGTCAATAAAGACTGGATTTTGGAAAAAGAAACCCGGCTACGCTCTTCATCTCCATTAAATGAAAATAATGCACCGATATTGACTTTTTGTTCGTCTCCCACTACATCCAGAAATGTAGAATTGTCGTTAAAACCAACGAAAGATTCACCTAAATCATCAGTAACTAGCGCACTTATTAGAAATGTTTTAAGTCCCGTTAACTTATCCAAACCAGGTAATCTATACAAACGTGCATATATTCTGTAGTGCCCAGGTATAATGCCAGTATACACTTTTTCTTTTTCTAACTAGGTTCTTCCAAGTTTTTACAAAACGAAGAAGGGTCTGTGTCAAAATCGTTTAAAAGCCATATTCAATTCCCTAGATTGACATCAGCAGTAAAACCCAACTCGAGAATCAAGCCTCCAAGTGCAATTTCTGCACTTGCATGGAGGGAGCATATTCAAGCAGTAGAAAATGAAAAAATTGCCAAGGCAAACGCAGTACAAGAGCGAAAACTGGAACGCCAGAAACGAAAATTGGAGAAATTAGAAAAAATAAGAAAAAATAAAAGAGGAAAGAAAAGGGAAAAGCGTAGTTCTTTCAACGAAGAACTTGACAGTGATGTGGAAGACTGATACCAATGCACCTGTGAATTAACTTATTTTATTCCTAATGTTTAAGTTTAAGTTAAACCAAAATGAATTAAAAACAGTAACTAGGTTAAAAGACAAAATAAACTCCAAATATTAAATTTATTCTTTTTTTCTTTTATCTCATTTTTATTTTAATTAAAAATCCATTTACTAAAGGTAACCATACTATTTCAAATTCTAGATTAAACTGTGAATTAGTAATATATAATTGTTTTGTACTATTTGAAATAAAAAATAATATAAAAAATAATATTTTCTTTATTGAAATACAATATGCCGACTACTGGCAAATAGACATGCCGAGCATTGGAAAATGGTGCCGACTACTGGCAAAAAACCACTGTTTTAGTAAAATTGCAAATTTTACCAATTTACTAAAAACAAATTAAATTTTTGTTTATTATTTCCAAAACTAAACAAAATTTGGAATCCAAACAACTTTAGTTTTCTGCAATTGAAAGATTTTACTCAGAATATTGAAAGATTGAAAAAGCGAAAATTCTAAAAGTGCCGACTACTGGTACATTTACCCTATAAAACTCCTTTGAACTGCCTTCAGTCTTATTTTCTGCTCCTTAATAAAGCTGTTAAGACAATTGTGTTTACACGGTGCCAACATCCGTGTTTTCATGTCTGCCTCATAAAAAAATAAGTTCTGAGGTACCGCCTCTTTTTTGTAACTGTTACTCCTGTTGTTTAAACAACAATAACGCGTCATGTAAACATCAACAACAACAATAACAAAATGTTATGTTGTAAAAATATTGTTGAATTATTTATCTCTTTAATGTTGTTGTTTTTTCTTTTTTATTATTTCTTAATTTCAGGTTACTGCCAGCCTGTGGGTTTAGTTGACGTCACCGATTGTTATTACGGTTTTCCCATTTCACTATCGTTTCCACATTTCATGGATGGCGATCCTCGTCTACAAACAGACATAACTGGTTTGGAACCCGACAAGGAAAAACATTCATCGGAATTCATCATCGAGCCGGTAAGTTGAACTTCAGCCAGCGACGTTTGTGTGTGTTTCGTCAGTCGTCAATTACAGATTTAGTTAGTCAATAAGTCGGAGTCTCGCTAGTCGTTGATTTGTTGAATAACTGTTTGAGGCCATAATGTCTGCTCGAATCGGGCAGCGAAACAAGTTTGCTGTTCTACTCAAAATGTTGCGGAATATTTGAGGCAGCATAGCTTAGCTATCAATGAATGCTGTCGGGCTAGCTGGCTGGCTATCTGTTAAGCGTGCGTGCCGATTATATTGTTCTTGATATTGTTTCCCCCAATTAACATTTCCATGTTGTTATTGAAATTCGTTGTGTGGCAGCAAAAATTAAAAAAAAAAAAAAAAACATAAAACAAAAGATGAATCATGTTTTCCCAGTTCCTTTCATAGGCTATGGTGGCTTTAGTATGCCGACAGCGCTTTTCGAATGGAAGATTTTTGTTTTTTTTTTTCGGTGAGGGCTAGAACATTCTCTGCTTTAATATGCCCATTAAAATGGCAAACCCATCACTTGCCACCGGCCGCAAAGCAAACCAAACCACATTGTGGCCATAATGTCATCATTAAAGTAGATCTCAGAAAAGTGAAAGGATACTCCTCGCTTTGCTTGGCTTTGCTTCTGACATCGCCAACTAAAAACCGACATTTCCGACAATGCTGTGCTAAGGTTAATGCCATGAATACATGTGTATTTAGTTTTATATTTAATTACCATTTTGTTTCGCTTGGTTACATTTGTTTTTATTGAAAATAATTCCACTAAATCATCAATCAATAGAAACAACTTGACTTTAATGGAAAACAATTATAAGTTGTAAAAATGCCAATTAATTTATCAAATCAAATCACAAAAAAAAAACACAAAACAATCTACTAAAGCTTCTTAATCAATCTTGAGGTAATCTATCTCATAAAAAAAAACTTGTACAAAAATTTACAACGAAATAGATATCAAAATCGAAAATGGAATGTATAGTATGTGCATCCGTCCATCTTTCTCCCCGCAGGTTCTGCCATAGGACTATAAAAACGGATTTGGTAAATATATGCATTTCTCTAAGTCTTGTGGGGATAGAAGAACTTAAATTTCCCAGGTTCAAGACTTATAGTTGTAATGGCACTTCATAAAGAGATAATAGCCAGTAGTGCCTATCAACTTCAAACGATCGCAAATATCTTGAAAACCAATGGACTACAGAATAGGTCCATTCTGTCGAGAAACCTAACCTTACAACCTAAGTGGCAACAAAGTCAAACGCCATGATTTTTACAATTTTTTTTAATTTTTTGAATCAAAGCAAAAAATGTCGGAAATAGCATAAAATTTTAGAATAAGTTTAGATTTGTAGGAATTGGTCACCTTTGGCCCGAATTATGGCCTTGAAACGGCCAAACAAACCGCCACACGTTGTCCGAATGTTGCTATGCGGTATTTTGGCCCATTCCCGGCGAAGCGCTTACTTGAGGTGATCGACACTTTTGTATTTTTTAGTGCCAACCTTGCTTTCTTCAAAATACTCTACTACATTTTCAGCTGACCCCGTTGGCAAGTAAACACCATCATTTTGTTTGTTTACAAACTCCTGGACAACGAATGTTTTCTCATCGGAGATAGGAGAAAACCAAATTCGGCAGTTCACCACTTTTGGCCAAGCGAAGCAACTCTTTAGCCCTTTTGAGTCTATTTTCTCTCTGTTGTGGTGTAAGATCTTGCACTTTTTTGAATTTCAATGGCTTTGCGCCTAGCTCATTTTTCAATATTTGGCGAATGGAATATTGCGATATGTTCAGATCACGAGCCATTTTTCGGCCACTGCGACGCGGGTTTCGATCAAGTCACTTCTTTACTTTTCGAACCATTTCTGCTGATGTTGCTGTTTTCGTCCGTCCACTTCCTTGACGTCGAGCTACGCTACCAGTATCATGGTAACGAGCAATGGTACGAGATAAGATTTATTCACATTTAAATGCTGGAGTGCTCTAACGATAGCCACTTGTGGTTTTCCAGCCAAATATAAAGAAATCACACTATCACGCTAGAATTCCATCACGAATAACTTTTTTTCAGGAAAATTCTCACCAAAATGCTTTGGTACGCTTGTAAACAACATAATGAGCTTTCACTGGAATAATTTTAACAGCTGTCGGACGAGTGGCTTAGAAATGATAGCAGTCTGAAGTTTGTTGTAGTTTTTTCATCTCACCCTGAAACTAGACAAAGAGATAATGGCCAACGTTCACAGAAGAGATTTTATATACCTGGAAAATTGTATTTACATCTTCTATGTTTAATACCACCTTAAAATTGAGAATACTTAAATTCGACTCCAAAGAGAAATTTACGCACAACATTTATTTATTTGTTCACGTAGAAATATTCAACTATCAAAGAATTTAAACCCTGTTTAAGAAATCTCCCCAATTATTATCGCTGTGTCAAATTTCAAGCGAAGCTTTACGAACAAACAAGCATGATACTGTATCTTCATTCTAATCAATTGATTTGGTCTACTTCAAATGTATTATATTTTAATTTGTTATTCCAGTAGATCTATCCAGACCGTTTAATACTTTGTGCGTAATGGAATAATATCTACATATTTATATTCATAAATAATCGACATCGATATCGAAACCTGTTCCAGTGTCAGCTTATTTTTCTATCAAAACAAAATGTACATCAATTAATTCGTTCTAGAAAAACCGATAATTTAATATTTGACAGCCAGAATTTGGATTTTATTAAAATAGCAAAACAAAAAAAAAAACAAACAAAATATTTGAAATGTCTGTGTGACGCAGTTTGAATAGAAGACTTTGGAATTTGAATTCGTTTGAAGATAGCCCCTTTAATTCAAATACGATAGACTTAAAGTACATTATTTCCCAAAAGTGATTGGTTGATTATCAGGGTTTATCCAAACGCAGATTTGTAAAAAACATAATTTTAAAGTTTATTTGATTAAATGCAAGGATTCTGAGGGTTCTAGTTCAGTTATTCCCTTCAATGGATCGTTCAATTGAACATTTGCGTCCCTACGCTATACACCAATAATCTATCGATAGCGCTATTTTAAAACATGCAAGAATCTACAATTTGTACCATTCTGGAATCTTTTTACAAGAAACCCATTTCTGTAAACGAAACCAGTATAACCAGAATATGTGGACACATTAAGGCAAAAATGCACTCTCTTTAAGAAATATTTGTAATTTTTTTTTTTGCAACAAAATAATAGCCTGAGCGCCATCTTTCGCTAGGTTGGAATGTTGATTTTGATGGATTGTCTTCAAACTTTAAGGATCAACAGATTCGTGGATTTTTTAAAGAATATTTTTTCAAGGATAAACAGAGGCGAGGAATTTTTTAAAGAATATTTTTTCAAGGCTCAACTGTGGCGTGGATTTTTAAAGAATATTTTTTCAAGGATAAACAGAGGCGAGGAATTTTTAAAGAATATTTTTTCAAGGCTCAACAGTGGCGTGGATTTTTTTAAGAATATTTTTTCAGGGATCAAAAGAGGCGAGGATTTTTTTAAGAATATTTTTTCAAGGCTCAACAGTGGCGTGGATTTTTTAAAGAATATTTTTTCAGGGATCAAAAGAGGCGAGGATTTTTTTAAGAATATTTTTCAAGGATCAACAGAGGCGAGGATTTTTTAAAGAATATTTTTTCAAGGCTCAACAGTGGCGTGGATTTTTTAAAGAATATTTTTTCAAGGACTTTAGTTTATTAAAAGTGGATGTTTTAAGCAATACGTTTTCAAGGACTTTATTTGATCAAACGATGTCCGTCCGTCTATCCGCCTGTGGAAATCACTCTAGCTTCCGAATGAAATGAAGTAGGTTGATAACATTTTACTCAAATGTGTATAATGTCTGCAGGACTTTTGGTATTGACAATGGATCATGTAGGGCCCATATAATGGTACCTCCCTTTTTCGGTATTTTGGTGATTTAAGCAACATTATTCACCGGAATTTTTTCAAATTTGGTGTGTGGAGTTCGCAATGAAAACTACAGCCTAAGACAGGAAATTGTCTGTGCAGGTCCACGTCTTCGTATAGACCCATATAACGGTACCTGCCGATATTCGGTATTTGAATTGTTTCAAATTTCCTATTTAAAGTTCGTAATGGATATTATAAGTGTGAGTTTTTTTCGACCTATTTTCCAATATATTTAATAATATGAGTTTTTTTGAGCTTTAGGCCAGTTTTTTATTTTATTTCATTTTTGATCTCCGATATTTCGCAATTGTATAAATTGCATCTTCAGGGGATCTACAAGATAATATAATATTCTTAATATTACTATCACAGCATTGATTAAAAATAGAAACAAACACAATGTTATTACACAAAAATCGCTTACTTGTAAACAATAATCGTCAAGTTAACTTAATAACTACGATAGAATGCACTATCGTCGTCGGCTGTTAATATTGCACTGATTTTGTTTACATATTGCACGATCTCTTCTTTTGTGTCAAATGCCTATAGCAATAAGCTGCGTTATCTGTGTCGCTCTTAAAATTTATTCTCTCTGTTGTGTGTAGATTGTTGATGTGTAACATTTCTAATGTGAGTCTTCTGTGGTAATGGTTTTCCGTTTGCAGTATTTTTACTTGTTCAAGGTTTGGCTGATGGTTGCTTGATATACAGTGTTCCGCAAGCGCTGTTTTTTGTGTGTAATTTTGGTTTCTCATTTTTAAATCGGACTTATGGGCTGATAGTCTAGTTTTCAATTTATTTTTTGTGGTACCAACATAATATTTCCCACATTTTTCGTTAGGGTTGCCATCGCATTGTATTTGGTATATCACATTGTGTTTATCAGGATTTTGTATTTTGTCTTTTGTATGGCTAAATAGCTTTTTGAGAGTGTTGTTGTTTTTCTGGGCTATTATATATTTGTTCTTGTCATATAAATTTGAGTTCTGGAATATATGACAAGAACAAATATATAATAGCCCAGAAAAACAACAACACTCTCAAAAAGCTATTTAGCCATACAAAAGACAAAATACAAAATCCTGATAAACACAATGTGATATACCAAATACAATGCGATGGCAACCCTAACGAAAAATGTGGGAAATATTATGTTGGTACCACAAAAAATAAATTGAAAACTAGACTATCAGCCCATAAGTCCGATTTAAAAATGAGAAACCAAAATTACACACAAAAAACAGCGCTTGCGGAACACTGTATATCAAGCAACCATCAGCCAAACCTTGAACAAGTAAAAATACTGCAAACGGAAAACCATTACCACAGAAGACTCACATTAGAAATGTTACACATCAACAATCTACACACAACAGAGAGAATAAATTTTAAGAGCGACACAGATAACGCAGCTTATTGCTATAGGCATTTGACACAAAAGAAGAGATCGTGCAATATGTAAACAAAATCAGTGCAATATTAACAGCCGACGACGATAGTGCATTCTATCGTAGTTATTAAGTTAACTTGACGATTATTGTTTACAAGTAAGCGATTTTTGTGTAATAACATTGTGTTTGTTTCTATTTTTAATCAATGCTGTGATAGTAATATTAAGAATATTATATTATCTTGTAGATCCCCTGAAGATGCAATTTATACAATTGCGAAATATCGGAGATCAAAAATGAAATAAAATAAAAAACTGGCCTAAAGCTCAAAAAAACTCATATTATTAAATATGTTCGTAATGGATACTACAGCTTATGACAGAAAATTGACTGTGCAGTTCCACGTCTTCGTATAGCCCCAATATAACGGTACCTCCATATATTCGATATTTTGATGATTTTAGCCACTTTATTCACCCATTTGTTTAAGTTTCGCATTTGAATATTCTAATGACATTTGACAAAAGTTGTCTGTGCAGGTCCACGTCGTCGTCGCCGTATAGACTCTAATATAACGGCTACATTCGGTATTTTTAAGATTTCAACATAATTTTTAAATTGCCAAATTCGTTCCAAATGTCCACCATTTAAAGATCGGCCCTGGTATTCAAAGATCGGCTTGGAACTTACAACGAACTTACAGCTTTTTTACTTATATTTTTTTTGAAAATTGCCAAATTCGTTCTGAATGATGGAGGGCATTCAAAGTTCAACTTTTTTACTTGTTTAAAGACAAATATCATTGTCAAAAATATCTCCCTTCCCTACCAAAAAGTTGTACCTTTAAGGATACAATATTTAATCATATTCCACAACTGATGTGGTTGTGGTTTCTTTTTCCTAAAATATTATTTATTTTTTTATCAAAAATATCAAATATCACCATCCTCTACCCTCCCTTCCCCCATCCCCATCCAGTTGATCGATTTCCTACCTATGATATCGAAATAATTGCAAATCTAATAGATTCTTGCCTGTTCTGAAACAGTCTCCTACTTTTAATTCTCCTATTTCGCGCTCTCATGTTTCTAACCCAATGTATTCTCTCAGAGTGATTTTGAAAGTTTCACCATTACTAGAAATCAGTTCATTCCCTCGGTACTCAGTACATTCCTATTACAAGCTCACAATACTTGGTGTTAACGTACAACAATTGTCCCTGATCAATATTTATTCACACGATACATTGTGGGTTGTGTTGGCTGGCTAATTACACGTTGATCGCCACCGCCACCACTTTATTTCACCTTCTAGACCAATTCCATAACGTCCCGGCCAGGCAAACACAAATCAATCTGAAATAGAATGTCGATTTTAGACATGCTGTCTAATTTAGTGATTAATCTTAATTATATAATTTGCGTTTAAACGGCAGCTACAACCTTTTATTAAATTTATTGAAAGTGGACAATAACAACTTCGAAGCTATGATAGTTTTCGTATTCTGACTATGAGTAGAGCTGTAGAAACTGGGGTTTCTGTTTCTAGACTTAATCGGAAATTGTCGAGAATATTGTAGTTTTTTTACTGGGAAGAGAATTCAAAAAACATTTCTAAAGAGCTAAGGAAGATAATTTAAATGGATGGGTTAAGCGAAAGTCCTAAATAAAAAAATTAGAATCCAATTTCAATGCCATCTCCTTAGGTCATTAAAAGCTCAACTCGAAAGAGAAAACCCTCCGCCTTAATATGGCAAAAAATTCAAATAACATCATTCTCAAGTCTCAAGTTTTTTTTAATTAAATTAAAAACCCCTGTCTAATGCAAATAAATGACTTCAAGAGTTATACCAGGGTCAAGGCCTAAAAATATTCCATTGCCTCAGATGAATTATTTCTTTTTTTTTTTTTTTTTTTTTGTCAACAAGGCAAAACTCAGGAATTATTTGTGTTTTTTTTATTATTACTTGTTGTTCTAAACTAATTATTGTTTTTGTTTTCTTTATAATCTCTCATTCCAGGAATCCGGTTTACCGCTTTCACTATCGGTGAAGGTACAAATCAATATGCATTTCCGTGATATGTCTGCATATGGGCGTGTCAAACGTTTTAGCCATCTCACCGTGCCCATGTTGTGGTTTGAAATTGTAAGTTTTGAAAATTGTTGCTAATTAGAACCAAGTAATAATTGTTCCCCCTCCCCTCTAGACCCTACCCGAATTACCCGATTCATTGGATTCCCGTTTTAATTTCTATTTGAATATTTTACCCTACATTGAGCCGCTTGGTTTTTGGTCTGGCATAGTTTTGGGTTTAGCCCTGCTAGTGTATGCCGTTACCAGGGCCACGATGCGTTTAACCACCCTCAGCAAGAAAGGTCAAACATTGGAGGTGAACTATGCCCGGGCAAATATTCTGCAAGTTGCCGCCAATGGTGTCTACAATCCGTGTGAAATGAAGCTGTTGCATGCCAATGAGAAAAATAATATGATTTTACGTAACGATGGCCATGAATCGGATGATTTATATGCCGAACTGCAGACACCAATAAATCAAAATCAACAGCAGCAGCAATCGTCAAAAATAAAACAACGCAGCTCCTTTGCCTTGGAATTGGAACCGGCCATCTCGAACACCGACACCAGTAGCAGCAGCAGCAGTGATGAGGGCAATGAAAGTGATACGGCCACCTTAACACTCAGTCGTAATTCAACACCCTCATGTTCGGATGATGGTGAAACGAATAATGACAGCTTAATATCGAAATCCTTTAACTCTGATGACGACGACGACGATGATGGGGAACAAAATGTAAGTATCTATTTGTTATTGAATTGATTGAAGTACAGGATGTAGTACAAGTAAGTCGCTCAGAGAGATAAAGTCGAAAGATGTGTGTTCTCGTAATTATTTAATGGGAAACCAAATTCGCTCTGAGACAACTACATGGACCAGAAATGAGAATACGCAAAGGGAAGTTATGTAAAAGTGACAAAACAGATGGCAACTCTACAAAATCAATATGTCACCAAATTAGAAGAGTTTAGTTCTTCGATCGTGGCATATTTTGACTATATAAGGAAATCGAACATTTATTTCCAATTTAATGTGAAATCAAAAATTTCGAATTTAGTTCCAAAGAATCACCGACTTGTTTCGCAAGTTATGACAAATAGAGGTATTGGAACATGTGACCCTTTGTGGGTGTGGTACCAGAAGGGGTTGGAAGATCTGCGTTAGCAAAAAATATTTGGATTTGTAAAATTTGAAGAGAGTTGGATGCTTATTTCGCTTTCTTTGAGTATTTAAATTTTTAAAATCATGAGCCCTATATGGGGGAGGTACCAGAAGAAATGGTCCGATCTCCACCATTAAAACAGATCTTGTGTTAAAGGAAATATTGGCATGTGCAAAGTCTGAATGGAATCGGATATTAATTTCGTGTTTTATGAGCCTCATGAATATTCAAAATTTTGACCCTTTGTGGGGGAGGTACCAGAAGAAGTGGACCGATGCACTCCATCTTTACAGCAGACCTTGGGTTAGTAAAAATATTGTGATATGTGCAATTTGTAGAGAACCTAATGCTTATTTCGGGGTTTATGATCGTTTTGGTTATTCCAAACGTTGACCCTTTGTGGGGCAGGTACCCGAAGAAATGGTTGGATCTCTACCATATCTACAACAGATCTTGTGTTAATGGAAACATTGAGATGTGCCAAGCCTGAATGGAATCGGATGTCAATTTCGTGTTTTATGAGCTTCATGAATTTTCAAAAATTTGAACCTTTGTAGGCAAGGTACCAGAAGGAGTGGACCTATATACTCCATCTTCACACCAGACCTTGGATTAATAAAAATATTGTGATGTGTCTAATTTGAAGAAAATAGGACACTTATATCACATTTTATAAGAGTTATAATTATTCAAAATTTTGACCCTTTGTGGGGGAGGTACTTGATGAAGTTGACCGATATCGTCCATTTTCGCACATGACCTAGCAATAATGTAAATATTAGGATTTGCAAAGTTGGAGCAAAATCAGATTATCCTTTCTCTTTTAGTGTTGTAATTATTTTTTCTTTGAAAATGTTGACATTTTGTGGGGGGAGGTACCAGAAGGAGTAGAGCGATATTGATCATCTCCGAACTCGATCTGTGTTTTATAATAATATTACGATGTACCAGGTTTGGATAAAATCCCTTCGAGAGTTATCTTGGACATCAGCCAGACAGACGGACGGATGGACAGTCATCGCAAGATCGACTCCAAATGTCCTGAAACGGATTTGGTCCAAAGAGACCTAGGGTGTAAAACCGTTATTTCCATAAGGGACGTTTGGCCGCGTCAAGTGCTATATACCCTCTCTAGCCACGTGGTTGAGGATATAAAAAATCTATTTATATTCCTATTTTTGCAATTGCTCCTAGGCTACATTCAGTCATTGTGAGATTACTTTTGCTGAAGTTGTATTGTTTCGGAATAATGGCCTTTCAAAGAAGGTCAATCTTTCCAGCTTTTAAGATTATGCAAATTCCTGGCACGGTGCTTAATTGCGTAGCATAACTCCAACTTGCCTTTAACCCAATAGCTGAAGTATTTATTTTCAAAATACATATTTTTCTTAGGTTTTATTTACTTCTTCTTCTTCTTAATTTATGAAAACAACACACACACTTTGCGACGTGTGCAGAGATTAAAAAAAAAATAAATAAATAAACAAAGTTCAACGAAACTGATTAATAATTTATTTATAATTTGTTTGTTTGGTTTTTGTGTTCTTTCAGATTGGCATTAGTTTGAGCAGCTGTCGAAGTTCGATGAAAGACTCACATGGGAGTGTTCCTGGTCAACATTGAGTAGCCAAACACAAAGAACCCATCATCACTACCATTCGCACACACGCACACGCACACGCACACTTTCATTCACCGCAAACAAAAGTATTCAAATCTAATGGAACTGGTTTTAGAGAAAATCATAACACCTCTACTATGTACACACACACACATGTGCGATTGTACGCACAGCTAGCTATGTGTAAATTAAACTGAGATTAATTAAGCCTAATTATCATTTAAATATGTCTTGTATTTATATGTATATATGAGGTGTATATCGCATGAGCACCATTGCCCACCAGAGATGGCTTAACATGAAATGGTCAATATGAGCTATCAAAGCGATCGAGAATCGATATCTAAATAGATTCTGAATAGCATTGGTATTTTCATCAATTCATAAGAACTCCTTAGAGAGAAAGATATGAGAATGCCCATGAAATTAAAACAATTTGAAACGCTAAACTGTGATAGAGAGAAAAAGTCGATGTACAAGTTAGTCCTGTGTTTCTTACAATTGACAAAGAGTTATAATAAATTATTTATTTGGGTTTGGTTTTTTATACTCACAACGTCCTTAGATCTATAGATTTTGCTGTGGCTCGTCTCATTTCCCATATTATTGTCATTTGTTCACAAACATTTATACTCCTAGATAAGTCCTAGCTTAAGCTATTTCCTTTTAAAAATTCTAGTACATACGTAAAAAATAGTATTTTGTAGTCCAAATTCTGCCTCTGTGAGGTTTCAACCAAATGTTTTCTTTTTTCCAAAAAAAAAAAAAAATAAATAAAATAAAAACCATCCTATAAACATAACAAGAAAATCGTAATAGATTGTCGATACAGTAATTTTACGATTTTGTGTTTTGAAAAAATGCAACGAATCTAAGAAAAAAGAAAACAATGACATTTTTAAAGAAGTCCCTGCAAGCAAAGACTTGTTAAAAATATATATTAACCTCCTTTTTTCTGTTTAGAACTTATTATTTATTTTTGAAAAAGACTTTTCTAGACAAGGGGATTGGCTATATTGTGTAAAACAGAAACGAAAACTCCTTATTGATGTCACAATTTCGCACCCAACTACCCAGTGTTCAGTTTTGATCTTTACAAATTTCACTAAATTCCCTTGTCTAAATGGGTCTTAAATTGTATGACTTATATGTAATTATAGGCGTATTTAACATTATGTAAATATATTTAAGTGGATGGTAATATAAACTTAAGTATTCAAGTTCAAAGACAATAATAATAATAATTAAAAAAAAAAACTATAAAAAATTATATCGGTTTGTTTTATTTGCTGCCGTACCCCTGGGAAAAAGATGACATTTCTTTTCGCTAATAAATAAAAGTCTCATTTATTAAGATATTTAAAATAACGACCCTGGAATAACACCTGTTTTGAAACAAGCAAATTACCCTTAGCTCTCTTGAAAGAGTAGCAGAATTTGAGTTATGTTAATTTTCGGTTATTGTTACCACGTTGTGTACATTGGAGGAGTTTCGATAAAAAAAAAAACAAATAAAAATACATTAAGTTTAGCCGGGCCGAACTTCTAATACCCTCCACCATTGGGTAAGGAAAACATTGTTATGTAAAAGTATCTGGAAACGTGTTCCACTTTGATCTACAAACTCCAGTAAGATGGGTAGGAGAATGGTTGGAGCCCTTATATGGGGGCCATACTAAACCGGTAGCCTATATAGACAATTTTATACTACAACGATTGTAGTCTATTGAGAGTCTTAAATACCAAATTTTACATAATTTCGTGGGTAAATGTGACTAGGATGACTAAGACCAATATGGACAATGTTTTGTAGAACCTATTATGAAGTAGAAAAAACAAATTTCACACAAATCTATTAGAAAATGTGGCTAAAATACAGAATATCCTAGATATTTAATATTCTGCCATCGGACAAATTCGTTAGAAAATGTGGCAAAAATTGTCAAAATATTGAATATCGGGAGGTACCGTTAAAAGGGGGCTATACGAAAACGTGGACCTACATATACAATGTTCCGCCACCGGAACTAGAACCCATAACGAACTTCAAAAACCAATTTCTAGACAAATATGAGAAGGTACGGTTGTATGGGTGCTATACAAAAACGTAAACCTATTCGTGTGATGTTTCGACACAGGAGCTAGAAGTCATTACGAACTACAAATACCAGATTTTAGACAAATCCGTTTGACAAAATCATCAAAATACCGAATATCGGGAGGTACCATTATATGGGGGCCTATATAACAAATGTTCTGTCACCGAAGCTGGAATCCACAACAAATACTAATTTTTAGACAAATTGGTTGAAATGTGTGGCTAAAACTATCAAAATACCGAATATCGGGAGGTTCCGTTATATGGGGGCTATATTAAAACATGGACCTATATAACCAAATCTCTGTCACCGAAGCTGGAACTCATTACATACAACAAATACTAATTTTTAGATGTTTTACGGGGGCTATCCCAAAACGTGGACCGATATATCTCATTTTCAATAGCAACCATCCTAGACATGCTGTGCCCTTTCCCAAAAGGAGGGTATTAAAAACGATTTAAATAGAAACCACACACGGGCTCGGAAAACCTTTAAAATTTACAGATATCGCCGCACATGCATAGGTCAAAACGTGAACCTATATCGAATTTGCTTTCAACAAAATTCAAAAATGCTAAATTAGAGCCGATTCCATTGAAGATTAAGGTTAATACTAGAAGTAGTTCCCATATTGAGATACCAAAGAGAGGAGACAAAAAAACTGATCTAAATAAATGACACAAAGAATTACTCTAAACAAATGACACTTATTTGATTTAGCCAAAAATTATTTTTTTTTCTGTCACAATCACCGATATTTTATTTTTGCAATAATTAATTTAGTATTATATATAATTCACTTACGCATTCTCATAGACATTACCTTCCAGCAACACATTCTCATTTTTCTCCATTCTCTCTGCTCTCCCTTTCTTTTTGTCACAATCAACGGCATCAAAGCTAAACGCTAGCTTTTCTCAAAAAGAACACATTTACGGAAAAATTCAAGAAAATTTGACAGCACAAGTAAAAGAATTAACTCCAGTAATGATATATTATTCTTTTTATTCAATCTTTAATATAAAAATCACTATTATCACAAATTTTACACGAACAAGGAACGAACGAACACAGCCGAATTTATGTTACAAACGGATATTAACGACAAAACGAAATAAACTAAAACAGAGTTGCCATTTTACAATTATTGTACAGATTTTATGTTTTGCAATCTCCATAATTAACGATTGAAGGAAAGAGGAACTTAAACGCAAAAAGTTCAATGTAATGTGACAGAGATTTTGAGAAAAGTTGAAATCGGCATTTTCTAGAAATAACCAGTAAGGGCCAAAGTCAACTTTATGGTACCCTACACCACTAGGCATGTATAGTAGAGCTCATATAACAAATAAATACTTTTTATGGGGAATTTATGAGAATTAAAACATACCAACTATGATCGTTAAGCAGATATAAAACAGATATATATTCTACTAAATTTTGCGGAGACATTTGTCTCTGCACCGATAATCATCAAAATCCATCCTATTTGAGCTGATATTACATATTTAGGCACAATAAATGTGAAATCGGATAAAGATATATAGGGGAGCTATATCCAAATCTGAACCGATCTTAATAAAATTTGGCAAATGTATTTTTGAGCTGTATTTGATATATATATATATATATATATATATATATATATATATATATATATATATATATATATATATATATATATATATATATATATATATATATATATATATATATATATATATATCCGATCATTGTTACGAAGTGCATATTACGCCTGTGGAGGAGAAATTTAACAAATCGGATGAAGAATATATGGGAGTTATTGTTATATCTAAACCGATGTCCACCAAATTGGACACACTTATTTCAAGGGCAAACATATAGCTATGTCTCAATTTTGACCGATTATCTCCAATTTCAATAGGGTTTGACCTTAGACCAAAGAAATGTTTTGTGCGTAGTTTCGTCTTGATCGGGCAATAAATGCGACCTGTACTTTGTTATAAATTGCGGACGAACATGCATAAAACGACTCAGAATGTGATTCTATGCATGGGAATTATGGGTCTAACTCGCTTCTTTCTCCATGTTACAAACAAATGCAAAAAGGCGTAATAACCTTTCCACTATGTGTTCTATGGTATTAAAACAAAACATTCGCTAAATCTTTGTCAATACAAAAGCATTACAAAAAAGAAAACGCATTCTCTTAGGTATCTGGATGGTCTTTATCTAAATAATTGATTTTTTCTGAATATATTATACAATATAGGTTAAACATAGAAAAAGGCGCAAATAAATGCATTTCTTGTGACATTTTACTGTCAAGTTCAAATTTGTAATTAAAATGTTATATTTAACATATTTAAAATGTTATATTTAACAACTCGCAGCTTTCATATATATCAAATGATACATTCCCATACTTGCAAGTATTTTCACAAATATGGCAATGTTAATCATATAAACAAAAAGAAAAACAAATTGTCAAAGGCCCAATAAAAAATCGGTGTCAGTTGTATAAAATTTTTGCAAAGAAATTATTCGATTAATTGGGATTGATAATCATAAATATATTCATTTAGCGGCAACGAAATAAGCAGAAATAAATAAAAGGTAATTGTAAAAAACCGGCTAGATAGATATATTAAATAATTCAATGGTATCAATTTGAAGAAGAACATTACGAATTCTTCTCTTTGGGTAATGGTGTTTCCAAAGAGAAATCACCTTTCTTTTCTCTTTGATATTCAATGGATCTCGCAGAATATAATCTCTCTTTTTTTTTTTTGTTGTTTGCCCCCATTAAATTACGTTGCTCTTATGTGTTTGATCATGTGTCAGAGATGGAAAGTTTCAATCTGTGATTCTGTATAAAAAAATAAAATAGAAGAAGTATATTTTGGAAAAAAATTGAGTTAATGGTGACCTTCAACATAACATGGAGGGTTTATTTATTTAATAATCATTCCCATAAAGCATAAATTTGTAAACAGCTAAATCTTCATAAAAGAAAGTGCTTTGGTAAAATAAGCCACCTATTGAAAAAACTACATACATGCGAGTTTAAAATCGCTGTCATATGACATTTTGTTTAAAATTGTTTCTCAAAAATTATTTCAATTGATATGTAAGTGCAAAATAGGTCTTGGTAATAATTTTCTAACTAAATCCAAGTTTTGGCTTAGGTTCTATGTAAAGGTACCTCCGAATGCTTGATAATTGAATCTGAATGGACAGAGAACTTTGTTACCAAACAAAAATTGCGGTCCTGGTTTCGTTATCGACCGTTATTAAAAGGTTTCATACCATATTTGTCAAAAAAGCATTTCAGCATTTTTAAGTAATTATAATTTTCCATACTCGATTTTGTGCTCTTAAGATAGATGAAAGAGAAAACCGATAAAATTGACCTTTGTCCCACAAATATATGTGTTTTGGTATTTTTTATAGAGTAGGGACATTGAATTTATAATAAATAAAAACTTGATGACAACCACTCAAAGAGAGAAAAGATCGGCAGACTTTGGTCTGAATGTACATTTTTGAAAATAAATTAATATTAGGTGTGTCTGGTTACTTTCCCAGCAGGAATTGTCCAGCAACTTCTTTCTGAGAGAGTAAGGTAGTTTTATTCTCTTTTGCAAGGAAAATGCGAAAAGTAAACAGACGCTATTCCTGCAGAAGCTTGCAACTAATCAGCTGATTTGTCAAAACAAACCAATTTGTCCCCCATAAGGAGAATTAAAACAAAGGAACCAATACTAATTTTACAAGTTTTTTAAATAAAAATGTTGGAAATAGTCTTTTATTTTCTTATTACATATTAATATTTATGTCTTTCACATTTTGTAAAGTTGTTCTCCAAAAACAATTAGTCTTGTTAATTCCAAAATAATATTTTCAAATTAAAATCACAAAAAGAAAGAAATAAACAATAGAAAACATCTGATTGAATGTCGATGAATAGGAAGAAGAAGAGTTGCAAGAGATTGCAAGAAGAAATTTGTCCAGCAAGAATTTGCAAACTCTCACTGAAAGAACTGTCAAAATTTCTCTCTCCAACCGCTCTCTTTTGCAGAACTTTTGGGTTAACAGACGACTTCCAGTAACAATTTGTAACAATTGTTACAAATTTTAGGGTAACCAGACACACCTATTATTAACTGGGATGTCATTCAGTAGAACTTGGTGCATATATAGTTACATGGACCCATTTTTAATTGTATTTTCTAAAACATAGCAACGACACAAATGGAATGAAAAGTATTTTTCAATAAAAATGTCCCCAATTTTTTTTAACCATGTTTTAGTACCACTTTTAAAAGATTTGAACTCTGGATGTGGCTGTGGCTATTGGGGGATAAAAGAAACGTCAATATTATTCCAAAATGAAGACTATTAACCAAAGTCTTTCAAAACATTTGGTATGTAAAACCCCATTTACATTAATTTCAAAACTTACGGGCCTACATCCTTATCTATAGTCCCAAATATTGTTGAGTGCGCTTCTTACAAAATCATATAAAATTCAAAATATACCACGGACCTTTGCCTCGGTATGCAACAATCGGAAAAAGCAAAATCTTTTGAAATATCCTGCTCTCAAGTTGGATGAAACAATGCCGAAGTTTCTTAAAAGCATTCAACCATTGTTGTCGGATAGCGAATATGAAGAAACTGAACAAGTGGCCCAAGAGTTTGTTTGTAACGAAGGGGCTCGTCTACAAGAGTTGCTAGAAAAAACGGCACAGTGCGAAGAAAATTGGCTGGCTCACAGATGGTTGAAATTTGCCTATTTGGCTAATCGAATGCCTGTAACAATTTACTCAAGTCCAGGCATGTCATTTCCAATAATGAAATTCAAAAATCCGGACGAATATTATGATTACACATCCAAACTCATAATGGGTTTGGTTAAATTCAAACGACAAGTGGATGAGAGTTTGATACCAATTGTAAAAATGGGCAAACTGGAATTGGATAATTCTCAATTCGGTGCTGTATATGGCACCTGTCGCATACCTCTAAAAGATGAGGATGATATTGAATATAATCCCAACTCCCAGCATGTGGTGATTATTTATAAAAATCATGTAGGTAAAAAGAGGGTTTTGTAATGATTTTCCATTGTTCCCAACATTTTTTTGTTTTATTTTATTGAAGTTTTACAAACTCCCAGTCTATAATAAACAAGATCGCATAATTAATGCAAAAGTATTGGCAGAACAACTGAAACGTATAGCTGATACGGAAAAATCGTATGGCCTTCCATTGGGGATTTTGTCGACAGATCAACGTGACAATTGGGCCCAATCATATCTGGAGTTAAGTAAATGCGGAAACAATTGTCAAAGCCTTAAATGTATACATTCGGCATTGTTTACGGTTTCCTTGGATCAATGTGTAGACTTCACGGACGCTGATAAATATAATATTTTGTCTCATCAACTAATACATGGTGGTGGATCCAAGCAGAACTCAGCCAATCGTTGGATGGATAAAACAATTCAAGTATGTTGCGCAAAGGCCTTCGGGTGAATAACATTATTTGTGAGAAAACAAATCTTTGTTCCGCTTTAAAACAGCCTTAATGGATGCCTTCCTTATTGCTTTACTATTGTGAGAAAACTTTAGTAATTTTCTTTTTCTTAATGTTCCTACAACCAGGTTATTGTCAATCCAAATGGCATGAGTGGTTTCTGTTACGAACATTCTCCAGCTGAGGGTCAGCCAATTGCCTTAATGACGGAATATTTGACAAAAATTTTGTAATATTTTTCAGAATTCTTCTTATTTTGAAATTTACTTTTAATTACCTTCCTGGTTATAGAACCAAACAATCAGAATTTGAAGATGGCTCCAGTGAACATTACGATTGCGCCTCAAAATTGGAGTTTGCAGAACCCACGGACTGTCTAAAAGATAAAATAAACAAGGCCATGGAAAATGTGGACAAATTAATTGATAATTTTCACGTGCAAGTCGCCCATTATCAATGCTATGGTAAAGAATTTTTGAAACAACAAAAACTAAGTCCAGACAGTTTCATACAAATGGCCCTGCAATATGCTTTTTATAAGTAAACGAACTTCTTTCTGTCATAGTTAATAACTTAAAGAAAGTATTTTTTTAGGCATCACAAATGTATTGCAGCCCAATACGAATCCGCCCACTTGCGTATATACTATGGTGGGCGCACAGAAACCATACGCTCATGTTCCAATGAATCCTTGGCATTTGCCCGATCCATGTTGAATCCCTCGGCCAATGATCAAATTCGAGTTGATCTCCTCAAAGAAGCTGTAAATGGCCATCGTCAATACACCAATATGGCCTTGCAAGGTCGCGGTGTCGATCGCCATTTATTGGGTCTAAAACTTATGGCATTGGAGAATAAATTACCACTGCCGAAATTCTATAGCTCACCGGGCTATGTGAAAAGTTCTCACTTTCGAATCTCCACATCACAAGTTGCCACAAAAAATTTAGCATTTATGAGTTATGGACCATCGACGGATGATGGTTATGCCTGTTGTTACAATCCACGTGATAATGACATATTTTTGGCGGTAAGTTCATGGCGTTCGAATAACGAAACATGCTCGGAAAAATATGCAAAATCCATTGAGGAGGCCTTGACGAAAATGCACGATATATTATTGAAAACCCAAAATGAAAAAGGCAAAAAGGAAATGAAGTGCAAAAAATAAGAGGCAATTTTCAGGAGAATATTTTGAATATTTTGCTCTACGTTTCGCACTTGAAATATAATACGAATTTTCTTTGTTTTATCATAAAATAATGGTCTCTAATTTCCTTCCAAATATTTCAATATCCATTTATGTTGGGTTTTATTACCCCTATTTCTTATTTAATAAGTTTTTTTATTTAAAGAAGCATTGGCATTTGATAATTATTTTATTTAATCCTGTCTTCCCTTTAACATTTGAATAGATTTACAATTTCCAATATTGATTGATAGTCTTCAAATGTTCGTTTTTTATCTTATTTCATTCACGTCCATTGAGAATAGTTGATCAGTTCAGCTAATTCTGAAATATCAAATCTCTTTAATTTCCTTCTAAATATTTTAATCTCCGTTTATGTTAGTTTTTTATTATCCTTGTCATTTCTTATTTAATATGTTTTTTTTATTTAAAGTAGTATTGGCATTTAAAAATTATTTTATTTAATTCTGTATTGCCCTTTAACATTTGAATTCTCTTCTATTAGAGAACATAAACAATGGACTATTGAACAGCACAACAAATAGATTGGTTCTCTTTCGTAATCTCTCTCTCCCTCTCTCTCTCACTTCGTTGACAACCGCTATTCATTCTCTGCAGAAAGTAAGAGTGTGGTTTCACTAAAAACCGGCTGTTTATTTTTTGTTTTTGTCCCCCACTCAACAAGCCCCCTTACGCCATTCCCCCAACCAACACCCATTGCATTGCTTGCTTGCGTGCGTGCATTACTTAAATAAAATGTTAGGTGGTTATACAACTAGGCTTGTGCCTTGTCCGTAACGATACCAGTTTCCAACTTGTTTAAAGTTTTTGATTACGTGGTTGTCTTTTATGTTTCTTGTCTTGGACGACAGAGTTGAGTTGTTGCCGTTTTCTTTCATTTTGATAAGAAGTACACAGTATCGAAATATCGAGCAAAGGCAAATATTTTAGTCAGTCCCCATTCGGAGCTGCTGAGAGAAGTACTATTAGCATACCAAGAAACACATAGACGACGTAAGCGAAAGTAGAGCACTGGAGTAGGAAAGTGTTTTAAAATTGAACGGGTCGTTGATCTTATCTGGAAAATTAAAACAAGCGATAATCGCTTTGCATTGTTGCTAATTATTTCTCAAAGGGATTATGAACAAGTATCAAAGGTGAAAACAGCAGCCGTTCAATATTTCTTTTTCATTTTGTAAAATAACGAAATAACGATATTGCAGGGCTCCTGCTGTGGAAGTATTTGAGGAAACCATGGACAAAATGCCTATTTTAACACGTAGAGTTTTAAGCAATTTGGTAAGCAAAACAAAATTCAAATTATCAATTCTACCGGTTTTAATGGAACTTTCTTTTACAGACCAAGAATGGCTTATATGCTCCCTCCAAGATAAGTGCTGCCTTGTGTTCAGCCCAAGTACCTCAAAATGCCAACTATAGCACTGAAGCAAAAAGACAAAATCTTTTAAAATTCCCTGCCTTAAAATTGGAAGAAACAATTTCGAAATTCTTGAAAACAGCTGAACCGGTCTTAACCAAAGAAGAATTGGAAGAAACCAAACGTTTGGCTGCCGAATTCCAAGCGAAAGATGGTGCTGAATTGCAAAAAATTCTGGAAAAAGTAGCTGAAAGTCAGGAGAATTGGTTGGCTCCACGCTGGCTAAAGGCAGCCTATTTAACATATCGTGATCCAGTTACGGTATTCTCCAGTCCCGGCATGACATTCCCCTTACAACACTTCAAAACGTCTGCCGACTATTACATGTACACTGCCAAGCTTATCCAAGGACTGGTTAAATACAAAAAGGTTGTAGACGATGGTAAAGTGCCTGTTGTGAAAATGGGCAAGAATGAATTGGACAATTCCCAGTTCAGTGCTGTGTATGGCACATGCAGAATACCTCGCCCTGAGGAAGATGCTCTGGAATATAATCCCAACTCTAAGCACATTGCTGTGGTCTATAAAAATCACGTAAGTTGCACGGAAATATAAAAAACCCCATGGAAAATAATGAAGATATTTTGTTATAGTTCTTCAAACTACCAGTCTATAATAAAACTGGCCAAATTATCAATGCCAAGGTATTGGCTGAACAGCTGCAACAAATTGCCAATTCTGAAAATAAATCAGGTGTTCCTATTGGTCTACTGACCACCGACAGTCGTGACAATTGGGCATCTGCCTATGCCGAGTTAATGAAATCTTCCACCAATGCCCGCAGTGTTAAGGTCATACAAGAGTCCTTATTCACCGTTTCATTGGATGAAGTTGTACCCTTTGCCCAAGAGGAGGTCTACAATGTGTTGGGTTTGCAATTGATTCATGGTGGCGGTACCAATAAAAACAGTGGCAATCGTTGGATGGACAAAACCATACAGGTAACTTGGCATAGACTATGAAATGGAGTTTGATATAAAAGTAACGATTCTTCATTTCCCAAGGTTGTTGTTAATCCAAATGGTATGAGTGGTTTCTGCTATGAACATTCTCCAGCTGAGGGTCAACCCATTGCCATGATGGCTGATTACATTAACAAGATTTTGTAAGTCCAAATAGACTTTTTATTATTTTTTTGTAAACTTATGAAAATTGTGTTGTGTATAGCCCTAATCCTCAGGAATTTGAGGATGGTGCCAATGACAATTATGAGCCCTTCTCCAAATTACCCTTTGATCAGCCCTCACCTGTGCTGGAACAAAAACTACAAGAAGCTGGCAAAAATGTAGACAAATTGGCCGAGGACTTGGAATTGCGTGTACTACAATACAAAGGATTTGGCAAGGACTTTTTGAAGAAACAGAAATTGTCTCCAGATAGTTTTGTACAAATGGCATTGCAATATGCTTTCTATAGGTAAGATGGAATGTTATGTAAATATGTTACAACAAACTACTTTCGTGTAAAACTAACTCGTCAAAATAATTTTATTTAAAACCAAATCTTTAATTACTTTTATTTTTTAAAAATGAATTTGGATTGCATTTTTAATTTATAAATTTATTTTCCAGACTCCACAAGTGTGCTGGTGCTCAATATGAAACTGCACATTTGCGCATCTATTATGGAGGCCGTACTGAAACAATTCGTTCCTGCTCCAATGAATCGTTAGCTTTCGCCAAGGCCATGATGGATCCCAAATGTACGGATGAGACACGTGTCGAACTGTTGAAAAAGGCTGTTAATGGTCATCGTGAATACACCACCATGGCGTTGCAGGGACGTGGCGTAGATCGTCATTTGTTGGGCCTTAAACTCATGGCTCTCGAAAATAACAAGCCCATACCGAAATTCTATCAAGCTCCTGGCGTTGTTAAGAGTGCCCACTTCCGTGTTTCTACTTCACAAGTAGCCTCGCCTAATGCAGCCTTCATGTGCTATGGCCCCTTGACTCACGATGGCTACGGCTGCTGCTATAATCCACGCGATTCTGACATTTTCTTGGCCTGTTCGGCCTGGAAATCAAATGAAGAGACTTCAGCCAAATTGTTTGCCAAATCCATTGACGAGGCCTTAACCAGCATGCGTGATTTGTTGGAACGTGCTGGCGAAAAACCAAAGGCCAAGTTGTAAACTATTCCCAACTCAACGGCAACATGTATATATTTTTAAAGATAAGTTCAAAGTTTTTTTTTTTAATAACAAAGTTCAAGAGATTATTTTACACAGCGTAAATTTTGCAATTTATTGAATAAACCTTGTAGTTATAATGCATTTTGGGTGTTCTTTTTTTTAATTTAAATGGCTCATCTAACATTATATATTTATACAATTATTTACATCACGCCGCCGTTTTCTATTTCCTCAGAAAGTTAATCCTTTTTGCAATGATAACAACTACAAGAAATAGCCGACTGAAAGGTAACATTGCGCCAACCATCCATACAAAGAACTCGCTTTTGCACCTAAAATAAACAAAAAGGAAATGCGAAACATTATCACTTCTCCGCCCACACCTCGCCGAACATTGAACACCAACCTCCCTTGATTCCATCATATTGCAGCATTGTCCAACGGAAACCACGGGCTTGGGAGGTCTAAATGATCCACCAGCATTACCCCAAGGCATTGAGGGCACCGAATATGATTCGCAAAATCCTCGACAAGCATTGGTTGTTATCAAAAACTCCACACAATCAGGAATTGAAATTTTTCGAGTATTTCCCACCTTATGACAGCCAGGTCGTAGCCATGTCTCTTTGGCATAACACAGCAGACTGAAGAATACTATCAAGGATACAACTTTGAGAACCAACATTGTAAGATCGTTTAGGAAACACCGAAGTCGTAATTGACACCAAAAACCGAGCCGTTAAATGTTCGTTAGACAGATTCTATTATCTGTCCGGAGATGTTAACACATACTCTGTTCAGTTAACACTACTTGCTTTTCCCAGCTTTGCAATCCTTTTTATGTTTGCCAAGCGTCTTTCGGGTTTGCGGCAAAGATTCTGCGCACTATAGAAATGTGGCATTTTTAAAATATTCTGTTAATGTTCAGGTCTTTTAAATAAATATCCAATGTGTTATGCATAATGTAAATGTTAACGAAATTGTCCATTCTAAAAAAAATCCTTTTTCTGGAATTTGTTTTAATTGATTCATTTGAATATTTTGCAAAATGTAATCTTTTATTCGTTTTTATGGTTAAAGAAAAACAATTCGAACATAAAGTGTAAATTTTTAATGTATCAGTCAATATGAATATATTTTCAGCCGAAAAGGTCAAAAACGAAAGTACTTCTTCCTAAGCCCGAAATTGTTTTCCAGTTTAGAAGAGGGAAATTGACTGTAAAAAATCAGCAGTAGTCGGTGTCAATATCACCCTACTTAGAAGTCATGGCCATGTGATTAATCCCACCACAAGGCCTGATTTCGTCTGAATATGAGCGACCTTCATCTCTTCTCCAGAACAGAACACCGGCCAAATTTTCTTAGAGACATTGCATCCTCCTCCATTTAGCCATTTACGTCTTCCCAATTCATTTGCTGATTCATTGCCAGATATGTTGCAATGACCTGGAAATCAACCAAGCTTAATCGACGACTTGAGTCATGAGTTTTAGTGCCGCTTGACTATCGACACAAAGGACTAACTGCGCCATTGTTCAAGTTTACTGAGCCTCAGGGCGCACCTAGTTGCCTGTTCCTCTGCAAATACATTTAAGGGATTTGGAACAACTTCAGTTTAGTAAAAACTCTTAGATTTTTTGAAATTTTATCCAGAGGTAGGTATTTGCACCTTGATCTCGGAAAAGTATTTTTTCCCAGACATTTCACCTTAAAGTCTAGGACCAAGACCCGGGCCTACTAAACTGCTAATTTAGCAGAGCCCCACATAACAATTAAAAGTTTTTATGGGAGAATTCAATTATACACTCTATGATTATAATTATAATTTGAAAGTTCAAAGGACCAAATAGGCCGAAGCATTTGTATCTTTTAAATTCGGAATTGTATTGCCCATTTGGTGCACAATTAATTTGAAATCGGAAAATGATATATATAGGAGCTATATCCAAATCTGAACCGATCTCGATAAAATTTGGCAAATATATTTCTGAGCTGTATTTGATATATTTCCATGAATATCGTTGTTACGGAGTGCATATTACGGTTGAGGGTAACAAATATAACAAATCGGATGTATAATATATATAGAAGCTATAGCTATATCTGAACCGATCTTCACCAAATTTGACATACTAGCTTCTAGACTCAATTCGGTCGTAAGTGCCAAATTCCGTCCCATTTATATTAGACGTTTGGTGCACAATAAAGGGTAAATCGGACGAAGTTATATATGGGAGCTATTTCCAAATCTGAACCGATCTCGATAAAATTTAGCTAATGTATTTCTGATAAATTTCCCCAAATATTGTTGTTGCAGAGTGCATATTACGGCTGCGGAGGGCAAAAATAACAAATCAGATGAACAATATATATGGGAGCTATAGCTATATCTTAACCGATTTCGATCAAATTTGGCATACTTATTTTCAGGCCTAATTTGGGTGAATATGCAAAATTAAATAGAATTCGGGCTGATATTACACGTTTGGTGCACAATAAAATGCAAATCGGACGAAGATATATATGGGAGCTATATCTAAATTTTGACCGATTATCTCCAATTTCAATAGGGTTCGTCCTTGGACCAAACAAATGATCTGTACAAAATTTCATCTGGATCGGGCAATAAATGCGACCTGTACTTTGTTTACAAATATACATGGACAGACGGACGGACATGCATAAATCGACTCAGAATGTGATTCTATGCAGATCATCAAAAGGACCTATGGGTCTATCTCATTTCCTCTTGCCTGTTACAAACAAATGCACAAAGACATAATACCCTGACCACCTTGTGGTGTAGGGTATAAAAACTGAAAAGAATGTACTGAACATAATCGGCTCGTCCGGATTCAAAGACTCATATCTCTGAGATAATAACCCATATTGTAGCATTTTGGAAAGATTATAGTGTCAACTATAATTTGGCATAATTGTTGTGGACTCCCAAAATGGAGCCTTTTTCGACTTTTGAGAGATTTTTTAAAAAATCCGGGTCAAAAAATCAATAATTTTGATACAACTTCGAAACAGTTTAAAACAACCCTTGTTGGATGGGTATTTTCATTAGCTTGCAAATCGGTTTAGTAAATCCTGGTCTAACCCGGGTCTTGGACCGGGACTTTTGGGTCAAATATTCGGGTATCCGGATCTGTTCCCAGAGAAAAAAATACTTTCCCGGAATCAGGTTGCAAATACCTACCTCTGGAAAATATTTCAAAAACAAAAAGCCGGGAGTTTTCACTAAACTAGAGTGAGAATCAGACGCCCAATTGACTCATATATTCATTTAATAATATGCGGTTCTATAGAGTTCTCGTATGAATAGAGTGCGATTAAGCCCCTCTTCGCACACTTCTTTTCCAATTTAGCTGTTTGGCTTCCGAAGATAGGCTAAATGTGACTTCATCCAGCATATATGGCGAAAACTTTGGGAGTTTCTGTTTTCTCGTGAAGTGAACGAGCTTCGGTTTTACATGGGCCCACATTGATAGTTTGACAAGAGATCCATACATTAGATCTGTGATAGTTTCCAGATATTATCCACCAGAACCATGTCGTCGGCGTAAGTCGTTTGTTCCAGATCCTATAATATGGCATTTATCACCAAAAGTGACAAAACACTTCCTTGTGGTGTGCTTTTGATAGCCGATCTCCTAATGGAGCATTCCCCTATGCGCGAGTTTACCAAGTTTTGAAAGAGAACTATGAATTGCCTAAAGTTTGGCATTGGTAAAGACTCCTAGAATGTCGAGAAAGGCTGCCAAATTAAAGCATTGATCGGTTCTCGCATCTGTGCAGCTTGGAAAGTGAGTGCTAACTTACGTATTGATAATCTTTAGACCGGAAGCTTCATTAACATTTTCTATAGACACAGTGAATCAGACCCATGATTTTCGTTTTCGAGTTGCAAGTGATTGCAAGAAGAAATTTGTCCAGCAAGAATTTGCAAACTCTCACTGAAAGAACTGTCAAAATTTCTCTCTCCAACCGCTCTCTTTTGCTGAACTTTTGGGTTAACAGACGACTTCCAGTAACAATTTGTAACAATTGTTACAAATTTTAGGATAACCAGACACACCTATTATTTCAAATATTCAAAATGTAGACTCTTACATCACATTTTATAAGAGTTATAATAATTCAAATTTTGGAACCTTTGTGGGTGAGTTACTTGATGGAGTGGACCGATATTGGCCATTTTCGCACCCGACCTAGCACTGATGGGAATATTAAGATTTGCAAAGTTGGGGCAAAATCGGATTATCCTTTCTCCTTTTGTGCATTTTTGGTAAATTTCGACCTTTTAAGGGGGAGGTACCAGAAGGAGTGGACTGATATTGCCCATCTCCGAACCGAATTTTCGAAAGCCAAATGCGAAATCCGTAATACTGAACGTGAAGGGGGCGTATGATTATTATTAATTTAAATATCCTTATATTACCCATACTCATTAACTTTTTATGCAACTCTGCCTTAAAAGAAATACAAATTCATTGAATGGTTAAATATTTTGACAACTACTTTTCTATGTTTTTTATAAGTCAATCAATAAACAATTTGTTCTCAATATTTTCCTTTCTTTGGGAAAATAATTGAAATATATATTTTTTTGTTATAGAATTAAGTTTAAAACACAAAAATTTTCAAGATTACCAGTAAATTGATATTTGTCGTGATCTTAGGAAATCTCAAAAAGAAGAAACGTTTCAAAATAACTAAGCCGGCGAAAATCTAAAGGGGGAAGCTGTAAAACAATTTTATGAAACAATTTTTCAAAATTCTCAGTTTTTAAATTAAAGATTATTGCAAATTTCGTTGTTAAAAGCAAAATCGTTATGAATCTTGAACCGGTCAACGCTGCTGTTGTTGGACAACAAAATAATGATAGCTTAAGCTCAACCGGAAGTAATGATGAAGGTGTCCTATCCGATGTTGACACCGACGACAATATGGATGTTGATGAGGAAATCGGGAGTGGAAAATTGGTTGGTTCAGTGAGTGAAAAGGCCTTGCAGACCCTCAACGAGTTGCGTTGTGGCAACCTACTCTGTGATGCTGTAATAAGTGTTAGCGATGGTTCGTTTAATGTTCATCGGGCCATAATGAGTGCCTGCAGTCCATATTTTCGGTATGTTGTTCTAGAAAATCGTATTGAATATTTTATAGAATTAGGAAAGGGTTTGGTTCTATATCCTTACACAACATACCGTTGTTAAATGTTTACTCAACGTAACATATTTTTAGAACTAAATCTAAATATATTGCAGAATTTCCAAACTCTTTCGATTTCTTTTTCGCTAATTAAAAGAAAGCTCTTTTTTTTCCTTTTTTCAACAGAGTTCAATTTACCTCCGCAATAGCAGCAACAAATGGTGATAACAACACCCCACCGAAGAATCACCATGTCCACATACCCGGTGTTAGTTGTGCCATAATGGAGGAAATCATAAACTATGCATATTTGCGGAAATGCTCCATAAATGCCGACAACGTTCATCAGCTTTTAATAACAGCCGATTATGTTGACATCTCGGGATTGGTGAGAATGTGCAAACAATACCTAGCACAAATGCTAACAGCAGAAAATTGTGTCAGCATAATGGGTTTTGCCAGGTATGTACACATAGGTACTCCAATCCGCATACACCCACACACATCCAATTCCAAACCATGATTGATCCGCAACTACTTCACATTCGTTTAATCCCCAATTAATTGAGTATCTTACATCTCTATTTCGTTCGTATGGTACGGCTTAAGAAGATTTCGTTTTTTAAACGATTTATATGCCAAGGCTAGGAGCTACTTGTTGCGGCATTTCATTGAGGTGGCTGCAAAAAATAAGGATCTGCTGCAATTGAATTTAAAGGACTTCTATGATGTCATCAACGATGATGAACTGAACACCAGGGAGGAGGACAATGTGTGGAAATTGTGCATTAAATGGATTGACCAAGATCCCAATGAACGCAAACACCATGTGGCCCAATTAATGCAGGGTGTTCGATTGGGTTTAATGACTCCCAAGGTGGGGATGAATGGATTTTCTCTATTTACATCGTGATTGACAAAAAATATGTGAATTTCCAGTGTTTCATGGAGGAGGTCCGAGAACATCCATATGTCGTGCAAAGTGAAGAGGCGAAACCGCTGATTGTGGAGACCTTTAAATTCATGTATGATTTGGACATTATAAATCCCACGTCAGGAGAGGTACGCCATATGATGTATGAAATGTATTTTTTTAGCTCAATGTTGTATTGTCCCTTTCGCATGCCCATTGCACGACTGAAGTTGACCACACCACCCTTGGCCATGCCTCGTCTACCGCATGAGGTTATATTTGCCATAGGCGGTTGGAGTGGTGGCACCTCCAAGGCCTGCATTGAGACCTATGACACCCGGGCCGATAGATGGGTGAATATACCGGCCGAAGATCCAGCTGGTCCCAGGGCATATCATGGCACGGCGGTAATAGGCTATAAAATCTATGCCATTGGCGGCTATGATGGTTTGGAATACTTTAATACATGTCGGGTATTTGATGCCATCAAGAAGACCTGGAAGGAGGTAAATGTATAAAACAAATGATAATTGCCAAAGAAAGAATATCATTTAAAATTCCTCTTCTCTTTATTCTTCGCCTTAGGTGGCTCCCATGCATTGTCGCCGTTGCTACGTCAGCGTGGCCGAACTGAATGGTTTAATTTATGCCATTGGCGGCTATGACGGTCATAACCGTCTTAATACAGTGGAACGCTATAATCCCAAAACAAATCAATGGACCGTTATAACGCCCATGAATATGCAAAGATCTGACGCAAGCGCTTGTACGCTTAATGGGAAAATTTACGCAACGGGTAAGAATAAAGGGAAAGGGGAGACGGAGAAATCAGTTCAAAAGAGAAAGAGAAAAAATAACAATTCTAAAGTCTTATAATATTCAGCATTGTTAATTGAGATGGAATTTCGGAATTAGGAAAAGAAAATCCCAGGCCAAACCACATATATGCGATTTTTTTGCTTGATTTTGAAGATCACCTTTTTGTAGCTTTTGGTCGCGTTTAAAGAGCGCCATACTGTCGCCCATTAAAATTGTATTCTGATTATTTATAGGCTGACTTTCCCCAACCCTTTAATATCCCTTCCAGGTCGCCTCAAAAGACACCCCTCAAGTAGTCTGTGATTATTTCTTTCTGTTGCTCCTTCCTGAGAGAGGGGAGCGAAACTTACGCACGAGCAGGATTGGTCGAAAAGTGGGAGTTGATTACGGAATCTACTCTTCACACTTTAGTTTTATGTGGGAGCATTCCCCTGTCACTGCTATTTTAAAACGAGTAAAAAATCTGAAAGTTCGGCCGGGCCGAACTTTGAATACCCTCCACGATTTGGAACGACTTTGGAAATTTAAAAAAAAAATCCGTTAAAAATTCTGTTAAAACCTTAAAAATACCGAATGTAGCCGTTAAACTAGGGTCTATACGACGACGTGGTCCTGCACAATTATCTGTCTTCGGCTTTAGTATCCATTACGAACTTCAAATACCAAATTTGAAAGAATTCCGCTGAATAATGTCGCTGAAATCATTAAAATACCGAATATCGGAAGGTGCCGTTATGTGGGGTTATACGACGATGTGGACTTGCACAGACTATTTTTGGTCTTAGACTGTAGTATCCATTACGAACTTCAAATACCAAATTTTAAACAATTCCGATAAATAATGTCGCTAAAATCATCAAAATACCACATATCGGAAGATACCATTATATGGGGGCTATACGAAGACGTGGACCTACATGGTCCATTTTCAATACCAAAAGTCCTGCAGACATAATATTCATTTGAGTAACATTTTATAATCCTACTTCATTTCGTTCCGAAGCTTGAGTGATTTCCACAGATGGAAGGACGTCGTTAAATCGACTTAGAATTTTATGCTGATGAAGGATATATAAACATCGAAAAATTGAGTTTGCTCGGAGCGCTTCCGCTCGAATTCGAGTGAGTGAGTCAGTTTATGTCATATTTATTTACATCCGATACGAAATGGTCAATATTGGCCCATTTCTTCGGAACCGACGCCATAGAAGGTCAACAATACAAGTCTGCCTTCTGGTCGTAAAATTGGCTTCATTGTCTAAAATTTGCTATAAAACTCTGTACAACCATTCCTTCTAATTATAATATTACCACAGTGTAAAACAAGTGATCAATATTTGGAGGTCAGATTTTGAGATTTGAAATTTTTTGTTTTTTGAAATGTCTGAAAGACTTTGGAATCGGTTTGGGTTTTAAATTAGCATTAAAAATGTTTATTGGGTATAAACCCTTCTTAAATATTTCTAATATCAAAGGATATAAAATGTAAGTCTCAGCCAAAGTCAAAACTTTGTTCTTGTCATAAAATAAAGCTATTGGCTATGGTACTACTTCATCGATTTAACCCCTTAAAAATATCAACAAAAAAAACTAAGAAATTCAACAGAAATTCCCTTTCCCGCTTTGGCTCAGTTGATAATAGCTAATTTTTGTATTCCCATAGGTGGTTTCAATGGCCAAGAATGTCTGGACAGTGCCGAAGTTTATGATCCCCACACGAATGTTTGGACCCGTATACCGAATATGAATCAACGTCGTTCGGGCGTATCATGTGTGGCATTTCGTGGTCAAGTTTATGTCGTGGGTGGTTTCAATGGTACATCGCGTCTGGCCACAGGAGAACGTTACAATCCCGACACACAGACCTGGTCATTTATTCGAGAAATGAATCATTCGCGTAGCAATTTTGGTTTAGAAATCATTGACGATATGATATTCGCGATAGCAGGATTTAATGGTGTATCCACAATATCGCACACGGAGTGTTATGTCCCTGAAACTAATGAATGGATGGAGGCAACCGATATGAATATAATACGTTCCGCATTAACGGCGAACAATGTAGCGGGTCTGCCCAATATAAGAGATTATATTCACAAAGAACGTGATCGTCTGATGGAAGAACGGAGGCAGCGATTATTAGCCAATGCCATGGCAAGTGATGAGAATTTGTCCTGATCAAATGCTATTGGGTTGATGGATAATGTGTTAACGAAGAAGCGTTAAAGTGAATGGGCCAAAGAGGAGAAATGATGCAAGTTCTAAAAGTTGTTGTCTCAAAAAAAAAAACGAGGATAACACCGGAACACTACCCCTCAATTTGAAATCAGAAATCTGCAAAGATCCAACGGCATTTTTGGACACTCAATTTGAAATCATAAATCTGCAAAGATCCAACAGCATTTTTGGGCACTCAAACTTATGTACAAGTATTTGCTATCGAGGATGACAAAAAGCCTTTTTAGGATTCTAAAACATTTTTAGGGCAGATCCAAATTTGATATGAAATGACATTAATTCTCAAACCCGGAGAAAGGAAAACGTGTTATATTACATTTTACAATTTGGAGAAAAAATTGCTGTCGTGGACATGATAACAATATCTATCAAGGCCAAATTGATTCCGGGAATAATTTTTAGACCCAAATATAATAGAAAAAAAATTATCTTTGCAATAACCTAATAACAAAATTTCCAATAAAAATTGTAACAATTTTGTAATCAATAAAAATCGAACGTCATACATAAAAAGTTTTATTCGTTCTTTTCTGCGTAAAATCTACGCAATAAAGTCGATTGGAAAATTCAATTCAACAATTGTTTCATTTCATTGAATATTCAGTTATATAATAAATTTTTCGCGGCAAAAAGTTCTTAAACAAATAAATACAACCAAAAAAAGGCATTAAAGATTAATTTCAAATCAGGATACAGAGACAATTGTTCAAAAGTCAAACATAACGTCACCGATCCGTGTACATGTAAAATTGTCCTTAAAACACACACACACACACATACTCTCACACACAAATACGCAATTGCCATAAGCCTTACCAAATCCAACCACCCCCTAACTGAGTTGGCAGCGCAAGTAGTATAAATATGGACGTTAAACTGAAGCAACATGTCACTTTCAGTTTGTTTTCGAAGTTCGCAGGACAACCTCGGATACCATGCGTTGTCTAAATCTGTAATGGAATTTCGCAGAACTTATTTTCGCAAATAATCATACATGGATTTTTTTTGCAGAATATTTTTCATTGCCCTATGGAGTGGAACATTGGCTCAGGTTTTGGATGTAATGCCCATGCAGCCCATTAACAGTGGCGGTTCACCGCCCAACGGCCATTTGGGTTGTCATCGCAAGCAGCTAACGTATCGTGTCACCCAGGCCGATTCTAAGGGAAGAGAATGCTGGGACTATGTGAGCGTATCCGCATGCTGGGGCCATTGTGATTCCAGTGAAATTTCCGATTGGAAGTTTCCCTATAAACGCTCCTTCCATCCAGTGTGTGTCCATGCCACACGTCAACCGGCTGTTGTCCTTCTGGGCAATTGCCATCCCGAGGCCGATGAAGAGGCTCGTCGCTATGAATACTTGGAGGCTGTTTCGTGTCATTGTCATACTTGCTCCACCATGGACACTAGCTGTGAAGCGCCCGCCAATAACATTTTAGATGTGAAATCGGGAGTTAAGGTTTTGGCGCTTACCGGCATGGATTCGGATGGTTTGGACTACTAGAAATTGTTATTTGTAAAAATAATGCCAAAAAAGGGATATAGTTTTTTTTAGTTTTTTAATGTATTTACAATTTAAACAAAAAAGAAGTTAATCTGTGCTAAATAATTGTGCCAATTAAAATTTATATAGCAGTACTTTAGTGCACACAGCGTAAATGTTGTTATTTTAATTGAAAATAAACTTGTATAAATAAAAAAAATAGCTTTGATGGTCGAATATTTCTTTGCAAGGACGTTATGAGGCATGGTAATGAGGAGGTACTAGTTGGCAATGCAAATAAGTGTGTGAAAATTTGTTCTTCTCAAGGATCCATTTCAAACTGCTTTCCAAACTGTTGCTGAGGTTGAGTGTGACCTTTAGGCACTGAAAAGCAAAAACAAATTCTCTGTTCCAGAACCTACAAGAATCAATAGGTTTCCAATGTATTTCGATGTCATAAAAGAATAAGTCGGTTATCTTAGTAAAAAGTTATACCTTCTTGCAGTTCTGGAATAAAGCATATGTGATTAAATGCAATTAATACAGAAATTGTATATTTGAAACAATTAAATTTTTGAAAAAAGCTCTTCTTAACCTTAGTCTCAACTCAAACCGACCATTTAACTTCAAATGTCTAATGGAAACTTAGATGCATCCTAGATCCATGTTTCAATGTGGATGTAAAGCATGTCTGTCATGATAAATTAACAAACACAACTAAGAAAGCTGTAAGTTCGGCCGGGCCGAACTTTGGATACACTCCACCATTTGGAACGAATTTTCAAAAAATAAAATCTTAAAAATAGCAAAAACGTGGACCTGCATAGGCAACTTCTACAATATTCAAATGCGAAACTTGAAAAAAAAATCGGTGAATAATGTAGCTAAAATCATCAATATAGGGAGGTACTATTATATGGGGGCTATGAAAAAATGTGGACCTGCACAGACAATTTTCTGCCTTAGGCTGTAGTATCCATTACGATCTTCAAATCCCAAATTTGAAACAATTCCGGTGAATAATGTCGTAATATACCCTCCATACTATGGTAAAGGGTATAAAAAGTTCGAAACATGATTGAAAATTTTGATTTTGTCGTCAAATTTTTCTAATTTTTTAATTATATGACAACATTTTGACTTAAACTGACAAACTTAACACATCACAAGTTTTAAAAATATGAAATGGGTTCTTATTATTCTTTGTAAACATACAATGTTGAATGTTTATTATACGAAAAATAAATAAAATTTTAAAGTGTTTACATCGACCACTAAACAGATTTTGCAATCTCTCAGTAGCTTAGCTATTAAAATTGCTCTCTTTACACCCTTTTTTACTGAACTTTCGGCTTATCAAAAAGTTTGTAATATTTTGTTCAAACTATTTGCTGCCAGACCATGTAAGCCGGCGTAATAACAAATCATGTCTACGTCAGTTGTTGGTTATGCCAATTCTTCTCAAGCAAGGGGATATTACCGTCCTATGACCTTTTTTTATTTTTGAACACATTGTATTATACTTAGGCAGATATGTAGGTGGGCCACTTCATGTTGTTATACACCTCTATAGAACCCTATTAATATCTTTGTTATTATTCTGCACTTTTATCACAGTTTCCTTTTTTTCTCCCTTTGTATATTACTCTCTCTCTCTCACTCTCTGTTCATAATAGTTCTCTTCAATAGTTTTTGTTTACACCCGACATCAGACGTTCAAGTTCAATGTTTTTCTTTTTAATTTTAATTATTTAGCTTGTAACAAATAAATTAACTGCATTTTTTAATAATAAATAAATAACAAATGGCGTCCTCTGGAAATCCAATTTGGAATTATTTTCGTCGCAACGAAAGCACAGCAACATGTATTGTCTGTATGAAGGAGTTGAGCTTGGGCAGCTCACAGCCCAAAAATCAGACAGTGTCCAGTATTAAAAAACACTTGGAAAAGGTACATCCCAGTGAGTATGCAGCATTCCATACATTGGAACAGGAGTATGTACAGAACAAAAGTCAAAATGTCAATTTGAAGCGGAGGGCAAAACGAAAAAGGCTAAAAGAACGTAAGGAGGCCCTAGAAGGACCCAGGGAAAAGAAGAAACCAGGACGTAAACCAAAAATCGAGAAATACTCTGAAACAGAGGATATGGAACAAAACAATGCCGATACCATAGAAATAATTGTGCATGATCCGTTGGAAGAGAGTGAGCTACCTTCGAGCATCAAAGTTGGAAAATCCGAGGAGGATTTGTCAACATCAGCTCTAGAATTCAAGAGGCATTCAGTTCGACCCAGTGACTCGGCTCTGAACAAACGCATCGATAAATCCATATTAGATCTGCTGGTGGTAGATATGCTACCATTTAGTACTGTTGAAGGAGAAGCTTTTAAACGCCTGAATATTGGTGATCCCTGTCGATCGACGAAATATATTCCAAAATCCCAGCGGTACTATAGGAACACGTTAATGCCAGAAACCTATGCTGATGTAAAGAAAAAGGTAATCACTTCCTTGGAACAAGCAGAATGGGTAACTCTTGCCACAACAGACTGGATAGATTCATCAAAAACGTATCACATTCAAGTAGTGTCCGGCCACTTTCTGTATGACAACCAAAAGCATATGGTAGTATTACACATGAGCCCACAAACCACTAGCAGCCCCAAAGCAAATCTTCTAGACTTGAGTCGACAATTCAATATTCTTGACAAAGTCCATGTGAATGTAACGAATGCTGGAGATGATCAAACCATCATTGAATGGTTTAATGTAGTGCAGTGTTCAGCTTTTCTGCTGGAAAAGGTCATTAGAGAGTCTATTTTATTGGGGGACAATATCGAAATACTTAAGAGGAAATGTCTGAGCATTGCTGACCATTTCGACAATTGCCCGCAGTCAATGATAAATCTACACGAATGCCAAGAAATATGTGGCTTGGCTGAACAAACACTGCTTCTGGACACCCATGATAGTTGGACTTCAACATTCCTAATGTGGCAAAGAATCTACGAACAAAAACCCGCCCTTGAGTTGTACACACAGCAGTACGGTGATCTAAAAATTCCCTCAGATTATGAATGGCAACAAATTGAATATTTAAATTCGATTCTGAAAATACTCTACCAAGCCTGGTTGGATATTAATTCGGATGCAGCTTGCGCATCCTTGGTCATACCTTTGCTGACAATGTTAAATGCCAAGTTTGAACCAAAAACTCACGATCCCCCCGAGCTAGCTTTCATGAAGCAGAAACTCAAACAACATTTAAATGTAAATTTTGCCTTTATTCATCAGACATCGTTTCTGATAATTGCCACCCTTCTGGACCCACGTTTCAAGATGCGTTATTTAACCGAGAACCAATTGGCATCGTGTCACTCTGAAATGAAACATAACCTGCGTATATCGCTGAACTTGCAAGATGAAGAAACCAGCATTAATCCTTCCTTCAATACCCTGCCACCCACAAATAACTACAAATTTTATAATACATCCGATCTTTGGGAAGACCACGACAGTTCCACAATAATAGCGAATAACAACAGCAGTGAGCATATTTTTCTGGCCTTCGAACAACAGCTTAGTTTCTATCTGAAAGAGCCGTTGATAGCAAGAAATGGGAATATTTATCAATATTGGAACTTGACGCCCTATGAATATTTACGTAAACTGGCCTATAAATACTTGACAGCACCACCCACTAGTCTTTGTGCCAACGAAACGATTAGCAGTGTGGCCACGTTATATGTGGAACGAAGGCTGGCTACGCTACAAAATGATGATGAAGATGATAAGTTGTTGTTTATGTCTTGCAATATAAAGTTATTCAATTTTGAATATTAAATATAGTTTGTTGGGTCGAAAACAAAAACCAAATAGACGAAATCCAAGCAATTGATTATTGATCTCAATAACAGATTTCATCATTAAATTTATTAATTTATGAACCATAATATTTATTTAGATCCTATTTAAGTTTCAGAATAGTTTAAGCACTAACCCCTTCATTCTTCCAAAAACCGTTGCCACTGATATAATTTAAAAAAAGAACGATTTTTTCAATTTTCTTTATAAGATATTTGTATTTGTGAAGCGGATCATTTCCAACAAAAAACGTCTTACAATTTTTAATTTAATGTTTAAATGTTACAGGTAACTTATATTAAAAATGTCTCATATTAACATAAAATGTACAAAAAAATACATGAGGATTTCGTGGTTCGAAATTTCGTAGCAAATTGTACAACTCTGAAATATTTTTCTGTTTTGAACTCGCTATGCATTTGGATGCATTCCCATTAGCTTTGCTTTGGAGTCAGCCCAACTTAACTTAAATTTAAAGGAATTTTAAAAAAAGTTGTTACTTATGAGAAACGATTCATTTGCAATATGTAGATCATATTTCAGAAAAGGAAAAAATATTTGCTATTTTTAAATGAAGACTTATTCAAAGCCCTAGAAGGAAATAAGGACCAGATAATGTATAAAAAGAAAACAGAACTTAATTATGGCATTTTTACTTAGAGGAATTTCATGCCGGAATTACCATTCGAAGCGGCGTTCGCTCTAGCCAATTGAGCTAGACAGTATAGACCTGAAATGCCCAGTCCAACGGCACCACCAATGGCGCATTTCCTTAAGCCGGCTAAAAAGAATTGGTTATTAAAATCAATATTTAATTATCTGAATTAAAAACCCATCCGAACCTGTGGATTTGTACAGCAAACCTGTGGCGGTACCAGCCACCACTGTATTTATATCGTCATCTTCTCCTCGCACAGCTTGTAACAACACACCGAAACCTGAATACATTACGGCCAATGTGCCCAAAGTGTTGGCTGTGCCTGAACCTTGTTTCATAACGTGATTAAGCATCCTAGTAGAATAGATTCAAACTTTCTTTTAAACAAAGGCCTAACTATATAAAAAAAACACCATAACTTACTGTGTCCGCCACAGTTTCCCAGTCTGTTGCAAGGCCTTTGTTGTTCTCAGACCATTATAGAAACCAGCCAAGCCACCAATACCGGCACCAACCATAACGGAGCTGCCTATTTGTGAAAAAGCCAATTCAAAGCGACCTCTTTGTTTGGTGGCACCCTCGGGGAAAATGAACTCTGGCTGTGCTTGCTGCAAAAATCGCGGGTCATAGTTTAGATAAGGCGAAATTGGTGCGCCGAATGTAGTCGATGCAGATGTCACATTGGAGAAACGTGATGAGTTCCTGGGTTCGTCACCTTCAAAAGCATTTTGTAAAGTGTAAATATTTGATTCTCCATTTGATAGTTTACCAAGCAATATATTGCATGATGTAACATGAAACGGGACAGACAGTTGCTATGAGACTCAACACAGCAGAGAATACTTACTTCCCGTAGATGGTGCCAATGACAGAGGTTTGCTCAAGTAATCATCACTCATTGTAAAAAGGCAGGTGTGCAATTAACTGTTTTTAATTTAAAATGTTGTGGCAAGTTTATTTCTTAATTTTCGCTGTATTTTTCTCTGGAAATCTAACCGAACTCTACACGTGAAATGTCTTTTCAGCAAATCATTTTTTTCTCTCCTATTATCACATATGTTTGGCAGTGTTGCCAAATTCGAGAAATATAAAGTTCTCAACTGTCATAATCAAAAGAACAGACATGTTTAAAGTGATATGGCCACAAATTATGTTTGGTTTGATGGGTGGCAACAACGAAATGCAGAGACACAGCACAATGGAATATCAATTTAATATGAAAATGAATGAATTTAGTTATGTTTTTCCGTATATGCATTCATTTTAATAGAACAAAAGCTATACAAATTATCTTGCTAACACATGTTTATAAACATAAACAAGATATTAATAGAATGCAAAATTAAAATACAATTTTTTGTTCCGACTGAATTTAAAAATCTGGAAGTACATTTATTTGTTATACAAAACAAATCAATCAGGCTTGTATCAATGCAAAAAATTTAAACATTTTTTAAGATTGCAATATTGATAAATCCTCAGAAAAAGCAAATGAGATTCGTAAAAGACCATTCAAAGGGAACTACAGAAGATCTTCGTATAGCATCTAAATGGAACGAATTCTCGAGATACGGTGATCACCTTGGCCTTGACGAATACTATAAACTCAAGACACAAAATATACTGATTTCTTTGATATAATGCGGAGTATATGACAAAGTCAGCTATTATTGTAAAAGATGTGAAAAGATATGTGAATTATTAAAAATGATAATGAAAAATATTATTTCTCGATCCCTTTGAATATTTCACAAACTAATTTTATCAAAAAAAAAAAAAAAAAAATAGGAACATAGCATTAGCTCTATATTTTGTTTCCAGAACCTGATAGAGTCTACTAGTTTTTCAATTTTCTCCGATATCATGTTCCGATATGCATGTTCACACAGCAAATTGAATGACGTTGTTTGCTCTCAGAATCATGTACACGAATTAACCCGTTCATACGGCACGATTCGTAATTCATAGTAAAATAATTACTTCTTTCAAAAATTTTGTTGGTTGATTTTTATGGGAATTTATACGAAAATGCATGAAATTCTCACTAATATGAATGGAAGAAATTATTGTTTTTCTCCCAAAGATTTATTATACCATTAATTTTACACTTTTCATTCACGTTTTCAACTTTTTGTGTAAATGTTGACATTTTGAACATATTTTTGTGTTTTTCCATTTTTAAATTCTGCTGGAGAGACATTTGTCAAACATTTTTTCTGCCGATGGAAATATTTTAAAAATATTGCCTCTTTTGTTTGCAGTTTTCGGTGGGAATTTCAACTCGTGGACCAAATGCGTGCCTCGAATGTGAGAGAAAACAAAATTTACTTTTGTTTGAATGTACATACGCCATTCAACATTGTAGTTTTCATTCATAATTTTCAGTCTTCCCAAAAATTTTTAAAATTTCATTAAATTTTTCTATTTTTAATTTTTAAATGTCATAATTTATTTTTTCGATAAATGCTCTCATTTGTTAGGGATGGGACATATTTTTTTCGTTGTTCTGAGAGTGATTTGATTTGAACAACGTAAAAATATGAGTGTTCGCTCAGGAAATTTTGTGTGAAGAATTAAGTAGTTTTTTTTATAGTTAAGTATCAAACAACGAATAGAGAGCGAATCAAGTGCAGTGGAAACGCCACATTACATTCTTTATTTTCCATTTTAGTTATTGAATCTATTTTAAATATTCAATGGTAATAATTAAATGATCCAAAAATCTTTAAACGTTGAGATTAACAAATCATTAAAGTTGGGCAACCCTTAGATTAAAACGTACACATCGATTAATCGATGTTCTATCAACTTAAATGTCATTTTTCCCCCGATAGTCAAAAATCGTCTTACGTTTCCCTAGTGTGGTTGTATTTCGTATTTGAGTATTTGAGGAGGATGAAGAAATAGTTAATATTAGATAAAATTTAAGAAACGCACGCATATAAATGACAAAATTCAATAAGAATTGCTGCTAGTATAAAGAAAAACAAATATACGGAACAGTTTATTTTGCCACAAGAAAAAAGGAAAAACAAAACCTCGGAAAAACGCACAAATACAAGAAAGCAGAAGAAGGCAGACGTCGATTTACGTTATTTCATTGAAGGAGAAAAACCATTTATTTATCAAAACGTTAAAAATGTCGTCCGCCGTAGATGCAAATGTTAAACTATCACGTCTACTTTTATTGGCCCACAAATTTAACAATTTCTATTTGAATGGTAAGTGGTTATGGGGCTATGTCAAACAATGGAGGTGGGGGTTCATTGAAATATAATAGGATAAGAGATTATTATCCTTGACCGGTATAAGGCAGCCTTTGTAAAACCATAAATATAAAGGATTTTATTGATTTTAGCTCATCGGACTATGTTAGATGGGTGTGTGCTGTTGGCTGTTTTATAGAGTTGCCCAAAGGCGTTGAGACGTTAAGAAAATGTTAGAGCAGTTTCATCAAATACTTTCAAAATAAGAAAATGGAACTAATACATTATTGCTGTGTACAAATATATATTTGTGAATTCGTTCATAGGCATTTGTGTCCAAAAATCAATGAGAAAATTGCAAGTCGTCTTCGTTTGAAAGAACTAACTAATGGCAATAACAGTTTTGTCCTTAACAGCAATGTAACAAACAGCGAATTTGTTAAATGGCTTTAAAGGATAACAAATGTTGTTTTACATTTGACGATTCCTGCTTTACAGTTCTTTAGTTTGATTTTCATTTTGTTTTTAATACTTGGTGAACACTATTGGTGCGAGTGATTGCCTCTACTATTATTGGTCAATGTCCATTAGTACAGCTCTCTTTATCTCAAATATTGATTATAAATTGCCATTTTTTTAATATGTATTTATAGTTCATCGTCTGGTAATATTTAAACTCAAACGGCTATGATTTTCTGCTTTAATGCCTTTAGACGATGTCTAGACGCTCCATTTACTTAGATGAGGAAAAATAATCAGCATTTACAATTACTTAATGGCATTGCATTCAAACAAATGTAGAAAGTAGAAGTGTTAAGAAGATGTATAAAATCTTTTCAGGATTTGAAATATATAAGCGTATTTTCCATGAATACTCTACTTCAAAGTATACTTGAAGCAAATAGTAATAATATTATTTCTTAAAACCTTGGGGATCTTAAGTATTTGTTTTGTAGTCTGGATGGCTTCTGGAAGCCTCTTGGGTTTTTTTTGCCAATCTTCATTTTTACTTAGAATTTAGTACTTTTATTCTTTGAAATGTATGTGTGTTATAACATTTATAAGAAGATAAGAAATTTAATTGCAGATAATAGAAATACACCAATTAGTCGGAGTATATAAATGATTGATTTGAAAACTTTTTGTGTATTTGGTGCGCTGAAAACTTTTCAAATTTAATATTAGGCCTTTATGGTGGTCATATACTGCTGATAACAAAACTAAATATTTAATGACGCTAAACTTGAAATAATCGTTTGGTTAGTCATAATTTTTCAGATAACTCGGCATTTTCTTTTTTTTTTTGAGCCTAAGGCTATTTCTTAACCAAATAAACAAATCTGTGGGCTTTGGCAAAGCTTTTATATACAATTATACATTTGATGTCAAACAAAGTTAGATGTATATCTACACAGACACCACCTTTTCAAAACAATAACAAATGATCAGTGTTACTTTATATTTATTCCATAGTTCGAATGTGTATATTCTTATCTCTCTGTTGAATAGACGTAAAAATTGTATCTGCTTGACTCAGTATACAAATAGCAACAGTTCAGTTTGTTTTGGAATTTTTCTGAAATCATGAATGACGACAAGAGGAAGAAAGCATTAGAAAGAGGACAATATGTGTCGTAAATGATTCAACAGCAATTACAATTTGTAAATAAATAATAAAAATTGAACATATATACATATATACGACGCCACCAAGAAACAACAAATCAGCAGAACTTATTTTAAAAGCATCTGTGCGCCAGCCAGCAAGGTTAAAAATGCACAGAGCAGCAAGAAAATTAATAATAGAGAAACCATTTCAATCGACTACTACACCTGTACCAAATTGAAATTTGCAAAAATATGGAACTAATTAAAGCAGCCAAAATAATTATCATCTTTAACTTCAGTCTACCATACGAACCCAAGAGCATATGAAGAAAAAAGAAAAATAGACCGGGCAGGCCGACATTCTTCAATGACCTTCAGAATGTTGTACGACTATATAATGCTCAAATTATATACAGACACAAACGAATATATGTACATATATAATCTACATACAAATTGTTCTTTTTTTCTGATCTATAAATTTGTACATGTGGCCGGTTTTATCTGGTTTGTGTTTATGTTTGTATCGACAAAATAGACTCGTTGTTTTTTTTTTCTTCTTTGGCGTTAATATTAAAAATGTAGATTTGTACGGCACATAGCAAGTCGTTGTCAAACGACATTCCCACAAAGTCTTTTTGTTGTTGCATTTGATTTGTTGTTTTCTTGCCGATTTTAATCGTGTAAAACACAAGACACATTTGGCAAATACTTTGTGTTTATATTTATCATAAACATAAACATTTATATACATAAACATTTATATACGTACGTTCATACATACATACGTGAATACAAGTTCATTGTATGCAAAGTGGAAGAAATATTCGCTATGGTCTAATATTTGTTGTTTTTTTTTCTATCAACATTAAAAAGATAGCAATTGAAAAGAGGGGCTGGACCCGATTATACATTATTTATAAATGACAACAGGTTTTATAGATCTATGTATGTTTTTAGTATCTATCTGTTTTAATATTGTATAAAAAAGATTTCTGTTTGATGTATAAGAGTGTTTTGTTCGATCAACAATGTCAGATTTATATGATCTTGTTTTTTATGAAAAAAGCATACCAATTTATGACGGACGGACAGGTTTGATGTCTACATAAGCCGCTAAATTTAAACATGTAAAAAGCAGCAAATTTGGGTAAGGTAGAACTATTAGTATCCTCCACCATTTTGAAGGAACTTAAAAAAATTAAAAAAAAACATGTCAAATGATACCCATTAAAAGGGGTCTATACAGAAACGTTTTCTTTAATTAGTAGTTTTTTGTTATAGGCTGTAGTATCCATTACGAGCTTCAAATACCAAATTGGAAAAAAATTCCGGTGAATGATGTACCTAAAATCATCAAAATACAGAAAATTGGGAGGTGCCGTTATATGGGGGCTATACGAAGGCGAGGACCTGCATACGCAATTTTTTGTAGGTTGTAGTACCCATCACGAATGTCAAATAGAAAATTTGAAAACCCTCCATAGTATGGTGTATACCCTCCACCATACTGAACATGAAGTCGATTTTTGTCTGAGGGACATTAGTGTACCATACGACACAAGTGAAACATATTCACAAGGGAAATTAATGCAATCCTTATAACATTATAATAATAAAGCAATCGCTCCGGGCGTTATATATTACTACTTGCTTCTATTAATTCCATTGTGCGCTGGAAATGAAGCGAAGAACCTCATTTTGAAACCATGCTGTTGGAATGTCCAAGGTCTGCGGCCAAAATGCGTACCCAAGTCTTTAATACACCATCCAGAATATTTTCGCGATAATATTCTGCATTTATTCTGATGCCTCGGTCGATTAATACGAGCGGAGAGCGAGCATCGGCTGTTATGGCGGCACACACCATCACCATGGCCGGCGCTTGAGTTCTGGTGGCCAACCGAAAGTGCACATTTTCAGCTGACCTCTTTGGCAAGTAAACACGATCATTTTGTTTGTTGTTGGGCAACGAATGTTTTTTCATCGGAGAAAACCAAATTCCGCAGTTCGCCACTTTTGGCCAAACGAAGCAACTTTTGAGTCTATTTTCTTTCCGTTGCGGTGTGAGTTCTTGCAGTTTGTAGAATTTCAATGTCTTTACCCCGAGCTCATTTTTCAATATTTGCCGAATGGAATATTGCGATATGTTCAGCTCAGGAACCAACTTTCGGCCACTGCGACGCGGGTTTCGATTCAAGTCGCTTCTTTAGTTTTCGAACCATTTCTGCTGATGTTGCTGTTTTCTTCCATTCAATTCCTTGACGTCGGGCTACGCTACCAGTATCACGGTAACGAGCGATGGTACGAGATTTTTTCACATTTAAATTCTGGAGTGCTCTAACGATAGCCATTTGTGTTTTTCAGTCAAATATAACAAACAAATCACGCTCGAATTTCATCACGAATAACTTTTTTCCTGGAAATTTCTCACCATAATGTTTTTCTACGCATGTAAACAATATAAAAATTTATTACCTCTGCCTTACATTGGGCATGACGAAAATATTCGTTCATCAATCAAATAAAACAAAGCATTCAAACAGTAAATATTTTAATTGAAATGTTGTGCGCAATATAACAAAGAACTCGTGAGAAAATTGTTATAAATTTATATTTAGGATATCAGCTAGATTAAAAACAAATTTAGGTGATAGTGCAATGCCTTTTTAGTTCGGTTTCATACTTTGATGTCAATGTATGTAACGTTATCGATATATGGTGTCGTCACTGGCGAAAGTTCAGTCCAAAGTTGAAAGGATAAATAATGACAATGTATGACAATAATTGTATGAATTAAATAATTTTTAATTGTAATGCTTGAATTGATGCAGTTTTGACTGTATTATATTTTTAATTAATTAGGGGTCCCTCCTAATATACCAGATACACACACATACATGCCTATATTTAATAGCTGATTATTTTTTGATTTTTGCAAACGAAAATGATTTTATTGTTGTACAGCGTAAACAACTCACTTTTGTTTGATTATGATGCAATATGAAGAGGGAAACGGACAATATATAAAAACAAATAAACAAAAAAGTAAATGAAAACAAATAAACTATAAACAAAGATCAAAATGCATTCGCTGCCACACATGCCAATACAAATATCAACAAAATATTAATTAGTTTATTTTCTTTTGCCGTTTTATACATAGATTATTGACATGGTTATCATGAATAAGATTATCGTCAGTCAAACAAATAAATACTATTTTGGAATTTTAATAACTGTTTTCTTTTTTGTTTTTGTTATAGGATTCCAAAAAGGAGATATACGTCCTTTTCTAGTCGAAGGTCAACAAGTTGGCCTGATTAAATCTGATGTGATTAAACAGTTAAACAAATACCCTGAAGTGTTTTGCATACGTGATTGTGAATACACAAAACAGGTTAGTTATCTGGCTATTGAATACTATTTGCGTGTGTGTGTGATTTTTAATGAATCTATTTTTGTTTCCTTTCTATTTAGGGTATTGTGGAACTAAATCCCGCCTTTCGCGATTATTCTGAACGCACCGAAAAACTTGATAAAGTTCTTAGAGAACTTAGATCAAAAGGCATATTTTCCGCATTACAAGGATGGAGAGAGGAGGTAAAGGAAGCAAACACAGTTACAGTTATTGAAGTTCTAATATCTATTTTCTTCCTTTGTTTTCAGTATTATGAAGTTAAGGCCGAACACAATAGCCTCTTAAAAATGGATCGATCGGCTACACCTTTATTCGGTGTACGAAAATATGGTGTCGACATTAACGGCTATGTAAAACATCCTACTCAAGGCCTTTGCATTTGGTTGCAACAGCGCTCAAATACCAAAGAAACCTGGCCGGGAAAATGGGACAATATGGTGGGCGGAGGTCTGTCAGTGGGCTATGGCATTAAAGAGACCGCCATTAAGGAGGCAGCCGAAGAAGCTTCCATACCCAGTGATCTGGTTAAAAATCTAGTATCGGCCGGTTGTGTTTCGTTTTTCTTCGAAAGTGAACAGGGTTTATTTCCAAATACCGAGTATGTATTTGATTTAGAACTGCCATTGGATTTTGTGCCCCACAACGCTGACGGAGAGGTACAAGCTTTTGAGCTATTACCCGCCAAGGAGTGCATCGAAAGAGTCTTTACCCCCGATTTTAAAACTACCAGCTGTCCGGTGGTAATTGATTTCCTAATAAGGCATGGTATTATAACTCCAGAAAATGGTGAGTAATAACAAATAAAATAGACAATGTGTTCAATTTAACTAAAGTACAGGGTGAGATAAAAAAAAACTGCAACAAAGTCGAACTCCATAATTTTTAATTTTATTGAATGAAAACAAAAAATGTCGGAAATAGCATCAAATTTTTAATAAGTTTAGATTTGTTCGAGTTGGTAACCTATGGCACGAATTATGACCTTCAAACGACCAATGAAACCATCACACGCTGCCCGAATGTTGCTCTGCTGTATTTTAGACCATTCCCGGCGAAGCGCTTGCTTGAGATGATCGACACTTTGGTATTTTTTAGTGCCAAACTTGCTTTCCAAAATAATACAGACACAATAGTCCAACGGATTGGTATCTGGAGATTTTGGTGGTTTTTGTGCCGTGGAAATGAAGCGAGAAATCTCATTTGTAACCATTCTTGGGTGGCGCGTGCTGAGGGGTTTACCCCGAGCTCCTTTTTCAATATTTGCCGAATGAAATATTGTGATATGATCAGCTCACGAGCCATTTTTCGGCCAGTGCAATGAGGGTTTCGATCAAGTCACTTCTTTACTTTTCGAACCATTTCGGCTAATGTTCTGTTTTCTTTCGTCAACTTTCTTGACGTCGGGCTACGCTACCAGTATCACAGTAACGAGCGATGGTACGAGACACAATAGATTTATTCACATTTAAATGCTGGAGTGCTCTAACCATAGGCACTTGTGGTTTTCCAGCCAAATATAAAAAAATCACACTATCACACTTGAATTCTATCACGAATAACTTTTTTCTGGAAAATTCTCACCAAAATGCTTTTGTACGCTTGTAAACAATATAATGACCTGTCACTGGAATAATTTTAACGGCTTTCGGACGAGTGGCTTAAAAATGACAGCAGCCTGAAGTTGGTTGCGGTTTTTTCATCTCACCCTGTATTTGCAAAAAATGCATTCCGCAAATTAATAATATTTTGTTTTTTATTTTTATATATATATTTAGAATTTTGGTTCACGCAAATCATCGAGCTGTTACATGTGCCCTTGCAATCATTGTATACATACAAACAAAGGCTAGATGAATGCAAAAAGCAGCTGCAACTGCAATCTCAACCGTCAACGGATCAACAACAATCAATAGATAAATTAGTAACAAATAATAAAATTATTGAAAATGGACACAACAAACCAGCAACTGAGGCCAATTAAATTAGCAGAGACATAGGTACATAGATGGCAACATAAAAGAAAACAACGATTATTAAAATTGATTGCATATTGCAGATTCTCTTAAAATCCACTTTTGAAAGACTGCATTAAACAAAATTAACAAAAAAAAAAAACCTTATAGTTTAGACCAGCCATTACATCTTAATGTTCCCATAATCCCGCAAAAACGTAAATAGACATCTTCTATTTGAAGTTAGGTTATGAAAACAAATAAATTCGGCGACGGCAATGAAAAAATAAACGAGAAGTAAAAGCTAATAGAATCTACAAACACATTACACTCCATACGCGATATTAACGAATGTTAATTGAAGAGAGCATATTATTTCTGTATTTTATTTGCTGTGCATAGTTTTTAAAATATATGATAAACAAAAAACGGTAAATATTTCAATAGACACGATGTATTCTCTATATATAAATATATAAAGCTTATAACTCCATTTAATATTACATATGAATATATTTGACTTTAATATTTTGGCTTAAAATAATCCAAACAAAATAAATATGTAGTGCCTGTTATTGTTTTTCATTCAAAACTTTTTCCAAAAAAGACAAAAAAATTCCACTTTAATATTTTACTATGTGTTGTATATTCTGTAATTGTCATTATTAAACATGTTTGTATATAGTTTCGTATCCCCTTTTTTTATTAAATATACGTTAAACTTTAAAAGTTTCAAAAAAAAATATATAAATAATTATTGGCTTAGAAAAACATGTTGGGGAAAACACAAACCAAATTCTTTTTTTATTCAAAATATCTAAAGATTTTACAACGATAAATATAAATTCGGAATTGAAATAACCTTATTCAAATCGTTCTCTACAAGTTGTGTAGTATATATCTGTCACTATATATTCATTGTATGGGTTTTCGCGTTTATCTTATCCCGCCTTTCTCTCTTTTTCTTTCTATTTTAAACAAACCAAAGTGCTCAAATTGTTTTTGTACTTTTTGTTGTTTTTTATAATTAATAAATATATATATATATAGATATAGATAAATATGAGGCGATGTTTTTTTGCAATATAATACAATTATATATATATTACATGCATATATTTAAAGAAAACCAGAATAAAAGACACAATGGTGTATACCAAGAAAGTTGTTTTCAATTATATTCGTAATTGATGTTTAGGAATATTGGACCTATATCGAAAAGGTTTTGTTTTGGTAGGAATTGTTACAAGAATTTCATACCATAAAACAAATCGATCTTGTTCTCTTCTTGATTTTCTTGGGGACATTACTTCTCCTTCCATCTAGTCATTTTTGTTGAATTCTCATGGAGAAGTGTTCACGCATCGCACGAATCAAGTGGCACAGGGGTGGTCTAACCGAGGTCTCAACTTCATTGTCAATTGATTCGGATGCAAGTCTTGTCAATTCATCTGCTGCCTCATTACCTGGAATATTGTAATGGCTTAGAATCCAACAGAGCTTGATGGGCAACAAAGTATTTTCCAAGGCTTTTCTACACTCCAAAACTGCCATAGATTAAATGGGAAAAGAACTAAAAGATATCAGTGCCGCTTGAATATCGACGTTTATAATCACCGAACCGTTATCGTCACTGTTCCTGATTGCCAATAGATCTATGGCTTTTTTGATCGCAAAGAGTTCTGCCTTAAATACACTACACTTGTTGTTAAGTTTGTAGGATTTAGGTATGATATCTTTATCATATTCCCACATTCTATCTTAGAACCGTCGATATAGGCAGCTATACCGCAAAAAGATGGATTGTTACGGGTCCAGACGACCCTCTCAAATGTGCAGATTTCAATTGGTTCGAAATGACTTCTCCTTTTATAAAGCTTACAAAAGCATTTTGGTTAGAATTTTCCACAAAAAAGTTATTCGTGATAAAATTCAAGCGCGATAGTGTGATTTCTTTATATTTGGCTGGAAAACCACAAGTGACTATCGTTAGAACTCTCCAGCATTTAATTGTGAATAAATATTTTGTGTCTCGTACCATCGCTCGTTACCTTGATACTGGTAGCGTAGCTCGACGTCAAGGAAGTGTACGGAAGAAAACAGCAACATAAGCAGAAATGCTTTGAAAAGAAATGAGGCGACTTGATCAAAACCTGCGTCACAGTGGCCGAAAAATGGCTCGTGAGCTGAACATATCGCAATATTCCATTCGACAAATATTGAAAAATGAGCTCGGGGTAAAGCCAGAGGTGCAAGAACTTAAACCGCAACCAAAAGAAAATAGACTCAAAAGAGTTGCTTCTCTTGGCCGAAAGTGGTGAAACGCCGAATTTGGTTTTCTCCGATGAGAAGACATTCGTTGTCCAGCAGTTTGTAAACAAACAAAATTATCGTGTTTACTTGCCAAAGAGGTCAGCTGAAAGTGTGCACCTTCGGTGCAGGAAGGGAAGCCTTGGGCACGCTAACATTTTGGCCGCAGATCTGTGACATTCCAACAAGACTCAGCACCATCACACTCAGCAATAACTCAGAATGGTTACAAAATGAGGTTCCTTGCTTCATTTGCAGTGCACAATGGCTACCAAAATCTCCGGATACCAGTCCGTTGGACTATTGTGTCTGGAGTATTTTGGAAAGCCAGGTTGACACTAAAAAATACCAAAGTGTCGATCACCTCAAGCAAGCGCCTTTCAGAGAATGGGCCAAAATACCACAGAGCAACATTCAGGCAGCGTGTGATGGTTTTATTGGCAGTTTGAAGGCTATAATTCGTTCCAAAGGTGACCAATTCGAACAAATCTTGACTTATTCTAAAATTTTATGCTATTTCTTCTTTTGGTTGCTGCACAATTTGATAATTTCGAAGGCTGATATCATTTTTTAAATAAAAAATCCCCATTAAAAGTCAAGAGAAGCATAAAATCTGTATGCTTTATATTGTCCAAGAGGACGAAGGGGTCATTCTTGTCTTAAAAGTTCCTAACTCCATTATGGGCATATGGTGACGAAAGAAGAAATATTCTCTTTAAATTACAACGCATATCTAAAACAATTTTTTAATATTTTCTTTGCACTAAATTTTTTAGACAAAAACATCCCCCTAAAATTGAAATAGCCACCACATCAACACACATTGGTAATTTGAACATCTGCGCAAATTAGAATTCCTATACACGGACGGTTTCTTCTCACGGTCTAATGATCTTACCAGACGTTGCACGACGAAGGTAAATGGAAGTCACATTTGTTCTTTCAAATCACCCTTAACTTTGCGTCACCTTAGGCAATGGGAACAATTGAAGGTAAAAAAATCGAGTAAAACTGTGGCCTCTTTTTGCGATGTAGAAGTGCATCAATCATTTTTATTTCTTTGCTGTTACTCAAAACAGGAAATACTCCTCTTCCTTTTTCCTATTGTTCTCTGCAAAGTGAAAACAATGGATATAAAAATCTCTTGTCGCCGAGAAAGAAACGAAAGTCTAATGGATCTTTGATTAATTGTTTTCAATTGTGATCGTGGGAAATATTTTTCTTCCACATCCCCTGACATCCTCGAAGGAAAACCCAAACAAAAAATTCACCATTTATTTTTAAATTTTTCAAAAAGTATATTTCTTTTTCAAATCTCATCCACAATGGAATGCTTGTAGAACATAGAATACAAAAAAAGACATCTTGCTTGGGAATGCTTACGAAGTAGGGACTTTGTTGGAGGAGCTTGTATTAACATAATTCGCTTTCTTTTTATTCTCTAAGGGTGGTTAGACATATAATTTCTAATAAGAAAGAACTTAATCTAGGATTTAGCCTAAAATTTGTTTTTTATAAATACATTTTTATCAGGGTAGCTACCGCTCGTTGTCGACGTCCAGCCTTTACACATTTCTCGCCTTCAGCACCTGTTTCTGGGGACTGGGAATGTTTTCCTTGCCGGGGAAGAGAACAGTCTTTTTGGGTGTGGTGCGTGGCGTGTGCGACGAGGTGGTTTTTGGTGTGCGTGGTGTTCGTGGCGTATTGACTGTGGTTACCTTGCCGCCCGACGAACGAACAGGTGTCGTGCAGGTTGTACGTGATGCCTTATTGTTGGGCGTGGTGGGTTTCAACAGTTCACTGATTTCACTTGAGCTATCGTTGCGCACAGTCTTGTCGTTCGCTGAACTTAGGAACCACGACGCAATCTTGTCGCATTCGGCCCGCAATTCCGAGTCGTTCAACAACACTTCGATTTTCTCCAAATCGGTGCTGTTCTTTTTGACGGGCGTGGCCACTTTCGAGGAACTCTCCTCCATTTTCGATTTCAATGTAATGTTTTCCAGTTTCAACTGTTCACATTCTTCACGTACCTTGGTCAGGGTGGTGTCTTTGTTGTCCAACTCTAGCTGGGCGAATTGCAAAACAGTGGCAAATTCGTCGAGAGCCTTTTTCATGTCCTGCATATAAACTTCACGTGTCTCGTCCTTGCTCTTGAGCTCATTGTACATGTCCAGGTATTTGGCAGCATCGCCGTCGATGCGCTCCTGGAATGAAGAAGCAATTTTAGTGAATTTAGCCAAGGTCTCTTCTTCGGATGTTAGTATTTCATTGAACATGGTTTCTTTAAGGGATACCTCTTTTTGTAGCGTTTCCGATGAGGCTCGCAGCGCTGCAAGAGCTGACTCCGATTCTTGGAACTGGGCCTTCACCGACTCCAGCTCGGCTTGCAATGACAAATAGCTCTGTTCCAAAGCACCCTTGGCCAATTGCAACGATTCAAGTTCGGCCTTTAGCTGTTCAACATCAGCATCGGACTTCTTGAGGCGTTCCATGAGAATGTTCACTGTTGATCGGGTATTGTTGAGAGTCAATTGGTAGTTGTACTTCTCGGTGATGGTCTTGGCAACATCGTTTTTCAGGTCAACCACCTGCTTTTGGAGATTGTCAGTCAATTGGACATAATAATCGATGCCATTGCGCAACTGATCCTCGTATTTTTGGATCTTTTCGTCACGTTCACGCAACATGTCGTTGGTGCTCTCCAACAGCACCATGACATCTTGTTTTTCCAATTCGATTTTAATGATTTCGTTCTCAGCCAGCTTTTGGCGTTTCTCTAGCTCACTGCGCCAGTAAGCTTTCTCTCGCTCGAGGGCATTCTCCAGGTCGGACTCGAGTTTCTGGACCTTTTGCTCAGCCTGGGCCTCGGCAGTACGGACTTTTTCTTCAGCCGAATTCATGAGACGTTCCTTCTCAACATATTGAGCCTTTTCGCGACACAACTGGCGGATGGTGTCACAATGGGCATCAATTTCACAGTTCTTGTCCAGCAGTTCATCTTGCAGCGACTTGATGAGGTCACACTTGCTGGCCAAGTCATTTTTCAGGGTGTTGCGTTCGTTCTTCAAGCATTCCATTTCGTTCTGAATGACCTTATTCTCTTGGGCATAGGACAGAGCATCCTGCTCGATTTGTTTCTTGAGCTTGTTTACATCAGCCATTAGCGAGGAATTGATGTTCTTTAGGTTCTCGATTAGTTCAAAGTTTTCCTTGGCTTTTTCGGCATCGGCATTCAAACGACTCTGGGCCTCTTGAATGTCTTGTTCAAGTTTTGAAATTTGAACTTGCATAGCCGATTGCGATTCCATTTGCTTTTTGGCTTCGGACTCTAGCAGATCATTCTTTTCCTTGAGCCCCTCGCTGAGTTTGGCCAATTCGGCAACTTGAGCAGCATGTTGCTCATTCAGTTCACGAATTTCAGATTCCAGCTTGGCAATGGTCTCAAGTTGCCGAGAATTGTCGAGTGTTAGCTGATCATTGAGCTCCTTGAGTGACTTGTTTTCATTTGTCATGTCATGGATCATGTTCTCAGTTTTCTGTTGGGCTGCTGCATGTTCCTCGCGCAGTTTGGCCTCAGTGTCTTTTAGTTGATCAACATGACGCTTCAGGACATCAATTTGGCTCATATAATTCTCGATAAGTTCGTTTTTGTGACGGATCTCTTGGTGTAAGGCTTCCTTGCCCTTTAAACGGCTGGCCGATTTGGGCATTTCTTTGACGGGGGTGGTAGCTGCCGAGGGCAGTGGGGTTGAACTGGCCGTGGATGAACCACCCGCATTGAGGTTACTAACCGCAGCTGCTGTTACATCGGAATTTTGACGGAAACGTAAACGATGTGGCAAGGAGGGGGTGCGAAACAAGCGCAGACCTTTCGATTTCTTGTCTTCCTTGAGGCCGCCCTCCTTTGGTATGGCAAATTCTTTGGCCTCCTTTGAATTGGAGGCGAAACGAACGGCATCCTTAAAGAATTTCTCTATTTGCTCCTTACGTTCTGGATGGGCGGCAGTGGTGGTGCTGGTCGTACCGGCAACAGCTGCTGTGGGGGTGCCACAGCCTTCAGCATTGGTGGCATGGCGGGCTGGCGAGCCACAAGCAACGGTATCAACATCGTTGAAACGCTTGAGTTTAGCTTTGGAGAACGACATTTTCAAAAGTTGGTTTTCAATTTTTTCTTTACTTTATTTAAAATTCAATATTTTTTTTTTGTGTTTTGTTAGACGGCTTGTTACTTTTTTTCTCTCTTTGATAATTCTTTGGGTCTCTTCGTTTCAAACACTTCTTTGGACAAGTTCAATATAAATATTTAATAACAATTTAATAAACAAACAAAACAATTAACGTTTTTATTTTTCTCAAATGTAACAAACTTGGGCGTGAACACAACAAACTACAACGATTCTACAACACTATCTACTTTAAAGGATACTTTCTTCTTTAGACGGAAAAGTTCCTCAACGTTTGACGGACAAAACCTAACTGATCAAAAGTCTCTTCTCGCCAGAGGTAACTCTCATCTTTGCTACGCCGCATGCCATGAGCGAAAGTCACCCCTAAACCTTAGAGGACCAAGGGGAAATACCACGACAACGAGGCACAAAGTGCAGCTGTAGTAGTTTTCTGTTAATCATGATGCGCAATGGTGGTGGATTACCCACTGAGGAAACTACACATACACGAAGAGGAAGAGTAGCAGAGCGAGCCAAAGCAAGTCATCTGTACAGGAACATACAGACAAGACACAGTGAATTACTTTAAGACATGCTCAGACGACTACTAGTTGTTGTAATTGCAGAACACATACACACATGCGCACGAGGGTAAATTCCTTCAGACATTGGGCGCGTAAACTTATGTTTGAATGGAACGTGCTGGCATTCGTAGCGGCGTTCGCTGGGAACATGTAGCGAGCGATCAGTACACGGTAAATCCAAATGCACACCTGGCCCAAAACACAAAAGACGTTCTCGAGTCGCAGTCGTCATAGTAAAATAACTAGTTCATTATGAAAATGGAATTGTTGTTGTTTTTTATTACGCTCTGCTTCAACAGTTCAAATAATTGCCAGGGGACCCCGGCACAATCTTCATAAGCCGTAACGGTGATTGTGTCTCCGGTTTTTTACAAGATTTAAAGTTCTGACAGTTAATTGTAAGTAAATACATACATACATCGCGTATAGATACAAAGAATACATAGCTACATAATTATATGCATGTATTGGGATGTGTAACAATATAACGTAATGCGTAATGCCGTAGACACGGTGTTCCACAAAAATATTGTTTTCGAGAGAAAATTGGTAAAAGTCGACACAAATTTTCTTCCTCAAGATTAAATTCATAAAAAACCAAAGCTTCACCGGCATATTTATGATTTAGGTATTACTTTGGACTCGGAATTCATCTACCTTTATTCGCGGGATATCTGAATACCTGAATTTTTTCCTGTCCTTTTTATACCCTCCATTAAAAAGGACATATTAAGTTTGTCATTCCGTTTGTAACTCCTCGAAATATACATTTTAGACCCCACAAAGTATATGATTCTGATCAGCATAAAATACTATGTCGATTTAGCGATGTCCGTCCGTCTAGCATCCGAACGAAATGAAGTAGGTTGATAAAATTTTACTCAAATGTGTACTATGTCTGCAGGACTTATGGTTCATGTAAAATGTGGGTCCATGTAGGCCCACGTCTTCGTATAGGCCCCATATAATGGTACCTCCCGATATTCAGTATTTTAATGATTTTAGCTACATTATTCACAGAAATAGTTTCAAATTTGGTATTTGAAGTTCGTAATGGCTATTACAGCCTATGACGGAAAATTGTGCAGGTCCACGTCTTCGTATAGCCCCCATATAATGGTACCTCCCGATATTCGGTATGATTTGATGATTTTAGCTGCATTATTCACAGAAATAGTTTCAAATTTGGTATTTGAAGTTCATAATGGATTCTACAGCCTAAGACAGAAAATTGTCTGTGCAGGTTCACGTCTTCATATAGCCCCCATATAACGGCACATACCGATATTCGGTGTTTTAATGATTTTAGCGACATTATGCACCGAAAATGTTTCCAGTTTGGTATTCAAGTATTTGAAGTTCGTAATGAATACTACAGCCTACGACAGAAAATTGTCGGTGCAGGTCCACGTTTTGGTATAGCCCCCATATAATGGTACCTCCCTATATTCGGTATTTTAATGATTTTAGCTACATTACCGATTTGTTCCAAGTTTCTCATTTGAATATTTTAGTGACAAAATTTGCCTATGCAGGTCCACGTCATTGTATAGACTCTAATATACGGATACGAAATAACGGATTTAATTCTTTTTGAAAATTTGCCAGGTGGTAGAGGGTATTCAAAGATCGGCCCGACCAAACATACAGCTTTTTTACTTATTAAATGATAATAATTAGTATATAGAATATACGGCGATAAAACAAAATTAAAAATGTTAAGTTCGATCTGTCCGAACTTTCAATACTTTGTGCTTATATAGGGACAGTGGCAAAATGTCGATAAAAATCTTCAAATACATAAAATCTGTTGTGGCGCCCAATATACATATTGGTTTATCGCTTTATCGTTTTGTGTTAACCTTTAAAACACCGAATATCAGTCGCTACCATTATTTGGTGACCTCGCTAAAAAGTAAAACGGAATCTGCAAAAGATGTAAATTTTACTTAATCCTTAAAAATGCCTCATTCGATTATATCAAACCATGAACTACTGAATATACGGGGTACCATTATTTGAGAGCCATAGGCAAAAATTCATCTAATTTGCCTTGTCCCCACTAATCAACTAAATCTGTTAAAATAGCGATTATCGAAAAGTGGGGCCATTGGCGCCATTCTGGATCCATGTGCATTCATTTTGTAGAAGAATATCTGTTCTTCAGTAGGAATCCCAAATGCCAAGTTAAAGCTCATTCAATTATATTTGAGTAGAAATTTCGAAATACCGAATATAGGAAAGTACTGTTATATGGTTGCAATGTCAATAGATTTCACCTACACTTCCTAACAGCCAGTGGCAAAAAAAGGTTATTTGGATAAGGAATCTATAATTTACCTTAATTTGGGGCATATATATCCTATCCTCGAATTAAATTTACCACTGATATAATACAATAATATACACATTTGAATTATAACGCGATTAAAATAAATCGACAGTCGAACATGTCTAAATCGACTTAGTATCTTGGGTTCATCATGAATAGAGTGTAAAATCGCAATTGCGAGGAGTTTAAAAATGTCATAACAAGGTTTATATAGCACCCATAAAATGGGACACGAATTGGTTTTGGAATGATTTTTTGCGTATGCCTTTGGCTTGAAGGTTTAAAAAACTGCAGCAACGAAAATCGGTCATTTTTTGCCACTAAAATTATGAATACATGCAAATCTTGACTTTATAACTGAACATATATATGTTTGTGTTTTAAAAGCCTCTAAAGGAAAAGTTTAGGAATAATTTTTAAATAGATATTTGTTGATGTAAATGTTATAAAATAACTGATTTTATATAAATTAAAATTTCTAAATATACGAGCAATATAACTTTAAAATTTTTATAAAATAGACTTACCGAATTCTACATTCAACTTCGTCAAATCTTAGATTCAATCCAAATTTGCTGAAAGAAAGAAATTAACAATAATAAGTAAAATACAAAATATGTAAAATAACATCTAAAAATATGTTTTTATATCTATTAAAATATACTATATATTATTTTTTTACTCCTCTCTTTGTTCAAACTAAGTAACATAAAACATTTTTTCGCTTAACTGCAAGAATGTAACAGTTTTTTCTACGATAACCGATTTTCATTTATGATATCGAAGAAAATGCAAAACTAGTAGATCCTTGTTGGTTTTGGAACAGAGCATTCGTTGAATAATAAGCAGAAATCGAGACTTTCAATAATTAAAGTCATTTACAGGATAGAAAACTAAGGAAAATTTCGCCAACACAACCCTAAGCTTCTCAATTAGAGATAAAGTAAACAGCACATAATACTTCTTAATTTTTTTGCCCTTACGTTAGCAGATCACTCGGGTGCCGCAAGAGGCCATCAAGGTATCCTTATCAATTTTTCAAGTGTTACCAGCAAGAGACTTAAGAACACTGTGCCTACTTTTCACTAAATCCCAAAAAATAAATGCGGTATAAGTAACCGATTTAAACAAGCTACCCACATGTCCTGAACTTTTTATATATCTCGCAATAAAGAGAGAATTAAGTGTGATTCCATCGATCCCAAATGTCAGTGACAATGGATCTATATGCCAAGAACAAGTTTCCAAAAAAGGCACTCCACATTAGGGAACTCTTAGTTTTAGTCTATGAATTGTTGACTTACCGAATGTTAGCTTTTTGTAACCTAAGGTAGGGCCGGCACAAACTCATGTCGTTGAAGAACTGACATTTCAACCATGCCTTAGACAGCATTGCGTGATTAACTCCATCAAGAGCCTTTGAAGATTCTATCTTCGGTTCTAAAAGTTCTTCTATAGATAGAGTGATTTTTAATCAATAGAATATAAGTAAACTTATGATGACTAATGATATGATGAGTCCTTTTAAGACGTATACGTGGAAGATATTGGTTCTATTAATTGAAGATATCAAACAGTGTTGGCATGTTTGTTCGGGGTACCGTAGTATTTTGTTGTGCAATTTGAACGTGGACCAGCACAGACAATTTTCTGTCATAGGCTGTGGTATTCATTACGAACTTCAAATACGAAATTTGAAACAATTCCGGTGTATAATGTGGATAAAATCATCAAAATACCGAATATATGCAGGGGCCGTTATATGGGGGCTATTCGAAGGCGTGGACCTGCACGGACAATTTTCTGTCATAGGATGTAGTACCCATTAGGACCTTCAAATACAAATTTTAAAACAACAATTGCGTTGAATAATGTCGCTAATAACATCAAAATACCGAAGAAAGAGAGCTACAGTTATATCTGGGGTATACAAAGACGTGAACCCGCATGTACAATTTCTGTCATAGGTTGAAGTGTCCTTTACGAACTTCAAATACGAAGTTTGAAACAATTCCAGTGTATAATGTCGCTAAAATAGTCAAAATACCGAGTATCGGAAGGTATCCCTACATGGTGACTTGCGAAGACGTGGACAATGCATAAGTACTTTTTTGTCATAAGTGGTAGTAAGATCTTCCATTATCATATTCAGTTCCGGTCAATAACATCGCTAAAAACATCAAAATATCCAATATTAATTGGCACGTTATATGGTGGCTATACGAAAACGTGGACCGACATGACCCGTTTACAAACTTAACCTGCCTACTGCCAAAATACAGCGTGATAACAACAGACAGACGGAGATCGCTAAATGGACTCAGAATATATTTATTTTGTTGGGTCTGACATGAATATTTCGAGGAATTACAAACGGAATGACAAAGTTAATGTACACTCCAAGGTATGGTGGAGGGTCTAACCAGTAAAGGTGCGAACACATATAACAACGTGAGAACATGTATAACAGCCTTCTTAAAAGAGCGAGAACGGGTGAGCCAATATTGTCCAGTATCAAACCTGATCTAAGTTATATATATAAATATTATAATCTGCCAAGATTGAACTATTTCCCTAAAGATAAGGTTTGTATTTATTTGTAAAATTTTGAACTTTTGATGGGGAGGTACCAGAAGGAGCTGAAAGATAGTAACCATCTCCGAACATGTTTTCGGATACTTTCTCCAAGAGAAATCTTGCGCACAAGCCAGCCAGGCAGACAGGCTTAAATAAAGAGATGAATTAAGATAAAATCATTCTCCTGATACCCTATATCTACCCTATTTATCGTATAAGTGTGTATGTGTGATTTCGGAACTATCAAAATTTTCTGCCGGAACTGAATGTTTCTGCCTACTTTCAAAATTAAAATAATTTTACATGTTAACGAAGCAAAAATATACGAATAGGAAGAAGTCCTGTTCTCATATAATTATATTCTTATATTCCACAATATTAAATATCGGGCGGAAATAATTGATTATATTCTTTAATTACTATCCATCCGTTCCTGGTATTTGTTGTTATTACAGCACACATTTTCTCCTTTGATTGTTGAAAGGATTTTCTCTATGCAAGACATACATACATACGTATGCACATAAGTCCAAAGAAAGGAAATACCTACCGGTATTTGTCCGAAGATACATACGTGTGTGTATGTGTTTGTCTGGGAAAACCGTCAAGGTGTGCAAAATAGTCAAATGTAATGAAGGGAGAAAATATTGCTCAGCTGCTCAAGCCGGTATTGTAAATCTCTCCAAGCTAGAACGCAATTGTCTTCAATCTTTTTATTGTTTTCACAAATCAGTCAGGAGCAGCCGCATTCCGCATACAATGCGGTGCCGAAGACCAACGACGTAATTCCTTGTTATCTTAAGAAGTTCGACAATGGGGGAAGAAACCCACCCTTGAAGATTGTGATTTAATCGCAGTGTGACTACATTGTGCGACACAAAACACAGATAAAAAGACTGTCGGTCCCGCTGGATGGTTGGTGGGTTGTTTGTGTGACAGAGTTGGACGGACGGACGGAAAGACATACACACCAACAAACGTAGTTTGTCATAACCATTTGTGTGTAAATAAATACTTGAAACACCTAGTGTGTATTGGAGGTATGGGTGCATGCTACCTTTATGCTAGTGCGCACACACATGCACTCATACTAACACTACTATAAAGGTACGAAGGTTCATCTGAATGTATTCAGTTGCAATTAAACGATAAATTTGACTATGTTTTCAGATCATTGTTGGTGTGTCAAAAACATGATTGTCACTGTCTCTGATTTGCGCATATGCAGCATAGCCCCTATATTGTTTATATTCCACAAATGTATGCAGTGGATACATGATCACAATTGCGCTTTTCCACGTTGAAAAAAATGCGGGTAATAACCATTTTATTTTGTTGTTTCATACATACATATATAGATGGATTTATATCCACCTTTTTGGTGCCATTAACCTTTTGTTACACCGGTTCTTCCCTTTCGCTTCGTTAATGTTGTTGTCCAGAAACCAATTTTGAAAATGTAAGCTGCTATAGGGGCATAAATATATTTTAACATAACTTCAAGTTATACCGAGCCTTACAAAAAAGTGGATATGTGCCAAGATTTAAAATCTATTTTTAACTATTTAGTTAGTCAAATAAATGAAATCAATTAGGAATAATGATGATATTGCACTCACGAAAACCAACATAAAAATGCTCTCTTCCAGAAACTGCAAGAATCTACTAGTTTTGAATTTTTTTCGATATCATAAAGTGAAATCGGTCATCTTTATATCATTTCAATATTCTTGCAGGTTCTGGAACAGACCAAAAAATTTATCGAAGCACATTCGTTTCAGATACAGCTATATCTATATTGCATCAAGTTTTGTCGTCGAATGTGCTTCGATAAATTTTTTGGTCTGTTCCAGAACCTGGGGAGCTATATTCAAATCTGAACCGATCTTGATATCGTTTGGCAGAGGTATTTCTGAGCTGTATCTGATATCTGGAACCAAACATCATTGTTGTGGAGTGCATATTACGAATGTGGGTCTTAAACACCAAATCGGATGAAACATATATATTGAAACTATAGCTATGTATATCTCAACCGATTTTCACCAACTTTTACATACTTTATTAAATGTTGCCTTATATTACGCATTTGGTGCACAATAAACCTGAAGTCGGGCGAAAATATATGGGAGCTATATATATATTTCTAGACCGATTATCAACAATTTCAATAGCGTTCGTCCTTGGCCCCAATAAAATACCTGCTCAAAATTTCATCACAATCGAGCTATAAATGCGACCTGCAAAATACACGGACAGACAGGCGGACATGCATAAATCGATTCAGAATGTGATTCAAAAAGAACTATGAGTCTATCTCGTTTCCTTTTGCAAAGTCCTAAAATGGTAAAGACTAAACAAAATGCATTTTGAGCAAATGGTTTGTGTCTACAATACATAGAGTAACTGCTCATGACAGAGGCATTTTAATATAAAAACCACAATTACAGATTACAAATAAAAGTTTGAAAAGTCCAAAAAATTGATTTTAAAATTCTATTCCATAGACCTTTCTAAAAATTTGCACATTGTCTTAGCGGTTTAAATCAATTAACATTGGGAACTATATTGTTATGATATCATAACAACAGAGATATTTTCACAAGGTTGCCACATTTTGAGGATGTCTTGTCCTATCTTTCGCCTTTTGTCTGTTATAAACAAAATCATAATACCCTGTACCACAATGTGGAGTCTTGTACAAAAAGTTGTAACGAAGAATGTCTGTATTAACCTTTAAATCGTTAAGAAAAATATCATTTTATATCGGCCATTGACGCTGATGTGGCTTATGCAGATGAGATATACTACATACTATTTTTCGATGTCATCACGTACTTTTCACATTTCTTTTATTATGAAATAATTTTCAACTGACAAATATCCTACAGTTTTTGTTATTTTTAACGTTTTAGAATTGAGTGACTTCAATATTCCCACTCAAACCCCTGAAACGATATAGACGACATCTGCTGATTCGATTTTTTTCAAAGATAAACGGTGAGAGCATTTCGTTGTCTATATTTTCATTTGTCTATGGTTCACATATAAACTGATAATTTTGACTTATGTATACAATAATATGCGCACTAACATTATTAACACTGTGTGTAAACTAGCCTGGACTGTAATATTGTGCTCTACCTGATTTATTTGACGTTAAATGTCATTTCACAATAAAGACATATGTGTAAACATGCCATAAGACTTTTAAACACTTTTTCTTCTTTTATTTCGTTTTGTTTTCATTTTCTTTCTGCTTGCTGCCAGAGACCAGTGATAACAACAAAACAAAAACAACAATAACAACATAACAAGCGAGAAGCCGAAAAGTAAATAAAAGCCAACTGAATGGAAAACTTAAGATAAATTCCATAAAGGCACATCGAAATAAGTGCTGATAAAATATATATATGAACAGTTTATTCTACAGCGTCCTCTACTAGTGTAAGTAATCTCGGCCGAGGCTAGATACCACTCAACCTAAATTTACATAGAAGTTTGTAGACGTCATTTGGCCTAGCTGGGAATGGTGGAGCTTTGATTCGCTCGCTCAAACCCCGAAAGTCAGAAAGTGGTAATATTCATTGCCTGCTGCCGCGCTTTGTCTTAGCATAGTGTGGTCTGTCTGGCTGGTTGGCTGACTGACTTGTTTCATTGCTTCATTTGTTGCTCGCTTCAAGAGCTTAAAGACAACGTCAAACTCGCTTGTGAATCAGTTACAAATCAATTACCAAAGCGAGCGGTTGGTCGTTCGTTTCAATTCACCTCCTTCCATTTGTCGATACATTACGAATACCAAGTGGTACTAAGACCGTTGTTTGATTTCTTGCATTTAGCCAATAGCATCATGACTGACTACGCAGAATTGCACCAACGACTGCAGAAGGTTGGCCAAGAGCATCTTCTTAAGTTCTGGGATGAATTAAGCGAAGACGAGCGTAAACAATTGGAACAAGACATATCTGAATTGGATTTAAATGAACTGAAGGAATATTTTGATCGTGCCACTTCTTCATTGGCTCAAAATGGCCTCAAATTAGACGACCGTTTACAGCCTTTGCCAGACGACAAATTGATAAGAATATCCCGAGCTCCCGAGGAACTTTTGAATAGCTATCGTGAGGAGGGTCTAAAACAAATATCTTTGGGACATGTTGGCGTATTGCTCATGGCTGGTGGACAAGGTAAGTGTTAAACAAGAGAAGAAAAGTTCAGTTACAGTACATTCACCTCAAACGGTTTCTAACAATCGCCAGCAAGGCAGCTGTGCAGTGCATTGTTGTAATCTCAACAAGTTATTCTTGGCTTTTCAACTGTTATACTAAATAGTTGTATTTAAATTTGCATTCAAGTCACGCCTTAATAAAATCCACTCTTGTGTAACGAACAAGAATCCAATAACGCCCGAAGAAAACAAAGAGTTGCAGCGTGTAAGAGATAAGTTCCTTTCTAAAAACCTTGAAGCAAAGATTGGAATGCAGAAGTAATTATGGCTTTTCTTTCTTTCGATCGATCGATTGTAACCCTATCTGAGTCATTGCTCTTTTGTATGCTAGATATGTATGTTGGTGCTACGTAGTAATGGGTTTAAGCGTAACTTTGGCCCAAAAGTTACCACACATTGTTGGTTTCTTTTGCTGTTGTTTTGGTTATATTGTAATTTAACACGTAAACAAAGCCATAAGGAGACCACAATCTATCGCATTCCCCAGACTATAACCACCTTAAAATTCAGGCACAAAGTTAGTCTATGTTTTTGATAACGATGTACAAACATTTGACACTTAAAATCAATTAACAACAAACAGCTTCATTTTTTATGAAATCTTTAGACATAGTGGTTCATATTTACGAGACACCTTTGAATACAAGTTCTGCAGGCAGCGGTTTCAACGACAAACACAACCACAGTGCCATCATCATGAAACAAGTTTTAAAGGTCAAATGAAACTGAAAACGGAACATTTTTTGCTTAAACAACTTTTTTGGTCGAACAATGTATTGAGATCTCTTTTGCATTTTTTCTCTTTTTAGGAACCAGATTGGGCTTTGCCTATCCCAAAGGCATGTATGATGTTGGCTTGCAATCGGGCAAAACACTTTTCCGTATACAGGCAGAACGTATTATCAAACTTGAAGAATTGGCTTTTGAGGCAACTGGCAAGAAGGGCACCATAACATGGTATATTATGACTTCGGAGCATACCCTACAGCCAACATTGGAATACTTTGAGAGCAACAATTACTTTGGCCTCAAAAAGGAGAATGTTGTTATGTTCAAACAGGGTGCATTGCCGTGCTATGAATACGATGGCAAAATAATGCTAGATCAAAAGCATCGCATAGCCCGTGCCCCCGATGGCAATGGTGGAATATATCGTGCCTTGAAAAACCAGGGAATTTTAGATGACTTGACAAAGAGGGGTATTTTATATTTACATGCCCATAGTGTGGACAATATATTGATCAAAGTAGCCGACCCTGTGTTTATTGGCTACTGTGTGAGGGAAAATGCTGACTGCGCTGCCAAAGTTGTTGAAAAATCATCACCCACAGAAGCCGTTGGGGTGGTGGCGATAGTTGATGGTAAATACCAGGTGGTAGAATACAGTGAAATCTCAGCAAAAACAGCTGAAATGCGTAATCCCGATGGCCGCCTTTCCTTTAGTGCCGGCAATATATGCAATCATTTCTTCTCCACGAACTTCCTCCTAAAAATCGGCTCAACATATGAGCAAGAACTAAAACTACATGTGGCAAAGAAGAAGATACCTTTTATCGACAATTCTGGCAAACGCATTAAACCGGAAAATCCTAATGGCATTAAGATTGAGAAATTTGTGTTCGATGTTTTTGAATTTGCTCAAAAGTTCGTAGCCATGGAAGTGCCCAGAGATGAGGAATTCAGTGCTTTGAAGAATGCCGATTCGGCTGGTAAAGATTGTCCATCAACAGCGCGTAGCGATCTGTACCGTCTACACAAGAAATATGTGGAAGCAGCCGGTGGCATAGTGCACGGCGAAGAATGTGAAATATCACCATTTGTAAGTTATGCAGGAGAGAACTTGGCACCGTTGGTCGAAGGTAAATCCTTCACAACACCTTTATATTTGAGGAGTAATCGTGATACAGCCGCTCATCTCTAAATCTAATGTGTACGAATTCTGGACTATAATATGATATTTGAATATTTCGATACTTAAAATTCCATATACTTAACTTTTTGTATAGTTTGTTAAATTGTTTTAAACGAAAATGTGCAATTCATCTAGATTTTTGTTGTATTTGTATGTATTTTTGTTCGCTTATATAATTAGTTGTTTAAAAATAAAATAAAATTTGTATTAGACGAAACAATTTTATGAAATTACAGTTATTAAGAAGAGGAAATGAAATGGGTTTGCGAAAAAATCTAAGATAATAATTTCAAGATAAAAAGTTGAGCAAGAAAACACCTTATCTATTTCTTATTAAATTTAAAGAGCAATAGCTTCCAATGCCTCTAAATACAATTTTTTTGCATTTTAATAAAAAATATTTTAGATGTAAAGTCGTGAAGTGGTAATACAATTGGAATTTTAGCTTGATAAAAGTGTAAACTTCGATGGAGGCACTTCGATATTGAATGTGAAAATAACCATTCATATTAACGTTAGTTTCCCAAAGGCATGAAATTTACCAAAACAGAGCATGGCCCAATATACTCAGACTGGATTAACTTTGCCATTATTTTTGCAAAATCTCGAAATATCTGTCGAAAACCGAAAAAAGTTTTTACAAATGTGAGTTGGATATAAAATTGCAAGTTGATTTAACGATGTCCGTCAGCAAGTTAGAGGTTTCAATATTCAAGATAATGAATGAAAGTCGGGATTGGTATATGCTACAACAGTACACGTTAAAATATTTTTTGGCCATGACTGAAATTCTTGAATTTTATTGTTTTGAAGATATCAGACCAAACCTCTAAATAAATCAGCTATAATTTGACAGAAAAAATACGAATAAGTTGTAAAATCATATTTCCTATTATCAGATCATATAAACCGCTTTCTCAAGAATTCGGTCAAAGTTTCACAAAATTAGGCGTCAGGTTTCGGAGGATTCCTACCTTCCATTGTCTTAAGAAACTTTTTTAAAATAAATCGTGTATAAACTGAAATTTTCAAAGGCTTAAGCCTTAATTTCCAATTGAACTGGCACTAAGGTTCATATTGGAAGGAAATCTACCTTTCTAGAGTTTTTAACAGAATTTGTGATCTGGCGTAAGCTTTGTCTAATTTTGGGTGTGAAGATTTTTGGTACTTTAAAGTATCTGACAACATTCTTATTATGAGGCTAGTTGGATTAGTGCCCGTGACCATGGGCCAATTGGAAAAAACCCTATTTTATGGATATATACGTTATAAGATTGAAATATTTACCTGCTGCAAACGACTGCTCTTCTTTTTTTAAGCACATTAATTTCATATTCACTGCAAAACACATATTGTTCTGCCATTCATTCTTGCACTGATTTTATAAATATTATATAACTTAAGACACACTGTATGTACGATATATCTACATATTTTTTGCAAAAAACAATAAATATATTTAAAAGAATGGGAATAACTTAGCTGTGAACATATTAACAATTTTAACACTGCACGGTAGGATTTTTGTACAATGAACACATGATTTATTCTTAATGATCACACACAACACAAATTTTATATTTTTTAAACTGATTTTATCGAAATATAACAATATTTGCAACTTTCAACTCAATTGGCACGAAACAGACAAACTTTAACTTTTGCACAACCAAGCGTAAACAAATCTTTATTTTGGCGCAAAATTCCTTCTAGACAGAAGGAAGCTCACTTGTGACAAAACGAAAATGTCCGTGTGTGTAAAATCGATTTGATTATTTTCACTTTTTACATAGAGTATATTTATTTTGATCTCTTCATTTAATACATTGCACATATATGTATATTTGAAGTAACGTTTAGTTATTAATAAACAATAAAAACTCTTTAAATCAACCATACATTGGCTACAGTATCTATACAAAAGCTCATTGCTATGAAAATGCCTGAACGGCTGTTAACTCTCTCTCTGGCAGTGAATTAAAACGATGTCACCATATGGCAACCACCAAATTTTGATTAACGTCACTGTAGTTGACACAAAGAGAAATGTCAAATTATTTACCACTACCATCACAAAAACATAATACGAATAGAAACGAAGAACACGTATACGAACACGAAGCCCACTTGACACGAACCTCTAGCTCCAAGTGATGTTTCTTGCTTGTATTTGGTTCATTCAATTTTAAACGTCGGTACTTTAGGTTTGCGTGCTCTCGTGGTGGAGTTTGAAGAGATTTGTTCCAGCCCAATTTGACGAAATCATATTGGGGGAATATATTTCACTTTCTATATTACTGACTGATCGGTTGAGTGCGGAGAATAATTCATAAATATTTACGAGAAACGCTTTAAATACAATAAACAATTAAATCATGGGAAGTAAGTAAATCGAGAAAGAAAAACAGTGAGCAATTTACAAAGATTTCAACTTTTGATGATGGATATGTAGTGCTTATACACAAATTTGCTTACGTATACAGCCGGCTGGTGTGGAGATGCCTTAAATATATGAAATTGTGAATCCGGCATTATTTTTCCTATTGAAAATGTTATTGCATATCCATCCAAGCATGCAGTGCATTAAAGTGCTCCTGATTTGGTGACGTGTAAACTAATATTTCAATTCTTTCGTTTTACAGTTAAATTCCTCGAAGTCATAAAGCCCTTCTGCAGTATACTGCCAGAAATTGCCAAACCTGAACGCAAGGTGAGTTATTAAACAACAGACAAATATAAAAAATGGCTAAATAATGCCAGTTTAATTAATGGAAAAGGCCAAAGATTCCTCTAACCCATGGAAATTGCCATTCTTTAGCCGCCCGAACTACTAATCTCACGTCTTCAACTTTCTACTTGTCCTTAGTTAGAAGTTGTATGTGCAGTGAAAATGCGAGGCCAAAGCCACGCAGGCAGAGTCAAAAATAATAGCATTGAAAGTACATATCATTAATAGTCGTATTAAAATAAATATTGTTTCATTTTTATTTAATTTATTAAATTTTCCATAATTAGTTGGCAAAGTAAAATCTAAAAAATATAATTTTCTATAGCCTTGCTTTCTCTCTCTCATCTCAAAATTTGACATTTCTTCATTTGCCTCTTTTGACGTTTGTCTCATGTTGACGTATACAACGTGTACACTGTCTGCCGAATGCAAGTTCGTTCCTTCGTGCGCTTTGCGTTTCTCTTGTACGAGGCCCCCTTTATTTACACTTGATTGTTGTTTAGATTGTTTTTTGCTTACGTAGCACACGACCACTTGTCAAAACATAGCCACAAATAGAAATTGTTTGAAGGGCCTCTAATTGGAAAATTGTAAAAGAGAATCATTTTACAACGCATGCATGAAACAAAAATAAAATAAAAAAAGAATTTTTGACCGAAATATACAAAACTATTTAATTTCCACACTGTCTGCAATGAATGTCTTTAGTTTGTATTTTTGATACCTACCTATGGATAGTTCAATGACTTGAGTATTTTATGCTTTGAAGCATTATTAAACGAATGATTTAGTTTATTATTGTGCGGACTACAGTAACAGGTTTTGATGGCATACTTCTTCCAAATTATTTATATAGGTCAGTAGTAAATTGTTTAAATTAATGTTACAAAATAGTAATAATCAAGCAGTAAAAACTCTGCACAATATGTTATCAGTTTTGACAGAGGAACTTAGCTTTTCAATTATTTTTGAACATAATCGCTAGATAACTACATAGGATCATCCAGCACATAAATGTTTTAAAATATTTGTTTCCAAATATCTACAAGAATTATACAAATGTCATATCCTCTTCCATAACCTTTATTATAGATCCAATTCAGAGAGAAAGTGCTATGGACCGCCATAACGCTCTTCATCTTCTTGGTATGCTGTCAAATCCCTCTCTTCGGTATCATGAGTTCCGACTCCGCTGATCCTTTCTATTGGATTCGTGTGATTTTGGCCTCAAATCGTGGTACCCTCATGGAATTGGGTATTTCTCCCATTGTTACATCTGGCTTGATTATGCAATTGTTGGCTGGTGCCAAAATCATCGAAGTTGGTGACACTCCCAAGGATCGTGCTTTGTTCAATGGCGCCCAAAAACTCTTTGGTATGGTCATTACCATTGGTCAAGCCATTGTTTATGTGATGACTGGCATGTATGGCGATCCATCTGAAATTGGTGCCGGTGTCTGCTTGTTGATCATCATTCAATTGTTTGCCGCCGGTTTGATTGTCTTGTTGTTGGATGAACTGTTACAGAAGGGTTATGGTTTGGGATCCGGTATTTCTCTCTTCATTGCCACCAACATTTGCGAGACAATTGTGTGGAAGGCTTTCTCTCCCACCACTGTTACAACTGGACGTGGTACTGAATTCGAAGGAGCTGTCATTGCCTTGTTCCACTTAATGGCCACCCGCAACGATAAGGTACGTGCCTTGCGTGAAGCCTTCTACCGTCAAAACTTGCCCAACTTGATGAACTTGTTGGCCACCGTTCTCGTTTTCGCCGTTGTCATCTACTTCCAAGGTTTCCGTGTCGATTTGCCCATCAAGTCGGCCCGTTATCGCGGTCAATACAGCAGCTATCCCATCAAACTGTTCTACACCTCCAACATTCCCATCATCTTGCAATCCGCCCTCGTATCCAACTTGTATGTCATCTCGCAAATGTTGGCTGTTAAGTTCCAAGGAAACTTCTTCATCAACCTGCTCGGCGTTTGGGCTGATGTTGGTGGTGGCGGCCCAGCTCGCTCCTACCCCATTGGCGGTCTTTGCTACTATTTATCGCCACCCGAAAGTGTTGGTCACATCTTAACCGATCCCATTCATGCCATTCTTTACATTGTCTTCATGTTGGGCTCTTGCGCTTTCTTCTCAAAGACATGGATTGATGTATCTGGAAGCTCTGCCAAGGATGTAAGTTTATTGTTAATGCATGCAACAACTATAAACCGTTATTAATCTGGCTGTTCTTTTCCTTTATTTTTTTGTAGGTTGCTAAACAATTGAAAGAACAACACATGGTTATGCGTGGCCATCGTGAAAATTCTATGATCCATGAATTGAACCGTTATATTCCCACAGCTGCTGCCTTCGGTGGTTTGTGCATTGGCGCTCTGTCTGTTTTGGCCGATTTCTTGGGTGCCATCGGATCTGGTACCGGTATCCTGTTGGCTGTCACCATCATCTATCAGTACTTCGAAATCTTCGTTAAGGAACAATCCGAAATGGGTGGTATGGGCACGCTGCTGTTCTAAGCATATCCAAAAATACAGCTTAAAGCAAAGTGTGTTTATGTTGTATGTTTAGATTCATAAGCAACTATCCGAAACATTTTACGCTTCGGATTTTTATAATAATTCTCTGTAATTTACTTACTTACCCATTACAACAACAAAAAAGTGAGGCGCAGAGGTGCGGGGAGTGAATCAAACGAAAAATGTTAGCCAAGTATTTCTAAATTTTCTTAGAGATTTTTTAAAGATGAGATTCCTAGATATTCTTTTCACACCGACCGACCTCTGTAGTGAGAGAGTTGTTTTTAAGCTTTTTGTGTTTTGGTAAAACCTCAAAACATGTTTGTTGTTTCCTTCTGAAATTCCACTAATTTATTTGAGAACGTCATTTCATTGAAAGCGATAATATGCCTCCATCTACGCATGAAAATATATCATTGAATTTAAGTTTTTTTTGTATCGATTAAGTAAGATTTACAAAAAATAAAAACCCAACAAAGCTGTTGATACTTTTTTACTACAGTACAAGACAAACAATTTTTGGTTTCCTTTTTTAAGTTGGCAGTTGGGGTGGGTGTGAAAAGATATCAAACCAAAAAAACGTCCATTGTAATATCTCTAAAACTTTCTATTGACTAACATTTTTCTGTAGATCATCCACTGAACTTATCTGCGCCGTTATTTTGTTAATTCATAGCAAAAAGAACTCGTACGAAATATGTAATGAACACCTTTACGAAGCAAAGAAACAATTAAAAATCCACCTTTAGTAATAGTTATTTTTATAAAATATTAAAAATAAGAAGTCGACGTCATCCTCTTTCCTTCCATTAATAAAGTCCTGAAAAATCACTAAAACTTTCCTCGGGTTTTATGTGCTAAACAATTTAAATAATATTTCGAGATAAGATAAGACATTTATCGCTTCGGCTACTGAATCTATAGCCTATTTTAAAGTGTTTTTTTTTTTTGTCATTCTTATAATAGTGTTTCTAAAACTGCTGTCGTTTCTTACTGCTAAAGACTGCTTCTACATTTCTTTTTATCCTTTTCATTTTAAAACAGAAGAAATCTGCAGTAATTTTAGAAATGCTATTAAAATCTTTTATTTTCTTTTTATTAAATACGATACAATGATTGTGAAATTATTAAAGATAATAATGAAGTAAATAGGTTCAATATTGATTGTAATAAGAATTAAAATACAAAAGAAAATAATTCAAAGAAATTTTGTTTCTTTTTTTCTGTATGACAGACTTTATTTAATTATTGTTAACTTAGACAAGAATCGCAATACGAGGAAAATAATTCTTAAAGGAGCAGGAAGTCGAGTGTTTCTGAGGTGACCGGGAAAAGAAGTTTAACAAAATCTGCCGGCCATATTATAAACAAGTAAAAAAGCTGTAAGTTCGGCCGAGCCGAACTTTGAATACTCTTCACCATTTGGAACGAATTTGGCAATTCTCAAAAACAATAAAATCCGTTAAAATTTTTTTTTAAAATTTTACAAATACCGAATGTAGCTGTTTTATGGGGGTCTACACGACGACATGGACCTGCATAGGTAACTTTTGTCATAAGCCATTACAATATTCAAATGCGAAACTTAAAAAAAATCGGTGAATAATGTAGCTAAAATTATCAAAATACCGAATATCGGGAGGTTCCGCTTTATGGGGGCTATACGAACACGTGGAACTGCAAAGACAATTTTCAGTCTTCGGCTGTAGTATCTATTACGAACTTCAAATTTGAAACAATTCCGGTGAATAATGTCGGTAAAATCATCAAAATACCGAATATCGGGAGGTATCTTTATATGGGGGCGTGGACCTGCACAGACAATCTCCCCTCATAGGCTGTAGTATCCCTTTGGAACTTCAAATACCAAATTTGAAACAATACCGGTGAATAATGTCGCTATATCGAAAATAGTCAGGTACCTTATATGGGGGCTATACCAAAACGTGGGCCTACATAACACATTTTCAATACCAAAAGTTCTTCAGACATAATATATATTTGAGTAAAATTTTGTCAATCTTCTTCATTTCGTTCGAAAGCTAGAGTGATTTTTACAGGCGGACATCGCTAATCAATATTTTTCACTTATTTTATGCTGATCAAGAATATATATACTTTATGGTGTCTAAAATTTATATTTCGAGGTGTTATAAATGGAATGACAAACTTAATATAACCTTCATACAATGGTGGAGGGTATAAAAAGATGTTCAAAACTAGTAGATACTCGCAGGTATTGGAACAGAGCCATTATTTCGTATAACTATTCGTGTGTGTGTGTGTTTGTAAATTGTCAATAGAACGAGATGTACGAAAGCAAAAGAACTAGATGAACTTAAAGAACTATATCAACCAAAGGAACTAGAAGAACGAAACTCTCCGGTATGGTTCCGAGCGTTCCTTTTGTAGAATAGTTTCATTGAACTATTTCGTTCCGGAACGACACAACTCTTAACTTATCTTTAGTTCTAAGGGAGGAATTTTTGGTAATTTCATGAATTTGTTGGACAAATTCCATTGCTTCTTGTAATCCAGATTTAGGCTACCTTACCTACTGTCTTCAGATTTGAAATTTCACAATCGGAGTACATGAAGAGAATATAATTGGCGAACAACGTACCAAGTGGGAGAATACGACGAAATGTCGACAACACACATTCTTAATCGGAATTGGCCATATCTGAGGACGCAAGGATCTGCACTGCTTCGCAATACGTCTCCCGTAATTACGCTAATATGTTTGATAACAATAGTCGGTTATTTACTATCGTTCAGCGAGACTGCAGTATTATTTTTGACCGTAACTCCTGGCTATATTCTGCCCAATGCCGAGTTTTGGATATGGACGGCATTTACCTTTTGCTTCATCGAATTGCATTGGTGGGAGGTGTTGGTAGATGTTGTAACAGTGGGGCTGTGCGGCAAAATGATCGAACCCTTGTGGGGTCAAATGGAGATGTTTAAATTCTTTGCCCTGAGCAATTTTGGTGTGTCCATCCTGACCACCATGTATTATTTGTTCTACTACATGATAACAAAGAACCCGCAGATTTTGTTTGATGTTCATATCCATGGTTTGGCTGGTTATGTAGCTGGTATATGTGTTGCTGTTCGTCAGATTATGCCAGATCATCTGATCTTCAAAACACGCTGGGGCAAACTGACCAATCGCAATGTCCCATTGTCCGTGCTGATATTATCCATTATATTCTGGGCAGTGAATATGCTGGATGGCACATATCCTGCCATGTTTGCTTCGGGTCTTTTGGTGTCATGGGTATACTTACGTTTCTATCAGCATCATCCCAATGGTAAAGGCGATAGTTCCGAAAGCTTTACTTTTGCCAGTTTCTTTCCAAATATAATGCAGCCGGTAATACAGATATTGGTCAAGCCAATATATGGGTGCTGTTTAAAGGTGGGTGTGGTAAAACCACCGGCCCCACCGCGAGTTTCCGCCGCCAATTTAACATCCGTTTCAATCTCAATGCCCGGTGTAGATCCACATGACGTAGAAAGGAGGCGGTAAGTAGTACCATACGACTATTATTGTTATGGGCTATATCATTGAGATATTTTTCTTTGCAGACAAATCGCATTGAAGGCACTAAGCGAACGTTTAAAGGCAACAGAAACCACAAAACACACACCGTTACCAAAATCATTTCCTACAGTGGCTGGAGCTGGTCACGGTCACGGTCATAGTCACAACCACCAGCATCAACATAAACATCATCATGGCCATGGCCATGGCCATGGAAGTCATGGTGGACACAGCCATCAACATGTTGGTGGTGCACACCAACATAATGCTTCGGGCCACAGCCACCATAGCGGCGGGCATGCCGAAATACAAACGCCACCTTTTTTGGCCCAGTCAGCGTCACCATCCCAGCCCATCACCACGGCCCGATCAGAACCACGAATGATCAGCACAATGAGCCCCATAGCCATTCCCATGCCTGCGCCGCCTCCCAAAACGCCACCTGCAGAGAATTCTGCAATAGCTACTAGCGAGTTTGTCGATACCAATAGTGATAAAGCATTACTCATCGATGTAGAGGGCGAAACCCAATGAAAAATGTAGCATAAGAAGTAGTAGCAAAATTATCAGCTAAAAGTGTGAACACGACGAAGATGACGATGCTGCTGCAAACACGCTTAGCAGTGATTTTTTGTTTTTTATTATATTTTTATTTAACCTGTATAAAAACTACCTAGAAACTATTTTGAAGTATAGTTGGTACATTTCCACATGTTTCTTCTTCGAAGGGAATCGCCATTTCCTTCCCTCCAAGTTGTATTCTCGTTTCTCTTTTTTATATGTAATTATTATTATGTTAAAAATAAATATTAAAATGCAATAAAATGCTTTTAGGACATGACATGATTTTTTTTTAATATAAAAGTCCCGATTGATTCTTAATTTATTGTTTTCTCTCGTTCAAATTCCAGACCAGATTAACTTGGATACAATACAAATTTAAGTTGGTTTTCAAAAACCAGCATACTTTGAGAATAATTTTGTGGATAGCCACAAGTTTTTCTTAGAAAACACATTCCATCCATCCAATGTATTGTATTACATTGTTCGGTGTGGATTTATAGATGTTTTAGTGGTCGTAGTTGTACATCTCATCTATAGTACTGGTTTTGTTGCTGCCAAGATCCCTGGACGTTCTGATTAGTCTGTCCAGACGGGGTTTCATATGAAGTGTTGTTGCCAGAAGTAGCAACGCCGCCGGAACCCGAACTACCAAATGAGTTTAAGACACTGCTATAATACGAAGCATCAGCCACGGTCTCGGATGGTTGATGGTGGCTTATTTGACCCGGAGCTTTCTTTAGCGATTGATGAACGGCTACTTTTCCTTGGTGACAATCTTGAGCATTTGCGCTATTGATTCGAGCCAAGTTAGCTTGGGTCAATGAGGAATGAATTTGAGCATTCGTGGGAGGTAACGATCCTGGTGGATTGATTGTTCCAATACTGCTGGAACGCATCTGTGTCCTCTGTGTGAGGAGAGTCGATGGTGCTTGAATCGGCGTTACGACTGCCGAAGATTCAGAAAGTTTGCGTTGTGGCCCCAATTCTTGTTTGTTTTCTGGCTGTGGAACTGGGGCGGGAGGTGGTGGTGGCGGCTGTGAGACGTGCCGATGATTGATATGAGCTTGCAAATCCCTTTGAGATAAATACGTTCTCCTGCATCCAGTATTGCCGTATCTGCTGCCACTGTGTGTGCACATGAAGACCGTACCCAATCCGGACTGTTCAACGCGTACAACTTTGTCATTGCAACGTGGACAAACCTTTACCGGTTCCGTGCGGGCACATTTCAAACAAAATACATGTTTGCATGGAATCATGCGACCATAATGCAGAATTGGCTTGTCGCATTGGTCACAGATATGGATCATGGGATTCAACACTTTCTCTCCAATTAAATTCACCTTGTGATTCCACTTGAGGCGCAGCATAGGCTCTGGCGGTCCCCTAGATATTGTAGTGAATGTTGGGGCTTCCAATTGTGATATATCTGCTTCCATATCAACTATAGAGGAAAAGAATTATCAATTGTTTGTTCTGTTTTGAATATCGAAATTCTTACTTGTTTGAGGAACAATGGTTTGTGGTTGACTTTGTACATCTGCTTGGGTGCCTGGAGCCACAGTGTTGTTAGCTTCTTGTGTGGGTACACTTGCGTTAGCATCTGAATCGGTTTTTGGTAATTCGTGCATCACTGCATCCTCTGTGGCTTCGAGTGGAATATTTCCACTGCCCGTTGAAATGTCACCATCCTCAGCAACTGCACCGGAGCCACCATCAATGGACTGATCCAACGAAACCTCCTCGTCACTAGACACAACAACGGCAGCCGCCTTTTTACCCCTGCCGCGACCACGGCCACGTCCTCTGCCACGGGCCCGCGTCCCACGAGCACGACCTCTTGCTCTTTTACCACCACTTTCATCTGCGTCCATTTTTAATATTTATTATATTAACAAATTAAGATGCAGTCAGGGACAGACAACGAAGCGAAACGATTTTTCGGCGGCGGCGCATCTGTTGTAAACGGCGACGAGCTGTAGTTATGTCAGCAGCGCCAAAATTCAACAATAACAAAAGTTGTGTTCCAGTACTTTTTTAGTAGTAAAACTAGTAGAAGAGAGAACAGTTCGAAATGTCATTCTCATTTAGGTTTGCTCAAAAAATAAGGGAACGGAAAATTAGCAGAAATGCGATAAAATGTCAAAATTCAAAATTCCAAAAGTAAACAGCCTAAATCGGACTGGTGAAACCTTACTGAAAAGGTCATTTTCTTTATTGAAATGTATCAATACATTTTTCAACCTTGTTAGCCCTGTCAATTAAATGTCAAATTTACAATATGCACATTTCTGCTCGGCCAAATTCATGTAGCTAAAACAAGCAGAAATGTGCACCACTCAGCGCCATTTTTTTCTCGAGAGAGCTGCAAGTTTTGCTAGTTTTTGGAGTACGGGAACGCGTTGTAGCAGAATTAGTGCTAATTAGTACTAATTTGCAGGTTCTGGAACACAACTAAAAATTATATCAGGGTGAGAATACATAAAACGCTTTTTTGACTGGCTTAAAGCTGGTAATACATAAAGCGCTTATTTGGCCGGCTTAAGTCATCGGCTGGCTTCTTCGGAAATGAACAAAGGAGCCTAGGGCCAAAATCGAACTAGGTCAACCTAAAACTCCTTTGTTCATTTACGAAGAAGCCAGCCGATGACTTAAGCCAGCCAAATATGCGCTTTATGTATTTCCAGCCTTATATCTTTAATTCATAATTTTTAGACTTTTTGAAAAATTTGGAGTGGGAAATAAAAATGAAAGAGGTCCCCAACGAAACAACATATTAAAAAAATCAAGATACAGTCAGGGACAGACAACGAAGCGAAACGATTTTTCGGCGGCGGCGCATCTGTTGTAAACGGCGACGAACTGTAGAAAGACAATAACAAAAATTATATCAGGGTGAGAATACATAAAACGCTTCTTTGATTGGCTTATGTCCAAGCCTGTCTTCTTCGTAGCGGAATAAAGGAGTTTTATGCCATGTTTACGTTAGAACTTTTTGTACGGTTAACCTACTTTGAGAGGATTTATTTGAAGTAAAAGTAATGGATAGGACAATTTAAATCCAAATCCAAAGGAGCTAAGGTCCAAAATCGAACTAAATTAACCTAAAACTCCTTTGTTCACCTACGACGAAGCCAGCCGAAAGGGAATGGAAATGGCAAAATGAAACTAAATCAATCTAAAACTCATTTGTACTTTTTCAAAGAAGCCAGTTGATGACAATTGATCAGTTCAGTACCTGCAAGAATCTTCTAATTTTGAATCTATTTTCTATATCACAAAGGGAAAATCAGCTGTCGTAGTAACAATTTTACATTCTTGCAGTTCTAGAACAGACCAAATATGCACCTTCAAGGCCTCGATGTCTATTCACTTTCCTGTCATACGTCCAACAAACAGGACACGGTGGTGAATTCAGTGCAAATACAACCCTAAATTTGATACCACTTTTTGCATTGCTGTCGAAGAAGAAATTCACCACTCCTCTTGGTGCCGCCGTGGTGAGTGTCGCTCGGTCTTTCTTTTTCTCGCAACGTCTCATTGCAGGCGTGTGGTACTTTTTTAAGTTGGTCAGGAAAAATCAGTAAACATCCAAAATGGTACGTGAAAATAATTATCAAAACGTTTAAAATCGCAAGAAAAAGGCAACAAATATTCCAAAAACACAAATATTTCGTAGTGATGTGAAAATTTTTCGGAAAAATGTTGAAATTAAAGTTGTGAAATTCCTTTGGAGACGTCGTAGTCGTCGTTGATGATGTCAGTATAGGTGAATGTGTGTGATGGCTTCGTTTTTTGTGTCTCTTCGTTTCATCTTCGTGGGGGTCACCACCACAATCATGGCTGCCATCCAATCAACGACAACGAGGCGAAGAGAAGACGATATGACGTGGAATGTTTCCACAAAGGAAAAAACGAAATGAAAATGTGGCCTTGGAAGTTGCCTAGGATTTCCTTATTTGTCTCCCGTGAAAATATTTTACGTTCATCTTTGATATAACGATTTGTATTTCTTTATGGTTCATAGGTCAACTTCACCGTCGATGAAATCCGTGAGCTTATGGACAAGAAGCGGAACATCCGTAACATGTCCGTTATTGCTCACGTCGATCATGGTAAATCCACCTTGACCGATTCCTTGGTAAGTGTTTTAGATCAATACGATCTATATATATATGTAAATTGTTAGCCACGCCCCTTGGGACAAAGTGTTCTAATCATGGAGTTTTTGTTGTTGGTAGGTTTCCAAAGCTGGTATTATTGCTGGTGCCAAGGCTGGTGAAACTCGTTTCACCGATACCCGTAAGGATGAACAGGAACGTTGCATCACCATCAAGTCAACGTAAGGATAGCTAAATCAACATGCTTTGCATTGGTCGGATTTAACATAACCTCACTTTTTGGGTTGTTTTGATTTTGTTTTGCAGTGCCATCTCTATGTACTTCGAAGTTGAAGATAAGGATTTGGTCTTCATCACCAATCCCGATTTGCGTGAGAAGGACAGCAAGGGTTTCTTGATCAATTTGATCGATTCCCCCGGTCACGTTGATTTCTCCTCTGAAGTCACTGCTGCTCTTCGTGTAACTGACGGTGCCTTGGTCGTCGTCGATTGTGTCTCTGGTGTGTGTGTCCAAACTGAAACTGTCTTGCGTCAAGCTATTGCTGAACGTATCAAGCCCATTTTGTTCATGAACAAGATGGACCGTGCTTTGTTGGAATTGCAATTGGATGCTGAAGAATTGTACCAAACTTTCCAACGTATTGTTGAAAACGTGAACGTCATTATTGCCACATACAACGACGATGGTGGCCCAATGGGTGAAGTACGCGTCGATCCCTCCAAGGGTTCCGTCGGTTTCGGTTCTGGCTTGCACGGTTGGGCCTTTACCCTCAAACAATTCTCTGAAATGTACGCCGAGAAATTCAAGATCGATGTCGTTAAGCTAATGAACAGGTCAGTACAACAAACAATAATTTAAATAAATATATATTTTTGTAGAAATTGTAGAAAATCCTATGCTTTTAGCACAAATCGTGTTGTTCATAAAGTTGAGGATTTCGATTTCGGGTTCTCCGCTTGGAGATTGAACAACAAGTGCCTATAAAAGTAGATCAATTTGAAGGTGGCTTCTTTGCTGTCCTTGTGACTGGCAAATGAGGCCACTCTCACAATATGGATTTGATAACGCTGAACGGTGACCTCTTTCCTAATGTCAAATCCGTTTATGCTGAAGAGTCCATATAACAGTGTGTGATTTGGTAATGTGTATTGATTGCTTTTAGCACAATTCGTGTTGTTCATAAAGATGGGAATTTCAATATTTGGATTTCTCAGCTTGAGGACTGAGCGACAAGTGCATATAAAAGCAGATTAAAAATGAAGTGGATTTCTGCTATTGCTTTAGGTAGTAAAAATTAGCTTCTAGTAAATGTTGATTCACAACGCTGAGCGGTGACCTCTTTCCCAATGTCAAATCCGTTTACGCTGAAGAATTGGCATTACACCCATCGATATATGTATAACTTGGTGTTGTCTGAGATTTTTTCATATTTTTACATATCCTTATCGGCCATTGCATTTCTTTGTGTATTTCCACAGACTCTGGGGTGAAAACTTCTTCAACGCCAAGACCAAGAAATGGCAAAAGCAAAAGGAAGCTGACAACAAGCGTTCTTTCTGTATGTACATCCTCGACCCCATCTACAAGGTGTTCGATGCCATCATGAACTACAAGAAGGAAGAAATCCCAACCTTGTTGGAAAAGATCGGTGTTACCTTGAAGCACGAAGATAAGGACAAGGATGGCAAAGCCTTGTTGAAGGTCGTTATGCGTACCTGGTTGCCTGCTGGTGAAGCTTTGCTTCAGATGATTGCCATTCACTTGCCTTCTCCCGTCGTCGCCCAAAAATACCGTATGGAGATGTTGTACGAAGGTCCTCAAGACGATGAGGCCGCCATCGCTGTTAAGAACTGCGATCCCGATGGTCCATTGATGATGTACATCTCCAAGATGGTACCCACCTCCGACAAGGGTCGTTTCTACGCCTTCGGTCGTGTATTCTCCGGTAAAGTTGCCACTGGCCAAAAATGCCGTATCATGGGCCCCAACTATGTCCCCGGCAAGAAGGAAGATTTGTACGAAAAGGCCATCCAACGTACCATCCTCATGATGGGTCGTTACGTCGAAGCCATCGAAGATGTTCCCTCTGGTAACATTTGCGGTTTGGTCGGTGTTGATCAGTTCTTGGTTAAGACCGGTACCATCACCACCTTCAAGGATGCTCACAACATGAAGGTAAGCTAGGAGTGTATCTGCATGACCCATATATTCGGTAGTCTTTGTGATGATATTTAACACAGACCTGTACAGATTTACAAACATTGAACGAAAAACGTTAACTGATTTCTTCAATAAGCCTTTGTCTTGACCATTTTTGTTGACATGATTTCTGATGGTTTTTTTCTTCGATATTACTCTCATTTTATATAGGTCATGAAGTTCTCTGTCTCACCCGTCGTGCGTGTTGCTGTTGAACCCAAGAACCCCGCTGATTTGCCCAAATTGGTTGAAGGTCTTAAGCGTTTGGCCAAATCCGATCCTATGGTCCAATGTATCATTGAAGAATCCGGTGAACACATCATTGCTGGTGCCGGTGAATTGCATTTGGAAATTTGCTTGAAGGATTTGGAAGAAGATCACGCTTGCATTCCTTTGAAGAAATCCGACCCCGTTGTGTCGTACCGTGAAACCGTCTTCGAAGAATCCAACCAAATGTGCCTCTCCAAGTCACCCAACAAGCACAACCGTTTGGTCATGAAGGCCTTGCCCATGCCTGATGGTTTGCCCGAAGACATTGATAACGGTGATGTCAGCTCCAAGGACGATTTCAAGATCCGTGCCCGTTATTTGGCTGAGAAATACGATTACGATGTAACTGAAGCCCGTAAGATCTGGTGCTTCGGTCCCGACGGTACTGGTCCCAACTTCATCTTGGATTGTACCAAATCCGTACAATACTTGAACGAAATCAAGGATTCCGTCGTTGCTGGTTTCCAATGGGCCACCAAGGAAGGTATCATGGCTGATGAAAACATGCGTGGTGTTCGTTTCAACATTTATGATGTGACCCTTCACGCTGACGCCATCCATCGTGGTGGTGGCCAAATCATTCCAACCACTCGTCGTTGCTTGTACGCTTCGGCCATTACCGCTTCCCCACGTCTCATGGAACCCGTCTACTTGTGTGAAATCCAATGTCCCGAAGTTGCCGTCGGTGGTATCTATGGTGTATTGAACAGACGTCGTGGTCATGTCTTTGAAGAATCCCAAGTTGTCGGCACACCCATGTTCGTCGTCAAGGCCTACTTGCCTGTCAACGAATCCTTCGGTTTCACCGCTGACTTGCGTTCCAACACCGGTGGTCAAGCTTTCCCACAATGTGTGTTCGATCACTGGCAAGTGTTGCCCGGTGACCCATCCGAACTCAACAGCAAACCCTACAACATTGTCCAAGACATCCGTAAACGTAAGGGTCTCAAGGAAGGTCTCCCCGATCTCTCCCAATACCTCGACAAATTGTAAAAAGTTTAACGTGTACCACCATCACCACCAATTCCCCAACAACACCTACGAGAATTCTATGCTCTTGTCGTTAACTGTTCGATCATGGATCTAACAGCAGCTGCAGCCACAAATGAAACCAAGCTTCTAAATAAAACAAAAACATAGCACACGCATAACAACAAAAACCGACAGCAGCAGACACGTTATAACAGCAAAAAATGAAATTATAGAGAAGAAAAATACAAAAATATTAAATAAAATAAAATTACATGATAATTAATGTACTCTAAAAAAAGAACAAAATAAACTTGTTTTTTGCTTATTATTAGTATTTAAGAAATCAACAACAAAGAATAAGTTTGGAAATTGGAATTTGTCTGAAAGTGGAAGACGTGAGTTTTCCAATGTAAAAGTTCACTCGAGGATGATGTTGTTCAACACATCATGATTTTCAAGGATTTGGAATCTGAAGAAAAGGAACCATTTACTCTTGGTCCAGGTACATTTTTTCAAATTTATTTGTATGTAATGAATATAGTAGGATTGAAAGTATTAAAAAGGGTTGACTTCCAAAATGTTTCTAAATAATGTAGGGACTGATGCATTGTCCACGACATCGCCTCGCAACAATTTTGATTGTGTATTGCGTTGAAAAACTGAATACTTCATACATTTTGTATAGAAGCATTTTGATGAAATTTGGCATGCAAATAACTGGAAGTCAGCCCAATTCAGTATCACTTCCTCCTGTTTATTATGAGAAAAGATTTTGCTGGAAAGGTTAGCCTTTGTTGTTGAAATCCGTTACAATAGCCCTATTACCTGTTGGCGTTGTCGTCTTTGAAATTACTTGTTGTTTCAATGCGGAAAAAGGTTTGCGACTGTTTACAAAAATGAACTAAAATCTACTACAAAAATTAAAACCGATTTTGTACTAGATTGCAGAAGTAGCGATCTCTTTACAATTTTCAGTGATACCGAAAAGTAGCAACTACAGCAACGATTTCGAGACGTGTCGTTCAACTGTAGTGACAACTGTAACAAGGCTGAATATTTTCCAAAGTCATTTCCAAAAGTTTTAATTTATTTTATTCTTATTTTCTTATTTTTTGTACAATAACCACACACAAAATCCAAAATAAAATAAATGGCAAAAGCTCTTTTTAAAAAAAGCTTTTGGCGTAGAAGTATTTATTACACATACCCCTAACTTATAAAAAAGCCCAAACGACCCAAATTGTGCTGCAATGTTATTTATTATGAACTCAAAGAAGGTGTAGGCTTATTGTACAAAGATGCAAGCGTTTCAAACTAATTGAGCAGGTACATCATCCCGTTGTACATTTCTCTTAATTTAAAACACTTGACTATCGGAAAATAATTTATATATATTTTTTATTTTAATTTTTTCGAAACAAAACTGACAATTCACATATTTTTTTTTATAAATAAATCAACAATTTTGGTGATATCTTCAAAATTTGCAGTTTTTAACTTTTTCAATTCATTTCTGGCCATAGTGTATTCAAAATTCTCTTTTTACCTATTTAACGTTACAGAAATTTATCAAAAAATCAATTCTTTGTGAGTGAAGCAGATTGAAGAACATCAAGAGACAAGGATTATAGGTCGCTCAACAAGCCTTTACGAAAATAAAAAAAAGCATCTTCCGGGCTAACATGTCTTTAGTGGCCTACATACCATCTCCGTTTCAAATAACAAAGGTCATAGGACAGTCGGAAAAGTCAGATGCAGCTGCTCTTCAGGCCAAAACCTTAGCTGGCATTTATCGTGCCAAAGTCATAGAAGCCTATAAGAATCGTCGAATATTTACAATCTATGGAAATTACAATACGATACGACGAGCCCTGCTAAAAAGAGGCTGGTTGGAAAGGCTCACACCAAATCGTTATGCCAAATTGCAAAATTTGCCCCTGGACATCCTTTTGCAGCATGCCAAACGCGGCAATGAATACGAGACGGTGGCCATTAGTAAAATAATCAATCATTTTCCGCCATTTTTTGTATGGCAACCAAAGGCTCAAAGAGATTTGTATGGAGATGTGAAACCCTATCGCAATCGAGTCCGACGTGGCCAGGGATTTGATTTTTCCACCAAAGTGGGACTAATTAGTTGTGCAGAGCAAGCAAAGCTGTGGTATGGCCAAGAAGGTGGGGTTGGCATGTTGTATCCCCGCTTCTTTCGTCTGGGCGATAATGAAGAGGAACAAATGGAATTTGTTAAAGATTTTCAACTAACTCAGTGCCGAAGTTTTCTGAGATATCTGATTAAAAACAAAGATGATCCAGAACTGATTATTGACTTTGAGAATGGTGTCATTTCCCCCCAAACGGTTAACTTTGCTCTGGAGCAGATACAATGTCATATTGATGAATGTGAAAATGTTGATGGGTTAAGCCAAGCAGATAAACCACCAAGCGAGAAGGATTGGCAAGACTTCTTGACAAACTCTAATCAAGTAATTAATAACGCAAAGCAAATCAAGTGGAACTATCGCGAGCTAATGACATGTGTGCGCACAGCGGATGTTATGTTGAGATCTATTGAAGATAAACATCCAGATTATAAATGGGATGGAATGAAAAATTTATGGATTTTGAAACCAGGCTATCAAAGTCGAGGCTTGGGTATCGTAATACGCAATAATTTGGAGGACATACTGCGTTGGGCTGCAAGCCATCTGAATCGCCGTTATATAGTACAAAAATACATTGGTAAGTTATTATTTTCGCGGAAGATCGCATCAATGGAGATGTAAGTTCGATTTTCTATTATTTCTTTCAGAACAACCTTTACTCATCTACAATACCAAATTCGATATAAGACAATACATGTTGCTGGTCATACGAGACTCGAAAATAGAGATATGGCTTTATCGCGACTGTTATCTGCGCTTCAGCTCCCAAGAGTATTGCATTGATGATCTACGAGAATCCGTACATTTAACTAACAATTCCGTGCAAAAGAAATACAAAAATAAAACCTCAAGAGACCCACGATTACCCAAGAATAACATGTGGTGTTTGGAGCAATTTAAGGTCTATTTAAAAGGACAAAATAAACCCGAGGAAGTTTGGGAGAGTAAAGTGTATGCAGGGTTCCGGGAAAACCTTATAGCTGTGGTCCTGGCAAGTTTGGATGAGACCAATCTGTGTGAAAATTGTTTCGAATTGTATGGCTGTGATTTTATGCTCGACAATGAATGCACTCCCATTTTGATAGAAATAAACTCGACACCAGATTTGTCGGCCTCGACGGAAGTAACAGCACGAATTTGTCCCATGGTTATGGAGGATTGTATAAAAGTTGTGGTAGACTTGTCACGCAATAAGAGAGCTTCGACGGGACACTTTCAGAAAGTTTACGAAATAAGCTATAACTTTAAACAGGCAGAAGACACAAGTGAGGCATTCAATGTTCAGGGGAAAGCCATGGAACTGCACTCAAGAGCTAAAGTGCCATGTAAACTGAACATTTTTAAAAGGGGAAAGAAAGTTTGTACTCCTTCCAAGTCACCAAGCAAAGAGCCACCCAAACAAAAGGTATTTATGACTTTTGCAAAGTTTTTTTTATAATATTAATTATTATCTGATTTTCCTAGCCCGCATCCTTGCCCATCCAGAGTAGAAAATCGAACATAAATATATCCAATAATGTGAGAAATGCATTACATTCAAACGCCAAAGAAGCATTAGCCTTGCGATATACAATGCCCAAATAAGGTAAGTACAATTTAATATTTATTTTTCATTAAGCAATTTAACAACAATAATCACAACTACATAAAATGCATTAAATTAAAACTACACGAATCAATTATCGATCTCTGCTGAAGTCATTGGATGATGCAGTATTTTAATCCACGTGTTTCATAGCTATGGGGGGAGCTGCTGAATGTGTTTTGGAAACTACAAGTTTTCTTTTCGTATTCCAACTGGCTATGCCCCTGCCAATGGCATGTATGGTGGTGGGATTAGGCTCCGCTTGTTTCTTTACCTTACCGCCAATACTTTCAAGCCGTGTCTTTGGCGTCCGACTGGCCGGTAATAAAGGACTAAGGCTTTTATTCATTTTGACATTATTTTTGAGCGGGCTATTGTATAATTCCTTGATGTTGTCTGCCGACTTGCTAATGCTCAGCGAGGGAGCATCTAAGTGATTGTTTTTCAAACGTCCAGCACTGCGTGATGAATTAATGGCTTTTTGTTGATTATAGCTCGCCACAAAGAATTTGGATTTTTGTAAATCTTTACAGGTATTCGTGTTGGCTCCACAATGGGTATTGAGCCTGGGACCACAACTGCGATGTCTTTTCAGCGTTGAATAAACATCACATATGGGATTAGCGATGGCAGGAGTTTTTGTCGATGGCATACGCTTTACTGTGCCAGTAGCTAGACTTACAAAGGATTTACTTCTACTATCCGTTGTAGCTGGAGTGGTGGGTGGTAATAGTTTTCTATCCGTCGTTGTTAGGCCTATCAAACTGGGAACACTCGTACTACGTGGACTATTTGCCATCTCAACATTGAGACATTTTTCGATGTATTCGGTGGCATTGAAGGCTGGCATAGCTGGCTTGTTGTTGTGTGTCTGTGAGACATTTGACAGGGCCAATGTGGTGCGCTGCTTATAAATTTGACTTGTTTGCAGTGACTTTTCCTTGCGATGATAACCATAGCTATTGTGATGGTGACCACCACCACCACCACGATTTGAAATCTGTCTACCCTTAACAATCAGATTGAGTCCCATGTAGGCCGGGGTGGGTGGTATTACTTGACGGTAGATTAATTCGAAATTTCCCACATCGGCTTTGAAATCATTTCGACGATCGATAACAACTGGAAATAAATTCAAACGGATAAGAGAAGAGACTTAGTTGGGTGCCCAAATTTAATAAATAATATTGTTTTTTTTTTTTTATAGATTATCAATGAAACTGCAATTAATAATAAATAAAAAATGAGAACATGACCTCTAGCTCGAAAAGTCTTATTGCATATTTAAATCGATTATTGCCTACCTTTTATAACATCCTCCAAACACTGGGGGCACATGCGAGCCGTAACACTTGTTGTTGCTCCCAAATCCGGATTTGAATTAATTTCAATTAACCACGGATAAAAGTTTTCACAAATCATAAAATCCGCTCCGAACAGTTCAAATGTGTTCGGTGTACGTTCCATGTGATCTTGTGACACCAGAATGGCTGCCACAATGGCCTTACGCATGCCAGGATATATGCGTTCCAACCAAACTTCTTGTTTTCCGATTTGTCGCAAGTAGGCTTGAAATGAATACGAGTCCCACATATTTTCGCTGGGCAAACGTTTGTCACGTTTGCCATTGTTGGTGTACTTCTTTTGTATGGCATGATTGGTCAAGTGCACCGACTCGTGGTGGTTGGTTAGCGTGTATTCTTGTGAACTGAAGCGTAAATAGCATTCCTTGTACATCCAGATCATTAAAGGGTTAATGCTGGAGATGAGAAACCATTGACGTATGTCGAATTTTGTTTGGTGTATAATCAAAGGACGTTCTGCAAAGGGAGAGAGCGAGAGAAAAAGAGAAGAGCATTAATAATGAAAGAGTGTTGACCTGCGCATGAGACCCATGTGCCAAGAACATTTCTGTTAATGTTTGCGTGCAACCTCCGCCAACCACCTGTTGTTGAAATTTATATGTTGCATGTCTCTGAAAAATGGTGTTGGCGGTGGTGGATTGTTGTTAAGTTTGTTGTGCTAGGTTGTTATGTGTGACGTATGAAGATGTCACGTTGAGCTAAAAGAGAACGTTCGTGGCATTCAATGTCTCAGCAATAATAATAACTAGGTCTTTCGTTTATTCTTGTGATTTTTTGTACTAGTTTTTGTTTTGTCTGTCAACATCCTTTATCATGCTATGTTGTCCTGGAAAGTTTTTATATAAGTATTTTCAAGGGGTAAGGGATTCTCTCAAGTTATGAATGCATTGGAATTGGGAAAAATGTAGACATGTATGATGTGATTAAGCCTTCTGATTTTTCGATCACTCTAGCTGATTGGTAATATACAGGGTGAGATAAAAAAACTACAACAAAGTCAAGCGCCATAATTTTTACATTTTTTTTTAAATTTTTTGTTGAATTAATGCAAAAAATTTCGGAAATAGCTTCAAATTTTAGAATAAGTTTAGATTTGTTCGGATTATTCATCATTGGCACGAATTGTGGCCTTCAAACGGCCAATGAAACCGTCACACGCTGCCCGAATGTTGCTCTTCGGTATTTTGGCCCATTCCCGGCGAAGCGCTTGCTTGAGGTGATCGACACTTTGGTATTTTTTAGTGCCAGCCTTGCTTTCCAAAATACTCCAGAAACAATAGTCCAACGGATTGATATCCGGAGATTTTGGTGGCCATTCTTAGGTGGCGCGTGCAGAGTGCGATGGTGCTGAGTCCTGTTGAAATGTCCAAGGTCTGCGGCCTAAATGTTTGCGTGCCCAAGGCTTTAATACACCCTCCAGAATATTTTCGCGATAATATTATTCTGATGCCATAGTCAATTAATATGAGCGGAGTGCGACCATCGGCTGTTATGGCGGCCCACACCATCACCATGGCCGGCGCTTGAGTTCTGGTGGCCAACCGAAGGTGCACAAATTTTCAGTTGACCTCTTTGGCAAGTAAACACGATAATTTTGCTTGTTTACAAACTGCTAGACAAGGAATATTTTCTCATCGGAGAAAACCAAATTCGGCAGTTACCACTTTCGGCCCAGCGAAGCAACTCTTTAGCTCTTTCGAGTCTATTTTATTTCTGTTGCGGTGTAAGTTCTTGCACTTTTTAGAATTTCAATGGCTTTATCCCGAGCTCATATGTTCAGCTCACAAGCTTTTTTTTCGGCCACTGCGACGCGGGTTTCGGTCAAGTCGCTTCTTTACTTTCCGAACCATTTCTACTGATGTTGCTGGTTTCTTCGATGGTACGAGACACACACGATTTATTCACATTAAAATGCTGGAGTTCTCTAACGATAGCCACTTGTGGTTTTCCAGCCGATTATAAAGAAATCACACTATCACGCTTGAATTCCATCACGAATAACTTTTTTTCTGGAATTTTCTCACCAAAATGCTTTTGTGCGCTTGTAAACAATATAATGAGCTGTCACTGGAATAATTTCAAAAGCTGTCGGACGAGTGGCTTAGAAATGACACCAGCCTGAAGTTGTTTGCAGTTTTATCATCTCACCCTGTATGTATTTTGGAAAAAAAAGTTGAAAATCTTTAACTTACCCATATACTTTTGCACGACATAACGACTTTTGGAGGCAATTGGTGGATTAACAATGTTAACGATTTTCTTCAGATTATTGCTCAGCATTATGCCCCGTCCACGGCATTTATTGGCCGGTTTTATTATCCACAAATTCTGATAACCATCTATTGAGTATTGTGGCCAAAAGGGTACAATGCTGTCCAATATCTGGGCACCTTTTATAATTATATTCTCCATAATTTTCTGCGGATCGGCAAGTATTTTAAATCCCTCATGAGTTAGTTGATAGTGATGATTGAGAAATGCATCCCAGTCATGCTCCCAAATATTGGGATCTTCGGAGTCTATGTCATTGTGTTGGCATGCGTCGAGGTACTCATGACAGCGTTTGTAGGCGAATTCAATGCAGGTGAATGGCACCTTGCCGGTGGCCGAAAAAACAACATCAAAACCACCCGCCTGATATCTTTCCACCAGCCAGCGAACAAATGCTATGCAGGCGGTGAGCTTGAAATGTTCTATAAACTCGCCCAGCTCCTCCGGTGACCAGACATTGTAGCAACGTGGAAAACGACTTTCTGCCACACCTTCTTCGTAGAAGGCGGCAATGTCCCTTAGAAAGCTATTCAGATTCTCCTTGTTGGTAAAGGGGGCACGGTTGAATTTATTGATTAGCATGTTGGGATTCTTTGACTGTTCCACATAGTCGGCCTTCTCCTTGTGTGGCGTCCATAGCAGGTCACACGGTACATGTTCAATGTAGCGTGACATAATATTTCGTTCCACCTTGGCTATGAATTGTCGCTGAGTTTCTCCCGTTCTTCTTTTTGGTAGAACCTGCGACAAATCACATGGATTGATCTGGGTGCTTGGCACGAATACAGATTTCCGATGATATTCGAGTTTTTCCACCCAGCCACGAGTTTTCAAGGCATGGCGCACCGAATTATAGTTGCCCCGTATGGTAAAGATTTTATTCTGTTTAACCGCATCTTGGGCATGGCGGCGCAGCGTATTGATCTGATCATTGTTGAGTATGGTGTAGATGCACTTGACTTTTTTGAATGGCCCCGACACCGACACTTGCTTATCGATGATGACACTGCCATTGGAGGTAATCGGTGTGGCATCATTGGGCGTCTGTTGTTTATCTTTTATGGTGGTCACCGATTTCTTGGTCAGTTTACGTATGGCATCTGTTACCAAAATTTCGTTATGTTTGTGATTGAATTGTCGTTCTGACTTTGTCTTAAATAGTCTAGGAACTGCTTCCTGTTGAGTTTTAACACCCGAAATGGATTTGCTGTTGGCTTCATCGCTGAAAATTGTTGTTAACTTTTCGCGTTTGGCTGATTTTATTTGTTTAGTGTTTGGGTTTCTTGCCGACGCTTTACCACCACCAACAACAGCAATGTTTTCATTGCATACGTGGGAATTGATTTCTTTTTCGGCATTTTCGTTTTCGTTTTCCTGTGCTGTTCCACTTTTGCTAACTTCCGAATTGCTGTTGGTGACTTCTTTATTGACTTCCACTTGCAAGACTACCTCAACATTTGTTTTATGTTCTAATGATGATGGCTGTTCAATGACTGTCTTTAACATATTCACTGTCACACACAAACGCAAACACACACACACGCACACGCTCCCACAGTAACACGCAGCGCAGCAGTTCCGCGAAACTGCAATTTATTCGCGTTCGCGTAACGAACAGGCAAACGTTGTACAGATAACTAATTCAATAAATTTACCAATTCGTTTTACTTTCAAAGCTAGCTTTCATTCGGTTTAGTTTTGTTACTGCTGCCAGCAGTTGTTGCTGTTGTTGTTATTGTTGCTGTTGGTATACTCTTAGTGTTTGTCTTTGTGTGTGCTAAGTAAATAATTGTAAACATAAAAAATCAAAGTCTTATAAAACGGCCCAAAAGGAAAGCTATAAAGGTTTAGTGCTGGTGTATATGAGGGTGTAGCATAGATGTGATCATTTTCAGGAGGATTTTTATCCTGATTTACATTTTTCACAATTATGGACATTTTTGGGCCACACCTACCCTTGGGTCATTTAAAATGCTGTTTTCTTTCGCATTCCTATCATCATAGAGGAAAAGGACCTTAACGTTTTTCAAAAATAAAATGTTCCTACTTTTGTGCAAAAACTACTTACACACCAAGGGGTAGCATGAGAACACCTATGCTAACCCACGATGTACAAAATACTTTGTACATACTTTTGAGTGCGATTGAGGCGCTGGGAAATGTAGCAATAAAAAATAAATGTTCTAAAATTAAATATTTCCCAGCCGCCATAAAATATCACATGTGAAGAATTCAGTGATCTTGTGCGCTGACGCATACGATAATGTGTGAGATAATCAAGGTTATGACCCACAAGCACAGATATTGATGCGTTCAGTAGATGCACAAGACCACTTGAATGATATGTCAAGCAGCCCTGCAATATTCTCCATTCAATATTAGAATAGATAAGAACAATTGTGTGGCTGCGACTAGGTTAAGTTAGATTAGTTTCAGTAGTACGTAAGAAAAATATTTCATAATAAAAACAGAATTGAAACTACATCCAAAGAATAAGGTTGTTCTTTCTCTTCTCACACACACGAAAAAGTCCATGCCTGATATATGTCCAAACCGGAATTAGTTTTTCGGGATAGCAACCCATATAGACTTACAATCAATTAGCCCGGCCTTTTCAAACTTCCCTTAAGTTTCGTTGCATCCTAATAACAGACAACCCTTCTACATCTGTGTGGGTGCCGCCGGATTATTTGTGTAAGGGAATAATGTTGTTGGCTGCCATGTTAAACATGAAATGAGAATAAGAACCAAACTCGTGATTATCATCTGATTTTGTGAAATAATCAAAGTGTATGGAAAACGGCAAAGTTCCACATCGTCGAAGCCCATTGGCAATCCGACCAATAAGAAAAACTTTGCCAAAGATTTATGCACGCGAATGCCTTTACATTTTTTTGTGCCATAGAAGAGTGCATAAAAGTTGTTGCAATTTTTCCTCTATTTTTCTCCGCTTTTTTTTCGCAACCTAATTATTGCTTAATTTTTCCATTGTTGCGATAGTCTTCTGGCGGCATTAAGCTTTCATTGAAACGAATTAAAGTGAATAATGGATTTTTCGTTTGTGTGTGTGTGTGGTTGCGAACGCTGTCTTCTCCTTTATTAATTGCACTTTGACGCTTTTGCTTTCATTTCAAAGAAGAGCAAAGAATAGAAGAACAAACAATTTGCGTGCCATTGGCAGTTTATGAGAAGTTGTTGGCTGGCTGGTATTTAAGCCAAGAATAACTTTTGACGGAAGCCTTGAAAGTTGTCTTTGGTTAGGACAAGAACATTTATTGTCAGCACAAGAAAGAACATGACATGTGGCTGTGTGTTTCACAAAAAAATGTAGGTGACGTATGAGTAATAATAATGATGTATGTTTAGGGTAATAGCTCATACGCACCAGAGGTACCAGGTAATGTGATGTAAATTGTTAGGTAGGGAAGGTAGATGCTCGCACAAGTTACGCTTGGTGATTTGTTTCACCTATTTTGCTTCCAATTACAGATTGGAAACGGTGGCGATCTGCTTTAATTTTAGATGGAGGTCATACTATCCTGTTGCTATTCCTGTTAAACATGGTGGATGATATCCAAGATTGTTAATTTCTATGTCTGTAGATCTAAAAACATAAGGTACCTTTTTACACTCGGAGATCTCCAGGTCTATTATGTATACATCACGTACTCGATCGTTTCCATTCCGTCATTACGTTCATTAATCCTCAAAATAAACGTGTCATATTTTTTATGACCGTATAATTCTGAGTCCTTCTGTTGTAATCGCAATATTATTCGAAGGCGATCCTGGTTTTCGTATAGTATCACCAGATATTATAACAGTATCACCAGATATTCCGTATTTTGAGAAGGTTAACGTTATCGTATAGCCCGCATATACCGCCAGTGTGTCTGTTGTAATCACGTTATCTTTCGAACGAATTGAGATAGAAGGCTAAAATTGTGCATACATGCATAGTTTACCAGTGGGCAGGTTAAGTTCTTAAATGGGCCATGTTGGTACACGTCTTCATATAGCCCCTATAAAACGGTACTTCCCGATATTCGGTATTTTCATGATTTTAGCGGCCTTTTTTTACCGGAATTATTTAAAATTTCATATTTGAAGTTCGCAATGGGTACTACAGCCTATGATAAACATTTTTGTATACAGGTCCACTTCTTTGTATAGGCCCCATATAACGGTAGCTCCAGATATTCGGTATTTTTTTTTGATTTCAGCAACATTATTCATCGGAATCATTTCAAATTTTGTACTGGGAGATCTTAATGGTTACTACAACCTATAGAAAAAAATTTCGTATGCAGGTTCACGTTTTCATATAACCCCTATAAACGATACCTCCCGATATTCGGCATTTTTATGATTTTAGCGACATTATTTACCGGAATTATTTCAAATTTCGTATTTGAAGTTCGTAGTGGGTGCTACAGCCTATGACAAAAATGTTTGTATGTAGGTACATGTACAATACTCGGTATTTTTATGATTTGTGCTACATTGTTCACCAGACTTGTAACAAATTTCTTATTTAAAGTTCGTAATGGGTACTTCAGCCTATGACAATAAAATTCGTATTCGTGAACCTACTTTCGTATATCCCCCAAATAACGGTACATCCCGATATTCGGTAATTTGATGATTTTTGCGACAATATTCACCAGAATTGTTTCAAATTTGGTATTTGAAGTTCGTAATGGGTACTATAGCCCATGACAAAAAATTCATAAGCAGGTCCACGTCTTCCTATAGTCTTCATATAACAGTTTTCATTTAAGTGGTAGCTTCCGGAAGTTCTTTGAAAATTTTTGAAGTTCCTTCCAATTGGTGGAGGGTATTAAAAGTTCGGCCCGGCCGACCTTAGTTGCTTTTTTACTTGTTTTCACTCGATTTCACTCCTAGAGCAAATTTTTACTCTATTTCGTGCGATTCGGCTCCCACTCTAATTTTTCGAACAGGTGTGACTAAGGATCGCTTCCATACAAAACCAAAGGAGTGACGAGTAAATTCCGTATAAATCTTCCTCTCTTCGAGCAATCGCGATAAGCCTTTGCATGAGAGTGAAAACGAGCAAATTAGTGCTCTGCGTTGGAATATTCAATGCCGATACTTTTATTTTTGCCGGGTTTCTTTTCTTTAGTCCTATTCCTGTTGACCTCTCTCTAGTCCATGAATTTTACTGTCTGTTCTCATCTCATCAGTAAGAGATGTAAAATTTCGTCAAGATCTGGATACAAGCGAGGTGCCTCACCTTTGCGAGATATGAAGATTAATACAAAACAACTTATAAACTTATAATTTATCCAACATATCACGTTGTAGAGCATAATAAAAAATTGAGAGAGGTTGACTTCGATCCGAAGTTGATTTTATTTTACGCTTTCATTCTTCCATTATTTGGTTATCACTATACCATTAATATTTCTGCCGATGCCCACTATCTCCCTTGATTCTGGATCATTCAAAAATGACGTCAGAATATGGTAAAAGTGTGTGTGTGTGTCTACTTCATCAGAACACCAACGACAACAACAACAACGCGTTGCAACAATCAACAAGCTCATTAATTTATGGTTGGATGCAACAGGCAGGCCAATTCGAATGTACGTCTATGCCCAGATCTATTTGTTTGCAATTAGCTTCATCGTTTACTTATTTTCCACCAAATGCATAAATATTCGACAGATTTGGGAAAAGACATACTCATCGCAGAGCATACATACATACGTACATATGTATTTATTCAGATACAAAGCTACATGAGTGATTGTAATTTACTAAAACAGAAATTGTGTTGTAAAATTAGGAGGGCTCATTGGAAATTGTAAAAAATAAAAGAAGGATTTTAGATCATGTTTTGAAAGTTTTTTTCTTTAACTTATAAAGAATTCAAAAATTTCAGAAAAAATTATTTTTTTAATTTATTTTATTTTTATTAAATTTATATTGCATAAAATTGACTAATATTTTATCGAAGAGGAAAGGGAGGGGAGCTTCTCCTATCTCCCCAATCAAACTTTGAAAAAATTCTAAATTTCATTTTTAAATTATTGTAGCCTTAGTTAAGCAATGATTGTTTGTCGGCCTTTTAATTTTTATTGTTTGTTTTTTTTTAGTTAAAAACTATTTTTAAATAATTAACAAATATAATTATATAGCAAAATCTAGCTGCTTAGACCTATATTGTAACACTAAAATAGCCGATAAGATATTGGCACTTATATCATTTATATACCATCTAATTATATCATTCTTTCCTTCACACATGAGCCACCTTGCTACTCCATAAAAGTTGCGTTTGTTTACATTAGAGAACAAGGGTGAGAAAATTTGTGACAAACGACAGTAGTTCCAACAAACATACATCCTACTCAATGTGACGCTCTCTTGCTCTGCAACACACACTCTCTCTCTCTCTCTATTTCTCGCACATTTCTCCAACATTTGTAAATACCGGCTAAAAAGACTTACACTTCTTGTTGCAAAACTTATGCTCAGAATAACAAAAAAAAAGGAGGGAGAACCTCCGTGAGTAACGGCTCTTTGCTGCCGGAGAATTCAGAGCAAATGAGGCGAATATTGATTTGCAGATTGGTTTTTATGTTCAATTTGCCAAAAATGCTGTAGGCAGTATAAAATGAATACGCCGAAACAAATGTGAACACATTTTCAACGCACAACTCATTGAGACAACAGCACGGAGACAAATAAAAATAGAAAATTTTGAAACGAAATAAAGAAAATAAAATAAAATCGAAAAAAAGTTAAAAAGAAAAAAATCAATTGCGCTATTTTGCCTTGTGGAAAAAGTTAAAAAAAAAAATAAATAAATTTACTAACGGCAATAAAAAAATAAAATATTTTTTTAAGTGCTCAAACTTAACACTTCCAAAAAGTGCCAAAAAAAAAAAAAAAAAACAAAAACAAAAAGTGCCAAATATCGAAAAAAAAAAATCAAAACTAAATTGACACCGGTTTTCATAAAACTATCAAAGTGGGGCTGTTAAAATTGAAAAGAAATCTTTCCTTTGGAATATCCGATATTCCAGAATTTGGTTCGAGAGAAGAAAGCAAAATGGGAACAATTGGTAAGTAATTGAAATGAACAACAAACATTAACACCAAAAAGAAAATATCATAAGGTCCATCTCCCTAATGGTTTTGGCGTCACCAACAAATACCATAAAGGGGTCGTCTACCCCCCATTGTCATCGTCATTGTTTTATGATTGTGTGTTTTTTTTTTTTTTAAAAACCTCGCCGTATTCTACCCATAAAGTATCCTGTCTGCAGATTTTTTGTGACGTCAATCGTTTGTTCTCGTTCCTCCCTGCCCTCAACAACGAATTACAATGTTAGCAAAATGCAGAGCATTGTTCTTTTTTTCTGATTTAAATGCTTGGCTATTTTTGTCTCCTTCGAGTTTCTGTATGGGACTTGGAATTGTTTGTTGTTGCCTTGCCTTCATCTGAGTGGTAGAACAGCTACCGCATTGGGCCTGAAGTTCATTGAATTCAAGGCGTGAGCAACAAAAATATGCTTTGCCTTTTCTTTACTTGAGATGGAGGTTCCAAAATTAGATTTGAACTTTGTTGTTTGACATTTTATTTGCTAACGAAAGGATCTCGCCCAGCACAACATAGGGCGCGTGCTGTGCGACAAAGCTTAGTTAGTACTTTTTTCTTTGGATTATGTTTATTTTTACATTTCTTGGAAAAAATAAACATATATAACGTAATAAAAATCGCATTGCGCGTATGAAACGTCGTAGTATTATTTCTTTTTTTTTTTGCTGTTCTGTCCATAAGTCTGCATGATTTAGGATTTTTTATGTCTTTGGAAAAAATAAATATTTACATTAGAAAATGGAAATAATGTCGGGCATCACAGACCAAACGTATTGCAAATTAGGGATTTATGTAGGTTTATATATTTAGTCTTTTTTTGATAATCTGTTGCAAAAAAGTCATTGGACAAAATATACAAAAGGGTCCAAATAAATAAATAATTTTCAGATGAAACTGGAATTTTCATTAGAAATCTTGGGATTTATTAGTTTTTTTCGGAACGAGTTTTCAGTAAAAAAATTTTGCAAAAATACAAAAATTGTAGATTTTTGCCCAAATGTAGTATTTGATAGCGGTTCTCTTTGAAATTGTGGTTTAAACTCCCTCAATATCGAAAGGTTTTCAACTGAAATGAATTTAAAGTTTATGAACATAGATTATGACTTATACCCTTTTAGAACTTCCTCATCAACGGCCAACATTGAAAATACATGGATTTCATTTTCAGAAGGAGTTCCGAATTAAGCATTTTTCAAATATGGTTACATAGAACCACTCCTTTCACTATATTCTCAGAAAATTATCCGCATGCGAAAACATGGATTTCGTTGTTGGGAAGGGAGGTCACTCCTTCCCATTGTTGGCACTTTTCCCAAACTTTGTTATATGGGCCTTCTCCTGTATTGACTATTTTTTGAGAGGATTTTATTTACCCACTGAGAAACGGAAATGTCACATTGCAGATGATTTGGTTGGAAATTCTGGCAGAAATGCCCAAATGGGCCGATATATTTCACTTTTAATATAAAGATCCTAGAAATAAACTAGAACTCTATTTATACCCTCAGCCATATGGCTAGAGAGGGCCAAAACGTGCCTTATCGAAATAACGGTTTTAGACCCTAGCTCTCTTTGGACCAAATCCCTTTCGGGACATTTTCAAAGAAAATAATTTTCTGCACAGAAAAAGAAAGGATAATTCGATTTTGCACCAACTTTGCAAATTCTTATATCAATGCTACGTCAGGTGCGAAAATGGACGATATTGATCCACTCCATCAAGTACCTCCCCCTCTAAGGGTCAAAATTTTGAATAATTATAACTAGTATAAAAAGTGATGTAGGAGTCCGATTGTCTTCAAGTTACACACATCACAATATTTTTATTGACCCAAGATCTGGTGTGAAGATGGGATAAATCGTTCTACTCCGTCCGGTTCCTCCCTCACAAAGGGTCAAAATTTTGAATATTCATGAAGCTTATAAAACACGAAGTAAACATTCCATTGAACTCAGACTTGTCACGTATCAATATTTTAAAAATAAAATATCTGTTATAAAGATGATAGAGATCGGACCATTCCTTCTGGTACATACCCCACAAAGGGTCAACTTTTTGAATAACGAAAACGATCATAAAATCCGAAATAAGCATTCGGTTCTCTTCATATTACACACGTCCCATTATTTCTATAAACTCAAGGTCTGGTTTGAAGATGGAATGGGTTGGGATACCTCCCCCACATAAGGTCAACATTTTGAGGATGCATGAAGCTCTTAAAACGCGAAATTAACATCCAATTCCATTCAGACTTGGTACATTTCAATATTTCAATTAACACAACATCTGTTATAAAGATGGTAGAGATAGGACCATTTCGTCTGTTACCTCCCCCACATGCTGTTCAAGATTTTGAAAAAAAAAACGCTCAAAGAAAGCGAAATAAGCATCCAACTCTCATAGAATATCCCAGACAAAAAAAAAAAAAAACAAGTTGAGGAATGGTTCTTTCCGAAACCTAGGTATTCCCTGCCTTACCCCCTGGTAAACATTATCATCGTTCTCCACTAATAAAAAAACGTTGTTTTATAAAAACCTCAATAAAGGGATTAAGCCTGAGCATTTTGCAACAACAAAATACTATGGTATTCCGAACAAATAAGCCAACACTGTTCCATAAGTATTTCCTTCATTCAATAGTGGGGGCTTCGACGTAGCCTGGTATAGCTCGATTTTCTTTACTGGTTTTCATTGGGATCTACCACGAAATTATTTATTTTTCCATTTCTGGCTAAATTGATAACAAAATTAGATTTAATGTTGCCAATTTGAAAATATATAGTGTTCAGCATACGCAGTGTTAACAACATTGTATAAATTTATTGGCAACATTTTGTAGTAATTGTCAAGTTAGTTTTTTATGGGTGCCCCCATGGCGTATGACGTATGTTGGGGTTTTTATGGCAGTTATTAAGTATACGTTATGTCGTACATCCGCTTTGCTGCGGTTTTTGGCTTGCTTGCTAGCTAGACATTTTGTTTATTATTTCTATTTATATATTTAGAGGTAATAAAAAATGCACATATCAGGGAGTAAATAGAAAATAGACACAATTAAATTATATGGGGGATTTTTGTATATGTCCAATACATAAATTTAATTCGTTTTTAGTTGTTTTTCTTAGGTAGTGAAAACCTAAGATAAATTGCAAGGAAATTTTGGAAAATTTGGGTGATGCAAAAATCTTTTCATTGCTAAAAAATGTGCTTAAAAAATTCCCGCCATACTTCAACAGCTGTCATGGGTGTAGAAAGTTGTTGGTCACACCTCCTTCTTGAAGTGGGGTAAAATACTATGTTTATTTAATGGAAAAAACCCTGATCCTAAAGAAAAACGTATAGCCTTAGCAAGTGCAATTTTAAATTCCAGAGAAAAATTCCTTATATTTGACACTTGGAATAGACTGTTAAAAATCAAATGATATAATAAGGAATACAGCAAAGAATTGCTTCCGTAAGATTTTTTACCTTTCATTCTCTATTCCCACTGCATTTTTTTTTATTTGTTTAGATTCCTTCTGGCATAAAAATTCCCGCCAACAGCATTTTTGTTCTTCTTGTTGTTGTTCTAATTGTTTGTGGTACATTTATTTCTATATTTAAACAAAAATTAACAAAATACAAAATTAATAAGAAAATAAACTAAAAGTGATGGGTCAACAAGGCCTCATTCGTTATTTTTTTTGTTTCATTTGGTTTTGGAATACTCGAAGAATGTTTTCTTGTTCGCCTGTGGAGGTGGATTGATGTTTGGATGGAGGTAATGGTTTTGCTTTAGTGGACATGGCGCTGCTGTGACGTACTATTTGCCATTGACACATAATAAAGCACAACCGCAAAAAAATCAAAAAAAGATCAAAACAACAACAACGACCACACTTACACAATTCCAATAAAAACAACAACAGCCGCCATTAAATTAAAAAAGTCAAGTCAAGAGAATGAGATCCTCACGGAAGAAACTCTCTCATTAAGTGTAAGCAACAAGAAAAAAAATGAATATCATCCTCTCATCATGTGACAGACACACAATAACAAAAAACGAATTCATCTTCCTCTCCCTCGTCTTGTGAGTGTGTGTGCGTTCTCAACGATTAAAGTCTCTTCATCTGTCTGTCCTTACGTTCATAAACCCATAATTATCTGTCTGTGTAAATGATAATTTACAATGGTGATAATTTGTTTTGAATTGTATCCTCCGTCGTTGTTGTTAATTGGTGTTGCTGTTGTTGTATTCGCTTTGCGTTGGCAGATCTATAAAAAAAGTTGACCTCCTGATGGATTTACGAAATAAATGAACCTTTCAGTTTAATGAGTTGTAATATGAACAGGTGTCAACCTTTCCAAGGAGAAGTAATAAAAAAACTTTGAAAAAAAAATTTAAAATATAGAACAGTGTTGGCATGTTTGTTAGTTAGGCTTAATCCCATTATTGTTGTTTTTATAAAAACAAAGTTGGTTATGTTTACAAGGGGGTAAGATAGGGAATACTTAGGTTTCGGAAAGTGCCACCAATCCTCATCAGTTCCCTTGTCTTTTGTCTGGGATATTATCTTCGGACATTTTTTTAAACTCGTATCTCCTATGACAAAAAAAAACCCTGGGGAGAATACCCCAGGCAAAAGACAAGGGAAATTATGAGGATTGGTGGCTCTTTCCGAATTCCCCATTCATCTTTCATCCCCACCTTTTCCCTTCGCCAGGGGCCCGGCGGGGACCATCAAGAAATAAAATTTTGTAATTGAAATTTTAATTTTAGATATTTTCGCTCTTTAACATCTATTGTTTTTCTCCTACACTGATTCCATCTCTAGTATATTAATATTGTTTTGTTTTATTTAACAAATTGCATTTATAAACATCGTAGGAAAACATTCACACGTTGTTACGCATAAACAATAGGAGGACTGTCGTCGTATTATTATTAAATTTAAAAAAAAAAAAACGTTCAGACAGACAAT